TACCTTAAAGTCATCTCTCATAAGATAAACCTTACCTTGTTTATAAGTCTCTATTTATTTTGCTTCATAAATAAATACATTGTGTTATTTGAATAAAGTTTGTATGTGTATAAGGGCTTTTATTTTATGTGTACTACTTACCTACTTGGAATTAATCAAATCCCATTAATATTATAACCATTAATAAGCTTTAATCCTATTATCATAATATTATAAATGTGAAAGTTTGTGAGGATGGATGGATGGATGTTTGTTACTCTTTTACGCCAGAACGGCGGAACGGATCTGGATGAAATTTGGTTACTCTATTTCCCGGAAAATTATGTCCCGTGGGATAGATTTGTTTTTCATTAAGGACGAAACAATGCGAAGTAAGGATAAGTGGTTAGTAGCACAGATCATATACTATACTAGTCTAGTAGTAAATACATATAGCCAACGAAATGACCTACTCTCACTGCACTCGGGTACATCCCTACTCTAGTGCCTTTTGTAAATTGAGACACAAACATCGGCTTTTCTTTACATGTAGGTATTTATATTTTAGCACAGATCACATAATACTATGCTAGTAGTAGATTTTAGCAACCGACCAGCGCCATCTTTTGGTATATTTTATTACAATCAATGCTGTGTAATGTTCCTTCAAGCCTTAGTTCTGTGTACATATCCAAATCCATAGCTCGTTGTTTCAGCGTGAAGATGTGACAAACACATACTTTATTTTTCGACTTTGACCATATTATTTATAATAATAGTAGCTGCTGAAAATCTTTATTTTTCAATAGTCCTAAAACTACATACTTGGTACTGCTGTTAGGTTCTTATAGTGATATAAATATAAATGGAAAGCAAAAGTAGGTTTAGGAAATAAGAAAAGTAATTAGCACAGAAATTATTTTTATTATAAGAAATCTTATTAATATGTGAAAATAATAATAAAAAAATAAGGCAATATTCTACAACGAAGCTTGCATTCAGCCACGAGAAGAGGCAAGGGTTCGGTTACAAAAGTATCTACTATATTAAAAGATATTATACATATAAGCGATATGTGCAATTTTCTTTATTAAGTTTTCAACTTTAGCAGTCGTTTAATATAAAGTTTTAAGGTATATTTTGAACTCGAATTTTAACTATGCCGCTCTGAAGCTAGCCTCATAAAAATATATTAGCAAATTGAGTGATGTGAGGTATTGAAGTTTGCAAAATTGGTAGAAGTATTGACTTCAAAGCAAAATAAAGACTCCAGAGATCGTTTCAGAGCGGCACAAGTATACTATATTTTGAAGGGTACTTCATCAGACCATGGTATATAGCAATAAACCATGGTCTGGTGAAGTCATACTGCATACATGTTCCTTGCCTCTAGTCAAGTTACGTCATAAGGGTCTGTGCACACTGAATTGACTTAAATATATTACAAATACGATATTGTTGAAAATATTTTAGTTTTGACAGAATTTAAAGTTAGCAGATCTTACAATTAAACAGAAATGCAATCAGAGGAAGATATTAAATTATTCTTGGATCATATAATAAATATTGCATAATAATAGTTGCATACTAAAAATATGTGAAAAAATATAAAAATTGTATAAATATTATTTTGATGTTGGCTAAACGTTAAAACACAGGTGAGATACGCAGCTGCCTCACATAAGAGATTTCGTGCATTTATTGGCTAAAATAATATTTTTTCGTCAGATCGTTTAAATTTTTTACATTTCAGTATAAGTATTTAACATAAAATCAAACCTAAATAATCTTTGAGAAACAAACGAAATTAAGTACAATTTTAAATAACATCAACTAAAAAATAATAATAAATATTGTTTCCAAAATAAATGAAACAAATCGTTTAATCCAGAGCTTCTCAAACTTTGAACTACATCATTTTTCAAGTATTAATCAAAATAATTAAATTCTAGTGAAAACATTATTAGTAGTGATTACTTTCCCTAGTGGCTTCAGTACCATCATCAGTCGTAGTAGGTACTAATTTCTTCATTATGTTAAAGTTTTATACTTTTTTAAACCACAAGCAGTTAAAATTTAATAAATGAGAATTGAATTTAAAAAAAAAACGTTATAACAGACTAAATATCAATGATGTCTACACATAGTTCTCTGACGCGCCGGTAGGGAATTTACTCACTGCTAATATCTAGGTAGTAGCAGTTATTCTCAAAAAATGACTGGACCACTAAGATTTGAATATATATTTAATATATTTGAAGATGTTGCTAAAAAATCAATAACTTTGAGAAACCCTGTGTTAAGGCGATATGTTTTTGCTAGTGCCTAGTAGTCTCTTCCGCATGTTTGTCGCTATCCCGAGACGCCAAGATGATGTCAGCGGACGACATCGAAGCCTCCAACTTTAATACTGGAAAGGTTTACAAAATCCGTTCAGTTGTATTGAAAAAAAATAATAAAAAAAACCGAGTAACATTAAATTTAAATTATTTATTCATAAGATTTACTTTAAAGCCAAATTAGCCAGTGCATTTACAATCTGCATGCAGTAACTACTACCTACCTACATATACTGTGAAGTATAAAATCCAATACTTAAATCGAACATACTATGTTTAAATAAATAATGCTCATTATATATTATTATAACAAAATTTTGAATGACTTTTCATTATATAAATTAACCAAAAAATAACAAAATAAAAATATTTTTTTTAAATAAATATTTTTTTGTACGAAGTAAAATAAATACTTTATAATATTATACGGTGTTTTATAATACTTTATACATAATATCCATCACAATTAAATACTAATCGATTCTTCATCATATCATATTTATTTTGAATAAATGTCACTTTAACCTTAAATCATCATTTAATTTACTTTAACATATATATAAATAAACATAACTATTATTTATAATCCATAAAATTAAGAGACTAATATAAAAATAGTCGGAATATTAAAATAAAAATCTAAAAATCATTAATACGAAATAATCCTTGCCTGTAAATAATTTATTTATATCATAAGAAAATGGAAGTATTTAAAACGTCTTTTAAATCAATTTTTTTGGTAATTTTAGCTCTTATTAAGCTGCAATTTAGTGGCTAAAATTATTCAAGTAATACATGATAAATATGTAAAAAAAATCATGTTTCATCCAAAAAATTTAAACAATAAGTGTCTACACTAAACTTAAAAAGAAGATTTATATTTCGATAATGTTTAATTGGAAATGTTTCGACAGTGTATAATATAAAAGTGAAATACATCGACCACGATCTCGATATGATAACGAAATCTCATATCAGTATAAGGTTAGAAATTTGAAATTTTGCAGGTCAATTCCTCATAAAATGAAGAGAATAAGAAGCTAGAGAAGTTAAAATCGTAATAAAAAAAAACATTAAAAAATAGGTTAGTACATATAAAAGTCTGTTATTTTTAAAGTTAACGGGACCCAAAATTTGAAAAAATCTTTCCGATTACAGTTGACTATTCTAATTCAAAATTTTATGCATATCTTTTTACGAAAAATAGAGGATAACGCGATATTGGAGATGACGTCGTTTTTAAAGTAAAAAAAAAAAAAACATGAAAATTAGTATTGAGTTTTATGGAATTTTTTGTTGTATTTTTGTAACATCATAGTCGCTTAAAAATATATTTCCTATCACGTTAATTTTAGTGCAAAATAAGTTGTAAAAACCTATTTAAATGAAATCTAAATTTTGGATGGATTCAAAACGACAATATTTACTGAGTATATCATATAAGGGGATGTGGCATTTGTTCGTAATTATTTAATTAATTATAGCTAAATTACTACATTTAAAGACTACCGCCATCTAAACTACTTGTGATGAATTCCCGATACCAAAATTATTTTAATATTGAAGCCTCTGCTATGTCATAAGCTAAGTATTTCAAATTAATTCATAAAAAATATTCAGATAATACTCAAATTGCTTATATATAAATATTTAAAAAATCAACTAAACTAAATAAAACATCATATATATATGAAAATAAAATATTTGAAGTTTGTACTGGATTACAATCCTATTGTTTTAAATGCATCATGTTGTCTCTTTCTTTACATCGTCTTTGGAAAAGGATAGCGATATCGTATTATTATATAATTAGGAATAAAGCTTTCGTCAATTATTATAGTGTAGAATATTAATATAAAAATCTTTATACGAGTGGTGAATACACACATAACCGTTGTGATCATATTGAAGTAAAAAATTAAGACTTAAATATGCAGGTGTTTCACCATTGATTGATTTAAAGAAAAATTAATGCGCGTCTATATAATTCTTTAGTCTGAGATTTATAATTATTAATGTTCTTGTAAATAAGGGCTAAGCGCTTGAATTCGCCGCGAGAGGGCGCCAGTGTAGAGTGAGGTCTCTAGGAATGTCAAATAACACTGAATATTTACTGTTTGCGAGCTTTTCATCGCGGATCTTTACTAATTTTATAAATATTGTGCCATTTCTGTTTAATTATGGCAGACATGGTACGACTCAACAAATGTTATGGCTTTAAATTAAGATATAAGAAAAGGTCAACATTTTATCTATTTGGTTATTATATATTGATTATGTAAAACAAAATCCTGATAAATTGGTGCCGCGCTAACAATTATTATTATCATATTAAACTTATAGCTCTGTCGCACTAACAAATACTTTTTCAACGACTGCGATAGGATCTTACTCGCCAGTGGCGCCAACTGGTGCCATCAGAAACTATAGTCCTTATTCTCATAAAACTCAAAGTAGTTTAATGAGACAGACACATGCCGTAATGAATTCGCCCTAATCATACGATGTCACATGCAAGATAGAACATAAATTACTTTCTACACTTTAAACAATCCATTTCCTAAATTTTTATGATTTAATTTTTTACTCGTTTTCAGACATTTCCTAACAATATAAAGGATTTCTAGATAAATGTGATAAAAAGCGTGTTTTCAAGCGAACTGTGTCATAATTAAGTTATCATATAACCTCCCATTCACTATCTAAATGATCGTCAGGTGATATTAGAGTATTCGCGTCTTTAACAGCATTCTTTATGTCCAATTTTAATTCTATTTTTTCTAAATTCCAATTATTCGGCAGTTTAACGACTTTAGGAACTAAATCACCGGTTTCGATTTTCTTTTGCACAGGTTTTTCGGGTTTGCTTATAATTTTTTCGGTTTTCGGTTTTTCTTTGCGTGACATTTCTTTTTGGGTTATAACCGGTTTTTCTTTGTCATATTTGTATGATTTTTCCATTTCCGCTTTATACGTCACTTCGATATCCGGTTTATATTTTAGATCAGTATCTTTGATAGCGGTCGTTCGGATTTTTGATGCTAAGAGATTCCAAGTTGAGCATTTTAGCGAGTATCTTTTCTTTTTCAGCTATCTGTTGTTCTAACAGATCGTCGTTTTGCTGCGGCATAATCCTGGAAAAAGATACACAATTTAAAAAAAAATTAAGATTAAAACAGACAGAATATTAAAAGGATTTATACAGATATTATATTTCGAAATACACCGGCTTTATAGATAGCCCTAATTAAATAAATGATAAAATAAGAGCGTGTGATCCGTTAGAGGCTACGTTTTTTAACTATTTTAGTTGCCAGCATCATTTAAGGAAAGAGTTAGAGACCTTTAAAGTTAGCTCTTAAAAAAGACCAAAAACATAAATAAAATTGCATACCCGTATACACTAACATTCATCACACAAGGACTGGTATAACTGACGTTCTCCGGTTTCCGCACTGGTGTCGCCATTCTCGGGGTACTCGATCCCGAACTATTATCTCTCCTGCGACTTCGTCTGCTATGTATCAATTCATCATCATACTTCTTCTCCATTATACTATTATACATTTTCAATTTCTTTTGCAATTCCTCAGATTTGACCCGCCTTATCTCTTCCGCGTCACTCGATACGTCTTTGAACTCGTTTATAATCGATTCGAGGACATTTTCGGATATATCGTTAGGGAGGTGCTTTATGGGAGGTAGTTCGAAGCACTCTTCCCCATTGGCTATGGTTCCGGTCTCTATGGTCTCATTTCTGGTGAACATCGAGATCGGTTGTTCTAGAACGCTAGTGATGTAGGGGACAGTTTGGTCGATGTGGGTGAGATCGCGCACAGTGTTGACGGCGTGTTGTAGTGAAGTTGTTAAGGACTTCGTCATTAGATTTGTTGTATCGTCTGTGGAATGAAAAGTGTGCGATATTAATATTTTTTTGCTTTGTAATAGAAGTTTTATTTAAAATGTATTATTCCCGTAAATCTAAAAAAATATTATATGTTTAGTTTAAATTTAATAACTATTTCAATTTTTTGTTTTAATTTTTTTTTGTAATGAGAACATTTCTTATAAATTAAATAATTTCTATACACTTTATTATCTTTTACTACTGAATAAGGATTTTTTAATCAACACAAATATTATACACTAAAGAGAAGCGATATCTAACAGAGCCATTGCTCATATTATAAAGCAATAAAAAAATTAAAATGATAATTGACAGCATATTCGAAAAAGAAAAAAAAGGTAAAAATAAAAATGCAAAATAATATATAAAAAAATATATTTAAAAAGTACAATGGCCGTGTTGACATCGTTTCAAACTTAATATAAAGTCAGTGAGTTGTTTATTTTAAATATTTGACCTGTGAGTGAAAAAAACATTTATTTGTATAATTAAATGCAAGGTTATGGAATAATTGAAAGTCAACTTTAAAAACCATAGATAAATAGAAATTAAAAAAAAAATTAGGTACACCAGTGAAGCAAATAAAAAAAATAACTGACAAACGCTCATATGACTGATTATGTAAGGAATATATGAATATTACTATGATGAATTAAACAAAGTAATATAATGCTAAAATTAAAAACAAAATGGCGGTGTGGAGATTTCCTAATCGCAAGATGTAGAACTACGACCGTTTGGAGTCTATATTTAGTCTGTGTACAACACTTACAAAAGATAAATTCAAAATAAATACTATGCGTAGTAGAAATATGAAATGCTTTCGCTAGTTCCACAAATGGCTACTAGGAAAACTATTCACCGCCAATATAAAATGCTAATTCACAAGATACAGTAAACATAATATCAAAAATAATTAAGAAATTAAAAAAAAAAAGATTTCATTCTAATAATTAAATTCATTATTAATTTCCATTTCTTCGCACTGAATTTATTAAAAAGTAAAATTAATTTGATTTTATTTATTTTTAATGTTCATTTACATTAGTACCGAAATTTTAGCCACTAGTGACAGAATTATCGGTTTATATTTATTAAATAAAAATAAAATAAAAATGGAGTGTTTAAAGCCCAACTAATGCTAATATTCTATCTCAAACTTTCACAATAGTGATCAAATGAATACTATAAACAACCTACAAATTGTGCCCAAACCTTTTCTAATTAACTAAAATTAAATGAAAAGAACAAACTAAATGTATTAAAGGATAACATTTTCGTCATTTATTTTCATATTTCGAAAGTATTTATTTAAGACTAGAAAAAAAATAACTAACAAAGAGTACTAAATATTATATAAAAATATATAAGTGCACAAAATTATCATACATATATGTAAATTTTGTGATACAAAAATAAAGTGATTAATATGTCCATAAAAGTATTTAAAAATATTTTTCTCTATATTATATAATAATATAATTTATAAGCTATATAGTATACATAATTATATACTGTATAGTGTATATTAACAATGTAAGCGTCTCTATCTCATCTATTAATTTAATTCCCAGAAGAAAAGCATATTTTAATTTCTTCCCCGATTTTAACTTCTTTTTCAAGAGATTTCAAATTAAAGCGTATGTCTAGATACGTAAAAAACTTTATAACATAACCGTATTCACCTGCAATTGCAAGGACATTTAATTATTTTTTTTAAGAACTATTTTTTTTATAAATATTAAAATCCTTTAAAAAATGTTTTATTTACTAAAAAAATATACTTTATATAACATATTCTTTAAATTCATTAACTTATGCCTATCAATAAAAAAATAATGTTGCATATTTTAATTGGTTTTTTTCTTAAAATACTTGGAAGGAAAGGTGAGAAAGAGATAGACATACATATTTATCGTTGTATATTTTAATATTATTTTTAGTTCCCTATTTGGTATTAGTTAAGGCACTGTCTTCGGCACATATTTATATAAAAAAAATGATAACGTTGATAACAAATGCTTGTGTGACATTATTTGTAAAATTTATTGAAATATTCGATATTCGAATATATAAACACATATTCGTCACAGTCGTCGTAGAGTATGGCACAAAAAAAAACGTATACATATCGAGACTTGATTTAAAAAAATATATGGTAATACCATTATAATGTTTCAAAGGGTAAAACATAATTAAAATTTTATATTACTTGTAAATACTCATTAGGCAATAAGACTATCGCACGGACGGATCATATTATTATAACACAACCTATTGAAAAAGTTCACCAACAAAATGTCAGCTACAATATACGATGAAAATAAACAGCTTACATGATATTTCCAAAAATTTAAATAATCTCTCGCTACTATGGTTAACGACAATGGATATGAAGAAAGATCGAGTAAAAGTCAAAACAAAATAATGTCCAAAGAAATACTTATAATATTATAATAAAAATACCGATATTAGTTGATATTTACATATTAGTTGAGATAAAGCAAATATTTTCTTTTCTAAAATCTAACGTAACTTTTATCAAATTGATTAAAGACACATGAATCGGAAAAACTACCCACAATGTTTGGAGCCATTATGATGGAAAAGTTAAGGAAATAAAACACCTAAAAGGCGACCACGACCGAGATTTCGGTCACAGGGACCAGTAACATTAAGATAACTTGATGGTCGCCGTCTTTTGTCTTGTAGTACGTGGTATCTACACTACTATTATAAACAGGAGAGATGTGTATTTTTGTATGTTCGTAACGACTACACTCAAAAACTACTGAACCGATTTAGATGAAATTTGATAAGAAGATAGTTTGAAACCCTGGGAAGCACAAAGGATATTTTATTCCGGAAATCATCCCTTAAGAGGGTGAAAATGAGAATAAGTTTGCATGGGGAATCAACCTAGGGACGAACCCGAGCAAAACGAGGGTCAGCCGCTAGTTGAATATAAGGTAATATTCGTAAGAATAATAGTTGGTCGCTAACGACCATGGTCACGGTCGCCGAGTGTGCAGGTGGAGTGGTAGAAGGTCAGTAACATGACATAAGTAACCCATTTTAAAGAATTAATTGGCAAAGCGAGTTGAAATTGGGCGAGAATATAGATTTTTTTCTTGCATTCCGTATCTTAATTAGCATCGTTATAATGTGACAACGATAAAATCATTTTTACAGTGTTATCACTAAAGACTTAACACGTAAATATTCGTTCCTTTTTTTTTAAATTCTATCTCTTATGGCCGACTTCACCAACGTCACCTAAGTTTAAGGGATCCCCTAAGCATAATTAGGGGGCTGTTAGGGGACAGTTTCTGTTTCAGCGACAGTAAGGGGTCACCTAAATATTAAAATGCCACCTAAATATAGGTACTAGAAATACGGGCTCTGACGATAGTATAATGAAATTTATTTTAGGGGCTAGTTTAGGGGACCCCCCCAACGTGCGTTCACCTTGTCGTGGTGGGGAGGCTCAGTAGTGTCCGGCAACCCAACCGGACGCGAAGCCAAGAAACGCACACGCACAGGGAGGTGGCCCACTTCGGAGGGCGGTGTACCATGCGGGTTGCTCCTGGTACTTCTCTGATAGCAGAGTGGACCTTGGAGCAACCCCGTGGTTGTTGTGGTCTGCTTTGGCAGACCTGCCGTCGGGGCGTCGTAGTTGAATGCGTAAGCGATCCTGCGACGCCCCATTAAGACGGTGGAAGGCTTTGTTGGGTTTTAGTGGGTAGTACTGGCTTTGCCGGTGAGTCCCACACCTCGTGCGTAAATGCATTTCCCAACGTTAAAAAAAAGGGGCTAGTTTAGGGGAACTTTTAAGCTAGAGATCCCATACGTAGGTTGTAGCTTAAGTGATGTTGGTGAAATCGGGCATCAGTCTCCTTGAAAAATACATCAAAGAAAGCAGTAAAGTGCACAACCATTAATCGAATGTTATTTGTCATAATACAAAATATATAGATTTTTTCTAATTTGGTAACAATATTGATTTGGTCATATACTTTGATACGAAAGTTATAAAATATTCGATAGTGATGAGCGTTCAGGGGTAGTATATCTTAAAATAGTAAAGTACATTAAATATCGATATTAATCAGTATTAGAAAAATGTAACACTTCACTATTTCAATACAATTTTTTTACTATTAAAAAAATGTTATACAAGCATATTTTGGAATTTCATAGATAAGGTTTAATGTAAGATATTAAAATGAACTTATTTACGAATATTATATTCAAATTATACCCAAAAATATTATCGTCAAATCACTATCGAATTAAAAATTACTATTTCTAAATAACACTAAAATTAAGTACTAATAAAATGACTACATACTAAGTACTACACTGCTTCATAATACTATTACAATACGTGCTATATTTTATAGCTAACCCTGCAATTTCTTATATAAAAGCAAATTAAAGGAATAAAAAAGCTCAATGTAATGCATACTCTCAGACCAATTATTATATAGAGAGTGTCATAGAAATAAACATGAAGCCAAATAATAATGTATTAAAACAGTATTCAAATATTAATATAGTACTCATTACTGTGATATGTAAATAAATATTAATAAATAAAAATAAGTACGCGATTTTAGAAAAAATGAATTAATAAGCTATTTTTATGCTATCTCTCTTTCAATGCAAAGAGAGTTATGCCCGATTTCACCAACGTCACCTAAGGTTAAGGGATCCCCTAAGCATGGTTAGGGGGCTGTTAGGGGACAGATTCTGTTTCACCGAAAATTAGGGGTCACCTAAATATTAAAAGACCCCCTAAATTAAGGTGCTCGAAATATGGGCTTAAAGACGATCGTAAAACGAAATTTAATTTAGGGGCTAGTTTAGGGGACTTTTAAGCTAGGGAACCCATACGTAGGTGGTAGCTTATGGGTTGTTGGTGAAATCGGGCATTATTGTTAAAAAATTCAACACCATATACTATTTAGTATTAGACTTAACCTGTCAGCGACTGCCGAGCGACAGGCGGCTCGGTTAACAATTGAATGCTTCAAAATTAACCGCGAGGTGTTAATGTTCATATTTGATTTTCAAAAATTGTAAATTAGCGAATAATACCTAACGTATATATAAAATTCCCTTATTCTTTAAAGAAAGTTAACGATCCAACGATATACGAAAAGTATGGTAAAATCGAAAATAGTAGGACAAACAGCAAATCACGCTACTATTTTTGACTTTGACATTTTTTTAACCGGACCTTGTCTATATTATTCTTTAGTCTATGTACAAATCATAGATAATGTAAGCTATACAGAAAATATCAACAAAAAAGGTTTAATGGTACATAATTTGGCACCAAAAAGCTTAAACTATAAGCTTTAAATATAAAAGCATAATATATAGAACAAACTTATCTAGAGACTTTAAAATGATTTCATATCGGGATGTATAAAATCTATCTAAAATCATCTTAAACACTAAATATGTTGAAAAATAATATTATAATGACTATTCCACAATACTATTAAAGTAATAATAATAAAATAAAGCAAATTAAAAAAAAATAGGAATGATTAAGTACTAGGTTTAAGTATTTTATAATACTACGCACACAAATTAAAAAGGCACATTTCTGTAAATGAAATGATTGTGGAAGGTATGAAATTGGTCATAGAAGCTAATAATGTAAATTGTATATATAATAAAAATGCCATATTTATAAAAAAAATATCGATCACTAAAAAGTACTAGATACACAATCAGCGACAAAAAATGTCCTTACCGAATGAGCGCCCATGAGGCCATTTGGGTACGCTTTTAATTTAGTAGCATTCGTACGTTCCGACGGTAAACATGCTTCGGTACTCGTTTAAAAATTACAAAAATCACACATCTAAGACTAAAAAGGTATGGTGTTTCATATTTTCGGTAAGTTTTAATATTATCATTATATAAGTGTTATTACTATATTGTAAATACGGAAATTTTGTCAAGAAATTATCGTAAAAACAGTTTTTAAATTAAGTCGTAATAAACAGCAGGAGTTATAAAGCATCTCAATTGCAATGACTCTTACTAAGAGTATTAATCATACTATCGCATACATACTTAAATTGTTCGAGTTATATGCGTTGATTCTGTTCCATTTGTTGGTTTTTTTGGCACTTTGTAATTCTGACTTTAAGACATGCTTGCAAGGTTGAACTTGTTTTGATGTATGTTGACCAGTGAGGCTTGGTCGTAAATTTTACTTTTTATACACAGCTTTGTGAAAACAACTTCAAGCATTGCATTTAAGATTGAATTTACATTGTTGTATATTTTATTTCAACTAGAATTATCTAAACACAGTTGGTAACAGTTTTAAGAGAACTTTTTCATGGGATAGTGTATCTAGTACTTTTTGATTGATGAATTTTATGGTTAAAAGTCATTATTAATAAGTGTTAAAATTAAAACAAAATTTCTACTAAAAAGTTTCTACTAATATTGAATGCATTATATGAATACTATACTACAATGTGGTATACAGTAATAAGTAAAATAATGATGTGATGTGTTGTTAGAAAATGATAAAATTATTGAATGGGACAATGACAAGGATGTGAATATGTTGACAAGTCAAATGCTTCTAGATTGCATATTTTACAATTAATCGATTTATATTATTAAAATAATTTTAAAATAGTTCAATTTGGTTGTAGAATATAAACATATCAAGTTATTCAACCTATATGTGTATTTTAGTAAGTGTTAATTTTCGTAGAGTGTAATGATGTAGAGAAGTCCCTATACTTCTATATTCATACTAGGAAGTATTACAGTTGGTCATATATAAGTATAGGGATCGAAATCCCTAATAATATATAAAATATCCCGAAGGATTGTCAGGGTGAAGTGTGGAGGTGTTGCGTGTGGGTGAGCGTGGGGGTGTTGGAGGGTACCGGGGGGTGTCCGGGGGTGTCGGGTGTGTGTCATGAAGAGAAGTATGTGTTTTAAGGCTTATTTTCATTAGTCGTTAATTATATCGTTACATCGGATGCGAGAATTCGCCGAATGTGAGATAACGATTTATGAAAGTGCTTTATCCATATCGATATACATCATACGGGTATTCCCCGCAAACGGCAGCCCTATTTGGCACAGTCTTGTTCCCCACACGCGGGCCTCATCGACCTATGAAAACGGTTGCCGCATTCGGGTGCTATGGCATGCATAACATAAAATGCCCCGCATCCTACCACCGGGCTCTAATGACCAGTAAAAGTGAGCCTCTTAAGAATGGAAGTGAAGTGTGGGGGTGTTGGGTATGATCACAGTGGGGGAGCGTGGGGGAGCCGCGCGAACACACCTGCGGCGAGCGCGGCGGGCTCGGGCGCGTGCGCGAGGCGCAGCAGCGAGCGCGCGCCCTCGAGCACGAAGATCTCGTCCTTGTTCACCGCCACCGATATGATCCTGGGATAGTTATTATTGCCATTATTAATATAATTTCTCTACGGATTTCACGGTCCTTTGGAAGGTTTGCGTAGACACTGGTCTAATACATCTCTATGTATGTATACTATTATTACTGATATTATTATCCCTATATCATATAATTTTCAGTGTATCCACAAATAAAAAACCCGAAAATATCCCGGGATTTGAACCCGCTTCACTCGGTTTCCCAAGCGAGCGCGTTACAATTGGTCTGCGTACTAGTGCCTAACTGATAATAAAATTACCGATAAACCCAAATAGCTGATAAAGTAACTCAACGGCCATTTCTTTTCGAGTTTAATAAAAAAAAAAATGATTTTTGACAGCAAACATTTGACGTTAAGTAAAAAGAAATCTCATACATTAATTCATACACATTGTCACAAGTACCAGGGTAGCATATACATCGGGCAACATACATAGTACACGTTGGATCTAATCGAAGAAAAGTTTGCACAACTGAAATTCTTACAACATACACTCCTCAACGCTTATGACCGCCTGGTGGTACATTTGTCACTAGTACTAGGGGACCACGAACCTCAAGGAGTGCTCATTATATACATTTATGGAGGTCCCCATCAATGAGTGCATACGACCTCCTTGACACTTATGCTCACCTGGTACTTGTGATGACGTCACGTGGGATGCTCTTCTATATCTATACTAATATTATAAAGAGGTAAAGTTTGTGAGTTTGTGACGTTGTAGGGGGTAATCTCTGGATCTACTGAACTGATTTGGATGAAATTTGTAAGAAGATAGTTTGAGACTCTGGGAAGGACATAGGATACTTTTTATCCCAGAAATCATCCCTTAGGGGGGTGAAAATGGGGATGAAAGTTTGTATTGGAAAGTAAGCAAAGTAATAAAATAAAACAAGTTCCATTACCTTCTGAGATCATCGACGACGGCGACCGCGGTGAGGGAGCGCGGGTCGAGTATGTAGAGGAGGCAGTCGTCGTGCGACACGAGGAAGTGGTCGCGGAACACGTGCAGCGGGCCCAGGTTGTGCTCGCGCTCCGCGGCCGAGTGCTTGCGCGACGACGGGTTCAGCAGCTCCGCCACCGTCAGCGGGTTCGATATCGCCTCCTGTTCACGCAATTATTGATGTGAATATAACAAAACACACATTGTTATTGTTATCACTAAATAGTATAAAACAATGTCGCTTTCCGCTGTCTGTCTGTCCCTATGTATGCTTACATCTTTAAAACTACGCAACGGATTTTGATGCGAATTTTTTTATAGATTGAGTGATTGAAGAGGAAGGTTTATATGTAATACATGCATATTATAGTACAGAAAAGCCGAGACATTCAAACATTTGTATATCATACTAAGTATTAAAACGTACCTAGGGACGAACCCGAGGGAAGCGAGGGTGAGTTGCTGGTTGTTAAATAGATTAAATGAGACTTATATAAATGTTGTGGTTGAGTGCGTAAGCGATCCCGCGACGCCGCGATTAGACGGGATGAGGAGGAGGCGGGAGGTGGGGGACGGGGGGGGGGTCCCACATAACCACCTGCATGTGTACAGGTGGTATGCGTAAATACATTTCCCAACATTAAAAAAAAAGTCTGGCTTTGGTAACCTAGAGTCTTAGCGCAATATTACATACATAGATATTGAATTATTATACTAGTGTCCCTACACTACAGATACCAGGCAAGCATAAACCGCAAGAAGTAACCACTAACCTTAAACAGCAGCGTCTGGTGCACTTTGCCGGCGACGTCGGCGCGCCACAGACGCAGGCCGGGCCGCGCGCAGTACGCGGCCGCCGCACCGCCGCGCGCGTACGAGTACTGGAACACCGCGCCCAGGGCGCACAGGCTGGCAGACACACATACATAGTGGTACTTACTTTTGTTTCATAGAGAATTTCTATTAATCTATACAGATAAATATAATTGTTTGTAATGTCAAAATAACAGCGTTTTATTAAATCCATAGGGAATTATATATGGTACTTATAAGATAACACAAATTTTTTAATTTTTATCTGTCTGTCTGTTTGTTCCGGCTAATCTTCGAAACTGCTGGACCTATTTTGACAGGAATCTCACTGATAGATAGCTGATGTTATAAAGAGTAAATTAGGCTACTTTTATTTTAGACTTGCGTTAAAATAAATATACGTACCTAGGTGCGCACCCGAGCAGAGCGGGGGTAAGTCGCTTATTATACAAATAAATAATAGTAATATGTATGAGCTATGAATGGATAGTTTTTTTAATTTAAAAAATGGATGAATTTTTTTAGGGATAACTAACATCGATAAGTAATATCTAACTCATTTACCCAAATGTATTTATTTGGTTTACGCGAAAATTGATATTTTATGTAAAACATTTTTTTTTTTCGATTTTGTCGCGGTTCTATTTTGCTTTTCTGTTTCCGTCGTTTCGAATGCTTTAAAGCAACATCACATATATGTGACTGACGTGACGTAATAGCTGTATAGAATTCGAAACCTCGAGAACCAAAAAAAAACCGAATAAATAGATTTATTCACTACTAGCATTGCCCGCGGCTTCGCCTGCGTTCAGATGACCAAAAACCAAATTCTTAAGTTTTACATAATATTGGTATACTCTTACATTGCAGTTTTTGTATTTTTTCTCAAAAATGAGATATTTTTCGGCGGAAAAAAGTATCCTGTATATTGACACGGATAATCAGCTATCACCATACTAAATTTCATCAAAATCCCTCCAGTGGTTTTCCCGTGATACGGTAACAGACAGATAGACAAAAATTCTAAAAAATATAGATTCGGCCTCTGTATCGATAATAATGTCCATTTGAATAAGATTTTCCAAAAAATATTTAATGTACAGATTCGGCTCGTTTACAATTTTATTATATGTATAGATAGTGTAGTATAGCTAATTATCTCACCTTTTCCTCTCCTTCTTCCCCAACTGTGTAACATGCCACCGACTGTCGCGTCTCTCGCACACTATACTGCGGTACATGCTCGACACCAGCAGTGTGTTCTGGTAGTAACTCATTTGCACTATTTCATGTTCTTCATTCACAATTTCCATAGACTTACACAAATGCTGTAAATGTTAATATTATATATAAAATATCAATCATTCCTTAAGTATATTCGTATCTTTACAAATTAAAGTATTTTTTATATTGATATTACAACAACATTTTTTTTTAAACAATTTTTAAACTATTTAAAAATTGTGACATTTTTATGAAGGTGTTTCGATGATTGATACTCAACCACGTCATGTATGTATACATATTTTTAATTCTAACCTTATTAAGAGATGGCGCTGCCAAAAAAGTAATACCTTGGGATATTATACAACTTAAAAGTAATTAAGTAAAATAAACATTTATATGGGCCAACGAAGTATTATTTTAAAATAATTTAAGTAATATTCCCTAGTTTTTTTCAAACCGATGTTCGCAGTCTAAATACTCTCTTCGGACAAACACTAGTATTGATTATCCAAACATTCATCATGATTTTACGTCAGCCATACAAAATACATAGTATCTTTTATCTTTTGTAAATAAATGTTAAAAAAATATATAAATAAATAATAAATAAATCTGTTGAGACATAAGCACACAGCACCATCTAGTTCCATGATAAGCTACGAAGCTTGTGTTATGGATACCAGATAGTTGATACACTACACTTATATAACTTTAAATACATACATATTATAAATATAAACACCTATGACTGAAGTACAAACATTCATGCTCATCACACAAATGAATGCCCCCAGCGGCACTCGAACCCGCGACCGCTGGCACAGAAAGTAGGGTCACTACAAACTGAGCCAAAGGTGTCGTCAATATACAGAAATACTTTCAAAACAGACCGATAACTTTCTATAATCACTTATAATTGTTTACGCGACGCTTTCAATGGGAAGCGGAAAAATAGATAACGTGCGGGGATCATTACACTGTGTGTTGTTCTTTCTTACGTATTTACAAAACGAGTATTATTAATGCAAATATTTTACTAAAACTTGTTGCATAAAATTAAAACTTGTATAAAAGTATTTATTTCAAAATAAAGAATAATTTAATATCTACCTAAAGTTTAATCTTATTAGAGAAAAGAAAGAGTATCGATAAGACCACATTTCCGCCCTGGAATAACGAAAAAATTTGATATTTTCTTTACATATTCTGATAGTAGACTGTCAGCCTGGTTGTTTGTTACCCTTTCACGCCAGAACGGCTGAACGGATCTGGATGAAATTTGGCACAGAGATAAATTATAGTCTGCAAAAACACATAGGCTACTTTTTATCCCGGAAAAATATACGGTTCCGGTGGGATAGGTTTGTTTTTGTTTTCCTAAAGGCGAACCCGAGTGAAACAAGGGTCAGCCCTAGCGGCTATATTATAAATGCGAAAGTTTGTATGGATGTTTGTTACTCAATCACACCAGAACGGCTGAACGAATCTAGATAAAATTTAGCAAAGAGGTAGATTATAGTTTGGAATAGCACATAGGTCATTTATTATCCCGGAAAAATGTACGTTTCCCGTGGGATATATTGTTTTTGTTTTTCACTTGCGAAGCGAGGGAGGGTCGCTAGTAAGATAATATTTTATATCTGTACGGTGACGGCATCCCCGAATCGCCCTACCGACTCCGTCTCGTATTAGATAATATAATTAAATAAAGAAAATTGACATTCTAATACAGTTGTATCAACAACAAACTTACCATGTAGAAGTCAATTTCAGTCATAATAATGACGCCATTCTTGTCACCGGAGAACAATCGCATTCCATTCTTCGACCACTCTATTGCTGTTATTTTGCTTTTGTGCAAATCTCCTATTGTGTACCTTAAAAGTTACAAGTTACAAACTATAGTAAGTATCTATTTATTAAGAAATCGCGAATTTGTTTTTTTTTTATATTTTTATATTTTGACTTCAGAGTTAATTTTATTTGCAACTAGTGTTGTTTAATTGGGAGTAACTGCTAAATATGACTACCTTTTTGTATGAAAGGGCAAAGAAAAATAAAAAGTTTTTTTTTGAAATCTATTGAAATCTACCATGTTTCCGTTACCCTGACAGGTAGAAAATAGTTTTCTAAACAATATTTATCGTACAGTAATTATTAATTTCGTTAACAGTTTTATTATTCACTAGCATTGCCCGCGGCTCCGCCCGCGTTCAGGACCTCAGGTGACTAAAAACCAAATTCTTAGGTTTTACATATTAGTATAATCTTACATTACAGTTTTTGTATTTTTTCTTAGAAATGAGAAATATTCCCGCGGTAAAAAGTATCCTATATGTTGACCTGGATAAGAAGCTATCACCATACCAAATTTCATTAAAATCCCTCCAGTGGTTTTTCTGTGATGCGGTAACAGACAGACAGACAAAAATTCTAAAAACTATAGATTCGGCCTCTGTATCGATAATAATGTCTATTTCAATAAGATTTTCCAAAAAATATTTAATGTACAGATGCGGCTTAGTTACAATTTTATTATATGTATAGATAATGTAAGTGAAAGGAGTTCACGTTAGCCAGAGTGGAAAGAGAGAAAGGGTGAGGGAGGGAGACTACGTATTCACATATTCTTAAAAAAAACAATTTAATACATATATCTGCTTTAAACTATTTTATAACAATTAAGTTCCTACACAAGTGACACTTTTATTTTACTAAGAAACTTTATCGAAAAAAAAGGCCTCCTTTCGAGGGGATTTTATGTACCGTGACATTAAGCATTGTACACATGTGAGTCACAGTAGGGGAAAAACCACTTGACATGAATTATGGACCACCAAATATAATAGAAAACACAACGTGATGAATATTTAAACTTGTATAAATATTCATAAACTCTATATAATACTAGCGACTCACCCTCGCCTCGCTCGGGTTCGTCCCTAGGTACGTTTTAACGGTTATTAAAATATATATACGTAGGTATGGTGAATTTTATATCCGTTACTTGAGAAATGATTGATTCCCATACAAATTTTCATCCCCTTTTCAAACCTTAAAGGATGAGTTCCGGGATTAAAATTATCTTGCTCAGAGTCTCAATTTTCAACTAAATCGATTCAGGAGATTTTTAGTTTATCCATTACGAACATAAACAAACCTACACACACATATAGAAGTACCACAGTATAAAAGTAGGCAAGGAGTAACAGTTTATTGGGACGGAGTCATAGACGCGAGAGAGTATTAGGCACTAACGTGGATAGATATATGTATAAGTGGAGAATGAAGATAATGTGTTTGGATTGTGTAACAGTGGATATACTTACATATGTATGCTGATAAGGTGGCTGCCAGAAAGAAATGTAAGAAGAAAATATGCTATGCCGACCGTGGGATCGGAATAGACTAAAGGCCATAGTATGGGTTAAGGAGAAGACCAAAAGACAACCAAACCGATGATGATCCGATTCTGATAATACTTTCACTAATAGAAAACTAAATTACCGCCGAGTGCTGTAGGTTATTTTTATATCGATAATATGTATGGCGAATAAAATGTATAGCAAAAAGGCACCTTAGAATGAACTAGAGCAAAGCGAGGTAAAGTCGCTAGTTTTAAATACGTTATGGCAGTTTTATTTTAATTTTTTTTGACGTTCCGACGTTTCAAATGCTTTATAGGAGTTATTTATGAGGAGAAAGGCTTTATATAATTAGTAAGTGCATGCATTATGATAACTAAAGCAGAATGTAATTAACGATTCCTACAGTCCAAATCCCTCCAGTGGTTTTTCCGTGATGCGGTACTTAACAGACAGACAGACAAAAATTCTAAAAACTATAGATTCTGCCTCTGTATTGATAATAAAGTCTATTTCAATAAGATTTTCCAAAAAATATCTAATGTACAGATTCGGCTTAATTACAATTTTATTATATGTATAGATAAAATAAGGATTAATATAAACTACAAGTTACCTCTCCACCTTAGGTTCAACTTTGGGTTTGAATGTATCAGGTAAGTTGTCAGGGTGTTCTTTAGGAATTTGGAACACAGTGACTTGACCTGACACATTTCCAGCGCCAACCATGTAATCCACAGTACTTACTATCTTCACATATGTTATTGGTGAAGTTGATGCCTAAAATAAGTATAAAACAAAATGAGGTCATATTAGAAATGAATGAAAAAAAATTACTTTTACAATAAAGGAAATACATTTAAAATACAAAACTACTACACAAATGTACATTAAATTAATTATTACTGTACAAGTCGTGTCTGCACAGAATTGTGACAAGAAAGCTAGCCGCATTACCCTGCTGAATATAATTTGGTCCTATTATTGTTCTTATTTTATTGTTTATATATAAGTTTGTTATACATAAGTTTTTGGAAGTTGATGCTGGCTTAATCTGTGATATTCTTACCTACATTTAGGTATATTAACTAAGTTTCTTATCTACATTTAGCAGATATTTACTTTATTTTTTGCTCCAAACATTAGTTTATTTTCCACATTTTATAGATTCAAATAGAAATACTAATAGTATTTTTTTAAATAAGAAAATCAATATCTATTGTACATAATATACTAAATTTTTTTATGCTATTGTAGAATTAACTGGTTAACACTAAGAAAAACCCTTCATGAGTTCAAGAAAATCTTAATAGCTAACCTACATAGATAAAGAAGTATACACACTGTTAAAGTTCATTATAGTAACATTGCTGCTGCAGTTCAGTAGCTATCTATGTTTACTTAATTCTTATCACATACATATTTATTTTCCTGCAGGACTATTCATGTATATACTCATATAAACTGATAATTCCTTATATTTTAATTGTTTTGTTGAAAGTTATTTTTCTTTCATTGACCTTAAAATTTATTAAGTATTGACATTAAATCTACCGTTAAATATATTATTAGGGTTCCCTTCTCCCATTGGTTAGGGTGGTGTATTGTAAGTTTTACATTTCAAGTAACATATAGAAAGTGTTTGTTTAAATAATATCTCTTTATTAAAACAAATACTTTACTTAATATTATCTCTTATGGAGTAGAATATAAAGTACTACATAGGTAAGCTACAGTCATTCTAAATTTTAATATGATTGTTTGAGGCATCGAGAGATAACATTATACTGAACAATCCATTTACTATAATTTCATACTATTAGAAATTCAAATGAACCTAGCAATAGCTAGTATAAATATGTATATATGTATAGTAATAAAATACATTGTATTTACTTTATACTAATGCCTGTTGATACTCTACCAGAGAGCCATATTTGAGATATCAATAGAATTTGAAATTGTTAATTACATAAAGGGTATATACTTAAAAGATATTGAAAGTGTTACAAGGTAAAGGAAAGCTGTTTTAACATAATATGGAGGTCTTACTTACTTCGCATCTTAAACGTTGAATGTTCCCTTTCTTCCTGTCGTACCAATATACCAGTCCAACATTTGTCCCTAGCGCGATATATTCACTAACGGCATCCACACAGGTCAAGCACAATTCATTTGAAAATAGACCAGTTTGAATTCTAGGAGGAATTAAGTTTAAAATATGGGAGCAAGGTGTCCATTCTCTCACAAATCCTTCTTCAGCTCCGCTAGTTACCTCCATTTTAAAATATTTTTATTCAGCAGTTAAAGAACTGTAGAAAATCTGTTCTTGATCGCCAAATCATGTCTTGATTGTGTATATTTTCATTGTAACTGAAGAGAATTGTGAATATATTTTGACATTATTCTTATATATCAGTTGCTGTCTGTCTGATCTGATGTCTCTGTCACTTTAGTGATTAAGTCTTCAGCCTTCACTCCGCATCGGTTTTGTAATTTTTTTTTCATAGAGACTATTTCATATTCATAGAGTACACTTTTTTAATCTGTATTTAGGGTAATACCAACCTAAAAGATCTAACTGTACACTTGTCATTTTCTTGTCAAACTTGAACCATCGGGGGGAAAGGATAGTTGAGTGCATAATATTTTCAATTAAAATAAGAATCTTTGAAAATGGCTGAATCTGTGACAGAAATACCTATAAACATCGAAGAAACTGTAAAAGAAGTTGTACAAAATGTCACAGAAAAACCCCCAACAAGTATCGAAGGAGTCGCAATCGCGTACTTAAGTTTAGTGATAATGGCTATTTTACCTATATTTTTCGGATCATTTCGGTCTGTTAAATATTTAAAGGAACAGAAGGTAAGTTAAGTTTATATTCTCCGCTTATAAAAGTAATTATTATCATAGGTTGATTTAACAGAGCTCCCAATCAGAACATAGCACGTAATGTCATCGTGGCATATTTTGCCGTCGTTACCTTTTAAGAAAATAATGCACAATAGTATTAAGCGTTTTTTTAATGTATATTATTTGTTTTTTAAATAAATTACGACGTTAGTTTTTTTGCCATCGTCAAATGAATTCAAACCTCTATTTGTATGTTTTTTTATGAATATTTCCTATTAAAAATGCTCAAAATGAAATAAGGAACATATAAAATATATACACAATTATACAATTATGCATAATAACAAGTAATTAGTATATAATTTGTTAAGATAATGCTATAGTTTATTATATTTTTAATAACTATATTTTACTATTTTCAAGCAAATGTTTTCACAAATAGGAGAAACATATGTTTTATACATAATATGACATGATAGCAATGTTCATTATTAAGGATTTATAAATAATTCATTAACATGTAATAATTTCTTTTAGGAGTCAGGTGAAAGGCCTGAAACAATGTCAAATAAAGATGCCTTAATGTTCCCCCTGATAGCATCCTGCGCCTTATTTGCTCTCTACATATTCTTCCAATTCTTTTCTAAGGAGTATATAAATCTTCTTCTTACTGGATACTTTTTCTTCCTTGGAGTCTTAGCGTTGAGCCATCTCTTAAGGTAAATAAAACATTCTATCTGTTTGAATAGAATTAAGTGAGTCTTTTATATATGTGCGTTAGTATATGTTATAGTAACAGAAACAATATATAATGTATTATTTAACTAATTCATAAAACATTAGTTACAAAATTGAATCAACAAAATGTTTTTAAATAGTAAGATAATAATTATTTAAAATAAATATAGTAAGTAAATGGATATAGCTTCTTGTTATCTATTGAATTCAACATGGAGAGAAACTTGTTTCATAATTGCTGTGGTGTCACTGTAATTAATTTCTTATAACTCCAGCAGCTTACTGTAATGATTCATTTACTATAATATATTAAATAAATCTTATATTGCATGTTATAGTTTATTTATTATGATTTAAATTTGAAAATTATATAGCAAAATGAAAAAATAAAAACTGGCATTGAACATATTGGTAATCGCTGACTGCCCTAACGGTCAATTGTTTGGGGATGTGTAGAGGACAAATGAGGAGGTTCTTTTCAAAACTTGACTATACCACTTTTTGTGTTTTTTTACAATCTGAGGAAATAGTTTTGTAGGTATGCAGCTATGTTTTTAACCCAAAATTTTGATGCATTATTGTACATGACAACAATACTCCTTGCTTTGTACAGGATTCAAAAATTTAGCAATAATATGTTTTAAATAAATACAAAATTTGAAATGGAATTATCATTTTTTTACTCAAACCACTGTGGATTAATCTTGTATTGCTGAAACTAATTAGGTATCAGAAATCTCATTTTTCATAAAGGATTCCTGGTATTTTGTTGCAATTTAGATTAAAATAGTTAAATAACTTCTGGATTAATCATATTTTTTTTCCAAGAAGGTATCATTTTGATGTGGAATAAGCAATTTTTGACGAAATCATGCTTTTTAATCTTTTTTTTCTGCTGTAAATATCAAGTTTTGGGCCAATTTTATTTTCGCGGAGTGTAAATTTCAATGTTACCAAAGAAAAATAAAAAAAATAGTGCATCAAAAGTGGAATATTTAAGTTTTGAAAAGAAGCTCCTAAAATGGAAAATTATAATTCTTGGTCTGACCTTTGTAGATGTACATACAACAATGTTTCATCATAATCAAATAAAAAATGTAGGCATACATAGAATACAAACATACAAAGAAATATTAATTTTTATTCATATAGATTTTGATATTCCATCCATACATAATTTTTTTAAAGTCAATCAATTATTCGGATACGCATGAATTCAGAATTGACGCAAGTCGCAACAATATCGTAAAATATTTCGATATTAATATTTTTGCTTGCTTGTTTGAAAAAATAATACACATGAATAGAATTATTCTTAAAAAAATACCGATTTTATTACGATTTTTTAACTGACGTCAGAGTCTATCTTGAATTGTTTTTTAAACACGTCAAAACATACTTTTTTGATTTAAAAATATGAAGTAAACACATATTTGATGTATGAATGAAATGAAACAAATATCTGTTTGTCTATTTTTTGGTTCATAAACTAATTTCTATGTATTTTCCAGTCCAATAATCTCACTCATAGTACCGGCGTCAGTCCCCAACGTCCCTTACCACATCTTGTTCACACGCGGGGAGCGCGATGGTCGGTCAGACATCGTCAACTACAAGTTCACTTCCTACGACGTCATCTGCCTCATCATATCGTTGATCATGGGAGCCTGGTACTTGTTGAAGAAGGTGAGTTTTAAACCGAGGACGTATGCAATAGGGAATGAGCATTTTTTTTTTAATTTTTTATACTTTAGCTAAAAAAGTTATTATATAATTGTAAAAAAAAATTCCAGCTCCAAAAAATTAAAATTTAGTATTTTTTTAAAATATACCGCTACTTTAAACGCCCGCCATTTCTCAAGCTTGGCGTGACGTCACAGTATGATATACGCAGAGAAATGACGACTCATTTTGTAAACCACAAAATCACTAATATATATATATATATATATATATATATATATATATATATATATATATATATATATATATTGTGGTATATAGCATATTCCCTATTCGGTTATGTTAATTTTTTTGTGGCACTATAAAACATTTTTTTTATGACTCAATTCACTTATATTAACATAATGGTAGTTTGTTTAACTGTTCACAATTCTTCTTTCACATTTTTTCTACTAAAACTTTCTAGTTTCTACTTATTGCATAAAACCATAAACTCGACTTTTAATACAACAATAAATTTTTAATATTACTAGTATCAAGGTATTAAAAAAAAAAAATGTAAAAACTCTATGAACAAGATTTTTTTACCATTTCTATATTTTTCTTTGGAAGAAACTGCTTTGTGCCTTTGCTCAGGTAGATGGTTTTCTTCCTCCAATAGATAAATTATAACATTTCAGCACTGGATCGCCAACAATCTCTTTGGAATCGCCTTCGCAATCAACGGCGTAGAACTTCTGCATTTGAACAACGTAGTGACTGGATGTATCTTGCTCTGTGGCCTCTTCCTTTACGACATATTCTGGGTTTTCGGCACCAATGTTATGGTCACAGTTGCGAAGTCCTTCGAAGCCCCTATTAAATGTGAGTATACTTATAAATTATTAACCAGTTCGGATTTAAGGGAACTCTAGCTGGTCACCCCCAGGCCCCTACAAGTGAGGGGGCCCATAAGAAATGTTTAGGTGGCATGTTTGCAAAATTCGAGATTTGGCTAACTTAAATTTAAATAAATTACCTATTGTATGAACTTTTGTTCTTTGTTATTTAAATACTATCTGATCAGTTAGATCTTGTGCTGTAAGTATAAAACGTTTAAAAAAATTACCTCCCAAATATTTAGGGCATGCCAAACCCTTTTTCGGAATTTTCTGCGGATTTATTTTGATTTTTGGTTCATGACGATTGGATTGTTTTACAGCAATCGTGGTCAAGGGAGAGGTTAAAGCATTCGAAACAATGGGAACCAAAAAAAAACTACGATAAAATTTGAATAGATTATTTAAAATGTCAAATATTTGCGTAAATATAAGAAATCACTATGGTCTACTTAAGTCACCGATAAGCGTTACTTAAGTGCGGGATTTGGCCACGCACTGCTATAAAATAGTGTCTTAAACCTAATAATTTTTTAATAATGAAGTCGTTATTTATATGATTTAATGCACAATTTAAAATGATACAAAGGTCGGGTTCAAAGTTAATAAATAAGATTATAATCGATTCTAGTTCAATGTCAACTGATTTAACCTCGCAAATTTAGTTGGTAATAAGTACAAATATATTGTACAAATATATCTTTTTTTTATTTCTAACTAGCAACTTCGCCTCAGTCCGCTTGGGTTCGTCTGTAGCTACGTTTTAACGTTTAGAGTTTTAGATTTATCGAGTTCTCAGAGATGAGATAATTTCCGGCAATAAAAAGTATTCTATATGTCGACCCGGATAACCAGCTATCATCATAACAAATTTAATCAAAATCTGTCCAGTGGTTTTCTCGTGATTCGGTCACAGACAGACCTACGGACACTTTTTACTGCGGGAAAATGTTTCATCTCTGAGAAATCTATGCTAAACGTTAAAACGTAACTAGAGATGAACCCGAGCGGAACGAGTGTGAGTCGCTAGTAAATATTATAAATGCAAACGTTTGCATCGATGTTTGTTACTTGTTTACGCCAGAACGGCTGAACGGATTTGGATGACATTTGGCACAGAAATAGATTATAGCATAAAGGTTACTTTGTATCCCGGAAAAATGTGCGGTTCCCGTGGGACAGATTTGTTTTTGGTTATCACTAGAGACGAACCCGAGCGAAGCGAGGGTGTTTCAGTAGTAATAAATAAAAAATAAATCGACATATCAATGGATATTCTTCCCCGCACGACCAAATCAAGTACACACCCTGCAGGTAAATGTCAAATAGCCAGATCGCAGGATTGTAAAGGATTTAAAAAAGTTAAGAATAATAATTATTATTTGATAAAATCTTTAATACTCACAATATATACATACATATTATAAGTAATTATTGAAGGTTTTTAAAAGATTATAATATACTTAATATGTAGTTCACGTCCCAACAACAATGTAGTTATAATAAAATTGTAATTGCTAATTTTATGGGAACTGAAAGAATGACGCCTTTCTTTAACTGAACACAAAAACAATATTATGCCATTAGTTTCACATTTCAATAATAATAGTAATAATTTACCGTTTATACATTATAACATAAATAGTACAATATCAAACTAGCACACCGAATATTGAATTTTCGTGGCGATAATCTGGAAATAGGTCTTTAGGTTACTTTGATCTTACTTTAAACACATAAATATTTTTATTTACTTGTGACTCACCTTCGCTTTGCTTGGGGCTCGTCCCTAAACAAAAAATCTATCCCACGGGAACCGTACATTTCTCCGGGATAAAAAGCTTCTGGTGTGATTGAGTAACAAACATTCAAACATCTAAATTTTGGCATTTATAATATTACTACGATTAGTATTAGTATGGATTCAAATTAAGACTAGTATTTGCACAGATATTAAAGTGCACAAATATGTTTGATTTTGCCTGACCTTAGATGTAAGCTCATTTAAAATTCAATTGGATGATCAACTTCCCAATTCCGGGCTGTTAACAGAAATAACGTGACAGACAAACTCAAAAGCAAAACTTGACCCGACCCGAGATTCGAACCCAGGACCTCCGGATCTGCAGACGTCCATGCTAGCCCTTACACCACCGGGGCAGTGTAGTGTGCTAAATGAGTCTAAACTAACATTTTTTTCTATTCCAGTGGTATTTCCCCAAGATTTACTCATAAATGGATTCAACGCAAACAACTTTGCTATGCTCGGTCTCGGAGACATAGTTGTTCCTGGTATCTTCATCGCATTACTCCTGCGTTTCGACAAGAGCCTGAAGCGTGGTTCGGAGTTCTACTTCAGGGCCACCTTCTCAGCGTACATCCTGGGTCTCCTCGCAACGATCCTGGTGATGCACGTGTTCAAACATGCCCAGCCTGCGCTGTTGTACTTGGTTCCGGCATGTCTGGGGACTCCCCTCACACTCGCCTTACTGAGAGGCGATATCAATGCTTTATTTAAGTAAGTACAGCATTTTTTGTTTGAGATTTTGATTTAAACAAAATATCTATATGAGATATTGAAGGTGAGACATAGACTATTTACGATATACTAGCAGAACCCGCGTCTTAGCTCGCGCTAAAACTACAAAAAAAACACTCTAAAAATATAGGTTTCATACAAACTTTCGTTCCCTACTTTACCCTCTTATGGGATAAATTTCAAAAAACGCTAAAACACGTATTTATTTAATTGTATTGAAGAGCATTAATACCAAGTTTTAAGTCATTTTCATAAATATATTTTTTTTATGTTGTATAATCAATCTCCTGCGGTTAAAAGTAGCCTATGTCACTCCCTAGCCTTCCAACTATCTCCATACATAAAACCACGCCAATCTGTCACTGTTTTGACGTAAAAAAAGGACAAATAAACACACTTTCACATTTATAATATGAAGTATCGATTAATATTTTCACAAAGAAGAAATGTTACCGCATTATATTTGAATTGTCAAAATATCTTAGAAAAAACTAACGCACCACTCAAACATTCTTATCCATTTTTACATTAACAATAATAGTAAAATTAATTTTTTTTATTATTAAAAAAAAAATTATGATATTACATAATGCGAGTAATGATGATGATGTTCTCCTAGCCGATTCCGGCTACGGCGGCCAATCTCATTGAGACTAGCCAACTGCGCAGGAGATATTATAGTGCTCAAGTGTACGCGCAGACACAACGTGCACTCTCTATTCCTGTCACTCTCATACTCCGGTGGGACGACCACTCGACACGACCGGTGAGAGTTAAGGCGCAGGACCGACGGCTTTACGTGCTCTCCGAGGCACGGGGGTGAAACACCGCCAACTTCCCAACTCCGGGCTGTTACTGAGACTTACTATACAGAAAGACTCAATAACTAAACTTGGCCCGACCCGGTACTCGAACCCAGGACCTCCGGGTGTGCAGCCGTACATGCTAGCCACTACACCACCGAGGCAGTTAATGCGAGTAATATATTAAGTTCAAATAGCTATTTGAACTATTGATCTATACCATAATTTTTTATTGTTTGTAAACTCCGGTAAGGTTTAACCACCTCAAGTGAAACTTGAAGCTTTTGCTGCTGAATTGTATAATTGGATATTAAAATTGTATAAGATGGTTATGTTATGTAACTTTTATAATTGGATACAAAAATAAACATTTTATTCCTCCCGTACAACGTACGTTAATATTACCATGCCTCGGTCAAAAGTCTAATCTATAGTGTAATATCCCCGGTGTTTTCCCACAGCTATGAGGACCAGCCCGCTATAGTGGAGGCTGCGGACAGTAAAGCGAAGAAATCAGAATAGATCATAGTAATAACAAAAGCTAAGCACAAACCCGCGACGCATCACGCACTGGGACTCGAACCTGGGACCACCCCGAGACACCCGGTTGTGAACATAGAATTAGTAAATAATATTGAATTATATGCATTATAAAATGGCTAAAACGTATAATGCTATAAGAAATCATATATGGGAAAGTTTTTTTGTTTGTTATAGATCTAGTAAAATATATGTTATTGTCACAAAATATGCCAAATTGTGGTGACAGCTTAAGAATAAACAGCCATTTTTGTTAAACACAATATTAATATTTCATATTAATTGATTGTAATGTTATTTTATGTTATAAAGCATCAGTACTTACATTATAGTTTCAAGAATAGACATAACAATATGACATGCACGTGAGAGTGTATCAAAGGTAGTCTTTATAAATATTAAGTGAAATAAGAATATATAAAAAACTATAAAAATATTTATATTTTTGTTAAAAACTAAAATATCTTGCCATATTAAAAACAATTGGTTATTTTCTTCAAGCCTTTTATATGCATGTAATTCAATAAACAAAAACTACTTCCATCTAACTTCCATTATTTATTTGGACTCATAATATATGAAAGGCTAAAATTTGTGCATAATTCCAATGTGTGTTTAAAAAGAAATGCTTACTCAAATATATGGCAACATTTGCATAATATTCACTGTCAGTGTTGCTACAATGTTTTTTTTTACAATCAATATGTTTTTATTTTCATTACAATGCTGTATTTGGTTTTAAATAAATCACTTTATATATATTATTTGACTGAATGCGATAGATTAAGTTTATTTTTGTTAGAAAAAAAAAAAAATTAATATTTTTGTATAATATGTTGTGAAAATAAATTGTTCAATCTCTTTATATTTTATTTTGTAATGTTTGAGTGTTTTTCTAACTCAAGTTACTTATATATGAATATTACGCCATCACTTTATGCAGGTTTTTAGTTTTACATTATTATAATAATAATATTTATTACAAAATTGAATTTTCAGTAAACAGCATAATATTTATCAAAAACCTTCACAGATTCATTTAAAATAAGAACTTAATAAAATAAATTTATTGTCTCAACATGAATAACTATTGATTATAATAGTAATAATAATTATTAATATTACTAATAAGATTTTTGCAATTCAAAAAAACCCAATAAAAATATAACAGATAAAATATGACATTAACTCATAGTACAATAATGGTGTGTTTGTGTATTGAAGTTAATATATAAAATAGTGAAGGATAAGGAGTAGAGTGCATTATAATTTACTGAGTTGTTTAAATTATAATTGAAAATTGGAATTTATTATTTATATTAAAATATCTATGAATATAAACATTCCGGGTCTAAGGTTACATGTAATCTTTCGATGTTATAAAGGATTCGTTTACTTTGTAAACTGTCTTGTCCATTTTTGTGCTTTGTATTTCTTTGGAAATGATTTCTCTATTGTATTTTATACTTTCAAGTCTTCGGTTGTTGTAAAATTTAATGTATGAATGTAAAGGAAATGTGTACCGAATTAATAAAAACATAGAATATGAATTATGAAGCCAATACTTGGGGATAATTTGAATAAAAATGTCGGATGTAAATATATATTGTTTTATTTTTATTAACTCTCGAATAATATATATTCTAAAGGATGTTATATAATATTTTTGAGGTCTTTGGTAGAACAAAATTTTTTCCCTTCCCTTATTTTTCCCTTTTTCGATGTTTTAAATTTATCAGCGCAGAAAATTTTGCATGCCCCACGTTTATAAAACGCGATGTACATGGATGGACAGGGCTGCCAGATCGTATAATTGGATACAAAAATTGTAAAATATAGTTCTTTCATGTATATTTCATTTGAAGTTGTTTCGTATTTTTATTGATTTTTTTACTCGTCACAGACTATTTCTCAGCAGTTTTGTTAATTTGTATAATAAAATTTGATTTGGTATAATTTGAGTGAGCCAGCGGTATAAAATAAGTTGGCTCTACTGGCAGCCCTGCTTAGGGTACGTATCCATACTACGTGACCCATTTTTTACCTCCCTCTTCTCGGTGACCACCCGTAGTATATGCCAAGACCTAATATTACCCTAAAGAATTTTGACTATTTGACGAAAATCTAATACGTCTTCACGAGTCCCAATCATTTTAATTCATCAAAAGCGTTTTTTAGTTTTTATTACTATTATTAACATTCTTCTAGATTTTCAATTGTATAGTTCTATTAAGAGCAATGATTTTGAATGTTATGTTTGCTTTTATATGATTTTAGAGAGTAACGCATTTGGTTAATTAGTTAAATATCTTTTACTGTACCCAAATTTAATAAATTTGGTACCTAAAAATAACATTATTTCTTTTGACATTCCATATAATAATATTCCACTATATTAATATTATAAAGCAACAGAGTTTGTATGAACGCGTTTATCTCAGTAACTACTAATCCTATTTGAAAAAAAAAATTTTGCATTAGATAGCCCGTTTATTGAGAAAGGCTATAGGTTATAATATCATCATGCTACTACCCAAGGGACAGAGCAGTAATCATAAATGTCAACAAATCGGGCAGACTTCCATACATTATTGTAAAACTGATGTTTATATCGGAAGTTTGAACGAGAGCGAAGCTCCGGGTACTACTAGTCTTTATATATAAAATCCCTGTATGTATGTTTTCTTCATTTTCTCTTAAAGTCGGTTGGGACCGATAGGTGGCGCTGTTTTCAAGATTCAGATTTTTACGACTGTACCTTACCTTTATGGAATTGTTTTCCAATAAAGAATAATTTACACTTATGTAGTAGATTAATGTTATAAAATAAAAGAAAGATAATAATAAATAAAAGATTTATTAATCTTATAATTTATAAACAAATATACACCGTCGTAAATATCAATATCATTGATTAGGTATTTATTAAATTACCAATACATTTTTAAACATGTCTAATAGTCTTTATTTTATCGCCTCAGTGCTTTTTTGTTTAAAATACCAATACTTGTTGTACTTTACTGTAGAGTTTTTGTTCTCCATTTTAAAAACAATGCTATATTAGATAAAATACAACTTTACGGCTTTTTAAAGTAAAATGTGTATTTTACATCAATAGAATTGACATTTAAAGACAATAATTCTGTATTAAAAACTATTTCGGTAAATTGGTCGGTGGACAAATAAGCACTTGGACAACGATTTGTCTGTGTATCTGGTAATACTTAAACAGCCTTTATTTATAGATTCATAATAAATATACTAATGTTAAATGCAGTCATAACACTACAGTGTACTAATTCATACAGTCGATCAATTGACGCCGATCGACTAGGCGAGAGGCGGTGAGACGCTCCCGACTGTCAGACGGACTTAACATACTATATACGAAACTATATATGTATATAATACGCTATATACTATGTATGTATTCCGCCCTTTTTTAACGTCTCACTGCTGGGGGTGGGCCTCCCTTCAATACGAGGGAGATCAGGCCATAGTCCACCACGCTGGCCAAGTGCGGGTGGACTGAGCATGTCTTTCGAATACGTTCTCTCAAGATGCAGGTTTCCTCACGATGTTTTCCTTCGCCGTAAGGCAAGTGGTAATCATGTTAGAAATGATTCGCTTATGATAATATCAGAGGTGCGAGACCTGAGATTTGAACCCGCTTCACTCGGTTTCCCAAGCGAGCGCGTAACCACTGGGCTACAACTGCCTTACTATATATAGTATATACTATATATGTATATAATACTATACGTCTGTCGGGAAACAGCTTTAGAGATGACAGGTATAACTGACTTGCCACAAGATGGCATTACAGTGATTGATATTTTTTACAACCCTTGCCTTTAATGAGAGTCAAGATCAAGAAGAGAGTTTAGATCAAAATGGATCACCTACTGTATGGATTTTTACACTGTAACAATATAATCTCAGAATATTGACACAATTATTTATTTATCACTTATATGCTTATTTACAAAGCCTAAGCCGCTGCATTCAATTAGGTTCTGATCCCCTTCGTGTCGAATGTTGAATTTCACCTAAAAAAAGGTTTTATGTAAACTACATAAAAAAAAAACATTTTTATTATATTAAATTGGTACGTCATAATCGTACTTTTGTATAATTGTTAATCTGTGACGTCAATTGATGGCAAATTAAAGTTGAAAAGCAAAACCTTATCTGAATACAACATTTTAACCAATTCGTTAGAGCCGTTTCTGAGATACACGAAATAAATTTATATACATATATACAAGAATTATTTATTTATTTATGTACCAGAAAAAAAAATGCCAGTTAAAACAGATGCCATGTGTACAAAGGACGACTTATCTCTTTAAGAGATCTCTACCAGAAACCCTCAAGCGTGAGAAAATATAAAAATAATAATTTATTTAATACTATAAGATAAATTTCTATATAAATATGACTAGCGACTCATCCTCGTTTCGCTCGGGTTCGTCCTTAGATAGGATAGATAGGTTTAACGTTAGTATAGATTTCTCGTTGTAAAAAGTATTCTATATTTTGACCCGGATAACCAGCTATCATCATGCCAAATTCCATCAAAATCTGTCCAGTGGTTTTCTCGTGATGCGTTCTCAGACAGACAGACAAAACTCTATAAACTATACATTTGGCCTCTGTTTAGATAATAAGGACTACTTCAATAAGATTTTCCAAACAATATTTAATGTACAGATTCGACTCAGAATTTTATTATATGTATAGATATTTATTTAATTTTATTATAAGTACCTTGGCAATCATTTCACTGATATAAATAGCGGTCCGAGTGTGCAAAGTGATGTCACCAGCGCGCACCGCGCTCTCGCCAGACGCTAGCGCCATGTAGATTATCACTTGGTCCTGTAAACATTAAAAATATATATTTAGTTTAAAAAAAAGGCTTAACCACACATAAAATTTGAAAAACCCAAATCAATAATACTTTCTCAGATTTACGCGAATATTTGACATTTTAAACGGTCCCTTGAACATGATTTAAACACATTTTATTTAAACCCAAGTCGAGCTCAATCTATTGATCTCTTCAAAACAAATCATGTGAGCCCAAACTCGAAGGGAAGTTCAACCATCCACCTACTGGCTTCAAAATCCGAAAATGGCAGTCATCAGAACTACATGTACATACAAAGTTTCATTTCGATACGACCATATAACTAGGTTAAAATTGACTTCCATGATTTCATTTTGAATGAGTTGTTGATATGCGTGATTTTTTTTAAATTTTTTATACAATAGCTAATATCGTCATATAACTGTAAAAAAATATCCAGCTCCAAAAAACTAAAATTTTGTATAAAAAACGTCCGCTATTTCGTGCGCTTGTCGTGACGTCACAGTATCATACATAAAAAAAGGCGACTTCCTTTTCTATCGACAAAATCACTCATTGCTCTGTTATGATAATACTCTGACGTCATTCGACCTGACCAATGGCGTGCGTTTCAACTACTTTGGATTTCCCACCTATATTTACACTTTTTAATATTTTATATTTTTAAAAAATTTCTTAATCAAAAAGAAATTATATTAAAAAATATAGGATTCATTCAAAAGCAATTTAGTTTAATTTATTTTAATCACGCATGGAATATGCGTGAATTGAAAATGTTACAAGAGTGTTAAAAATATTTATTTATACTTTCTGAGATTTACGCGAATATTCGACATTTTAAATAAAACTGTCTTTTCGGATTTTTTCACCGATTAATTTTGATTTTTTTTCGGACTGTCTCTAAAAATCCTAAAATTTAGTTTTATTTAAAATGAGAATTTTTTAATATACATATAAAATGCCTTTAAACTCATTGTGAACATTTGAATAGAGTGGTAGATTCCTCACGGATTTACATACTGATATTTAATTTAAAAGTGTAAAATTGACAAGAAAAAAGTGCTCGTAAAAGTCTATTTCAATAAAGTATATTTAGATCATCAGAAGTATATATAGATAATAAAGTATATTGTCCATTAAGTGGGATGGACTATTTATTTTATTTATATTATTAAGGGCTTCTCCACTTCTAAACCTCAGCTTAGAGACATTTTAATTGCATCTTTAGTAAGCGATAATAGTGAAACCTGTGAATGTGGATCAACGCAGGCTCCGCTATCTAGAATGTTCTTCAGCTCGCTGCTGACCTTCCTGGCCACCTCCCGCGGGCCGGCGCGGCGGCTGCCCAGCGCGTCGTTGCCCAACACGCACCCAGTCGTGGTATTGCAGGATAAACTGCAAATATACAATTGTCTTTGAAATATTTATTTTCCGCAGTTTATACTTTAGCCGTATCATCATAGCCATTATTTTTTACTGTTGTATACAGTAGTATAAGAATTGTTACTAAATAAATTTCATTTCAATATACAGGTTGTCCCAGAAAGTACTGTCAAGCAGAAGTCCAGAAATAGAGCACCCCTTGGGGTACCCGAATCACCCCCATGTATGTTACGCGATTGTTCATAGTTTTTGTGTTGAGTAGTAATTAGCAGTTGAGTATGAGCATGTTTTTTGAGACTGGTAGATTCTCTTAGACATACAGGTTTTCTAATGATGTTTTCCTTCACTATAAGACAATCATATTGGAAATAATTGGCACATGTAAATAACAGAGGTGCAAGGATTTCCCAGAAGAAGGTGCAGCCAGGATTTGAACCAGTTTCACTCAATCACCCAAGCGAGTGCTTTATCACTGGACTACTAATGCCTTCACTAGTACATTAATCTATTTCACCGATTAACTCAAACTCACACGATCCCACTACAGCTGTCTGGAGCAATGTTCTGATCCTCCTTGTAGCTGTGTATCTTTACTTTGTACTCGCCTAGTTCCTGCCGCACCCCTTCTGCTACGGTGTGTGCTAACTGAAAAGGATTGTATGACATTTTTAAATCAATGTTTGTTATATTATATTTAAAAAAATATACAAAATTAAATTATTATAGTGGTAGCAGTACGGTGGTAATATTATGGCGGTATTATTAATTCAAATGTGATTCCTACCTATACTTCAGCACTAGCGTCCCTAGTTACCGTATTAATGTTTAGTATAATTTCTCAAAGATGAGATATTTTCCCGCAGTAAAAAGTATCCTATATGTTGACTCGGGTAACCTGCTATCATCATACCAAATTTCATCAAAACTATCCAGTGGTTACTCTTAATGCGGTCGCAGACAGACAGACAAAAATTTGAAAAACTATAGGTTCAGCCCCTGTATAATAATGACTTTTTCAATAAAATTGTTTAAAAAAATATTTAATATGCAGATTCGACTCAGTTGGAATTTTATTATATGTATAGATTTAGCTGTTACACAACATACCGAGAATATTAAAGAAGTTATTACTTCACAGCATATTCTTTACCTTAACTGGCAGCACGCCTGATACAAAACTCATCCCAGTGATATCTTTCACTTGTCCTCTTTCTGTCAGTCTCACACTTTTTAATGAGTGTATTGGAGTTATTTCCACCCACACATGGCCGCCTCCTTTTGGATAGTATCTGGAATTTTGTTCAAGTGTTTATATATCTTATTAAAATATTATGGTAAATCCAAAATATTTACAGGTTTATCACTCTGTTCCCATTTTATGCAGCAACAACAGGCAGATATGAATGTAAAATAGATATATACTATGGGACAAAAAGTGAAATTTATAATTCGATCATTTCTTTCTTGAGAAAAAATAGCCAGTAAAGGCTAATGGAAAATCCGTATTATTAAATATTATAAATGTGAAAGTTTGTGAGTATGTATGGATGTTTATAGCTCTTTCACGCCAGAATGGCTGAATAGATCTGGATGAATGAATGAAAATTTGGCACAGAGATTATAGTCTGGAATAACACATAGGCTACTTTTTATCTCGGAAAAATGTACGCTTCCCGAGGGATAGGTTTGTTTTTGTTTTCTTAGAGGTGTATCCGAGCGAAGTGAGGGTGAGCCACTAGTATCATATTAATTTAATGGCAGCTTAACACAAACTATTTATAATTATCATTATAATATGGTTATATAAAAATATTATTAAATTTACCCTCTCCTCAAGATATTCATTCGAAAAACGGCACCAAATTCTCTAAGAACATTTTTGAATATTCTTTCCATGTAATCTATCTGAGGAGCCATATCTGCATTAGTGCCTCCTTTGAGATCCAATATAACAGGTGAATCAGCAAACAGTGCACAAGGTAATGCTACTTGAAGTAATAGACTTATTGATCTGAAATATAACATTTTTGACATAAAATACTAACTTTTCCACGCACCAAACAAATCTTATAGTCATGTCATTATACATCAGCAACTAAGAAAGATTATAATATAATATAAACTATTAGTTTTATATGAACATAGCAAATAATTCATCAATACTAACCCAGCTGTTTTTGTATCAGCTACATAATGTCCTCCTTTAATTTCACCAGGTATGAATTCAATCTCTGTGGATCCAATGCTGGCTCCTTTTAATTGAGCTTGGCACATTTCTGCAAGTAATTGTATCCCTGAAAATTCATAAATATAAAAATTAGCAAGTATAAAATTAATAATCTATACATATACTAAAATTCTGATATATTTGAATCTGTACATTAAATATTTTTTTGAAAATATTATTATTGAAATAGTCATTATTATTTATTATCAATACAAAGGCATAATCTATAGTTTTTTGAATTTTTGTCTGTCTGTGTGACTGCATCACGGGAAAACCACTGGTGGGATTTTAAGGAAATTTGGTATGATGATGGCTGGTTATCCATGTCAACTGTCAACATATACTATTTATTGCACTAAACGTTAAAACGTAAGTAGGAATGAACCCGAGCGGAGCGAGGGTGAGTCGCTAGTATATGTAATATATTAGAATATTTTAAGAATTGGATTTAAGTTTTAGGTAATAAGTTTTTACACATATGATGGTATTGTAGTGTTTGAGAATTAGGATGAAATCGATTTATTTTTCTACATTTCATCTTAGGAATAACCTTTTAAATGCTGTGCGGCTAATCCTGGTTTACTCCGGCCGGCGCGAATATTTTGGACTCTGACGGGTATCCCTAGGATGGCACTCAAAGAAATAGACATACGGAGTATTTGTCCTCCCTAAAATAAAAATAAAAGGTTAATATATAATGCATAATTTTGATGTACTTCTGTTATTGTAACTTCATTACTAAGAAAATAGTACCCCTTCTAGCACACTTCCATCTATTTGTAATACTTCAGCCATATTTATGTTATAATACTAAAATTATTATCTTAATAATATTAATTATTCCTCGTAAAAAGTAACGGAATTTTAAAATCGCGATTAAGTTTATTACAGATTTTTTTTTCAGGATAGATGTTTCATGTTAAGATTTTTTCGATTTGGAGTAAAGAGTTTTTTTTTTGTTTTCACTTTTCATTGACATTTGACATTTATTTACAATCATAGAGTCATAGACTAAGAATAACAGTTACAGCTGTTATAAGTTCTATGAGGTACGTTCAAAAAATACTGAACTAATTATATTAATAAATTATAAAACTTATTTTTAATTATTTCGTAATATTTCTTGTTTTTTATGGGTTATTTTATTGTTAAAATATATATTCACATTATAATAAATTACAAACTTCAAGCTGATAAATTCTGAACTTAAGCTATATGTAGCAAAATTATAGCAATGTTATGTCAGTTAAACCCGTGCAGTCTTGTTGTTTCTGGATCTGTGCCGTGCTGTTTGTAAAATGTCAATAATTGTTTTGTCGGGTATAATTTGCGGATTAGAGTTTTACACATAGTTAATTTGTGTTATTTCACTTATGCTCATTTTCTTTTTTAATAAAATCTACATATAACGACTTTTTCTCTTGGTGGAAGCTTTATTTCTATTAAATCTTAATTCGACCAGGATGCAGAGAAAGCCAGGCTTTCCCGTTGCAAATTGCAGCATAAAGCTGGTAAGAAGTTATATGTTATTAATGTAATATACGGTATATTATAAAGTAACTACGTCTTTGTGCATATAATAAAAAAACAAAATATAAAAAAAAATAATACACTGTCATGTTATTAGCAACAATAATAATATATTGCTGTGGTGTTTTTAAGATGATTTTTTTGAATAGCACATAGCACTTCATTTTGTATATTCCTTAGCCTGACAGCATGCCTGTTGTTGAGGGGATGCTGGAAGAAGAAGAACCTATACAAAGACGTCAGCAACTTATTAACTTTGGCCATTCCGAATGGGGATTCAATAACTGGAGTTGGACTGTTACAAAACAGGAACTAGGTAATAAATTATTATTTTTCTGGCTGCAGTTTAGTATATGGGACGTGGCCCTTGGAGGAGTGAGTGGTATTTTTGGATAGGGGAGGTGATAGAGAGTCCAAACATATAAAAAATATTTAACCTCTAGAATTGAAATTTTGAAAATTAAATATCTCGAAAACTACTAGCCTCTGCGGTTTTTCCTTTTAAAGGGGAGTTCCTCTCACCCTCCCCTCCTCCCCCACCATCTCTCCTCCCTTAAATCTATGTCATAGATTGTACAGTTCAACCTTCTTTTGTTGTCTTTTAATCAGTTTTAAATTAACTAATAGTGGTTTTATAAATTATACAGATTTTGTTGAACTTACAAATGGGAAATACACAGCAGGAGTGGCATCTTTTGTTTCTGTGATAGTAAAAACCTTGGATATACAAAGGGAAAATATTGGCTATGCTACATCTATTGCTCCAAATAAGGGAGCTGCCATACATAGAGCAAGAAAGGTTGGTAAATACAAACAAATAGAAGTTATTATATTTTGTTAACAATGTCTTGCTTTAAAATTTTAAGCCTTTTGATTCTGAAACCCTAAGAGTTAATTTTATTCAATGCTTATAAAACAATAATTTTAAATTTCAGTGTGCTGTTACAAATGCACTTCGTGAAACATTACTCAGTTTTGGAGGCAGTGTAGCTACAAACCTAATGGAAGTATTAGAATCTCATAAATCAAATGATGTAGTAAATCCACCACCTCCTAGGGACCCAGAGCCACTCCAAGAGAACAACCAAAACTTGAATAATAAGCTGTCAGAACCAAAAAATATAAAACAAAATATTAAAAAAGATATGAATATCCAAGCTCCTGTGTCATCTGCAGTACCAGTTCCAGTTCCAGTACCGGTAGTTCCTGGGGTAAAAAATATTGTCAATCCGCCAGTGGCTAAGGCTCATCCAATGCCAGCAAACTTGCCCCCTGCTAACCGAGGCCCCCCGGCAAATGCGCCTCGACCCCCAGTACCTCCCCCAACCGTCAGACCAAACTCTAACGTAAGTTTTGTTCTTCAACCAGTGATGGGCGGCGTAGTCCCTCCCATGTATACGCCCCCTCGCCTTGCCCCACCACCACCGACACACGTTTTCCAAAACTACTATGAATACCCCTGGCACTTTGCCTACGAGCCCTACGACCGTCATCATGGGAATGTAAATCTAAATTTCAACATTCCGCCAAAAAACTTGGTTGTGAATGGCCGTGCTGGGTCTGTGGAGTGTAAACGCGAGGAGCCCCATTTCCAAACACCTCAGGGTTGTTGGATAAAACCCACGATCTTCTATGATGGTTTTTGGACGGAGCAGAAGGTTAAGAAGTGGGTCGCAGAGCAAGTGGAAAAGCAGTTCCCTGATGAGGCCTCAAAAACGAACTCCCCCGGGAATCCACCCGACCCCTCTGTCCCTAAATCTTAGGTAGCTTTCACACGAGCGGCAAATTTGCAGTTGTTCAGACTTTTCTAAATTTTAAATGTTTGTTAGAGTTTAAACTGTTATTATTGTACATTCATAATCATTACAGAAACTATTTGGGGCAGTTAGCGAATCTCTTGCGTTTATGTATTGAGTAATTCTACATGAAATACTTAGAACTTTCTGAAAAAAAAAAGTTTGGTGATGTTGTATTGTTTGTGAATGCTCAATTATAATAGTTGTAAACAATTAATGTCAACTGCAAATTTGTCGTTCGTGTATTACTCGCCTATATCTAATGAGTTGTGTGTAGGACTTTGGATTGTCTAATGTTGTGTAGATGTCATGGTTTCATAGTACTAGAGTGCGGTAGACTCCAGACTTTGGGGATATTTTAAGCCTCAAAAGTGGTTCTCTATTTTTTATTGAATTTTTTAAAGTTACTAGTTTAGTGTTAAGTGTGTTTTATGAGGAGATTGTATTCTCGCTTGATGCTCAGTATTCTAGGGACTTTTTTATTGGAAGTCGTTGGTATAGTTCTTATAGGTAGGTGTAGGCATTACATGAATTGGAAATTTTGACCGTCTAATAAAATGGGTGGTTACAAATGTTATTTTATTTGGTTTTGGATTAGTGAACTGTTTTTTTTTATTGCTCCAATCAGTCAAGGCTAAGATCTTTAGTGCCATCAGTCCTATAAATATAAGAAAAAACTTTATAAAATACAGATTTTTATTGATAATTTTCAAGTTTAAAACATTTTAACATTCATACATACATAGTATAAAAAATTTAAAATGAAGGAGATGCAATAAATCATATTTTAGAGGTTCTTGGCATGTTTTCTCTAATGAATACTTTGTAAGACACGATGGTTTCGATATTTCTATAGCACGTTGTTATGCAGTTTTTCTCTTGGATATACCAAATGTACGATGTAGTAGTGTATAGGTGTGCATTTTTACCGTCATTATTCTACGGTTTCATATCTCACTTGTATTTTTTTATATGATGATCTTTTATCACTATACATACATATAAAGGAATTGCGGATGTACAGTTATAGATTTAAAGTAAGACTAAATATGTGGTTTGTCCATGTTTTTATTATAATAAAATCGTTTGAAATTTATGAGATGTTTAATTGTTGTTTCAGTTTTGCTGTCTTTTTGTTTTGCCTTTTAAACGATCCCAATGATTAATTATAGTAATAATGTTCTTTTATTTCTTCTCAACTTCAATCTCATTCTGTTTTATTTGATACATAGTATATTTATATCTGTGATTTTAAATAAGCATGTGAATAAGAATTAAGTCATAATTGAAAAGTAATAAATTTTAAATATTTGCCTGCTATGGGTGTTTTGTGCACTGAAAAGGCTTTCAATCTTATTTGTAATTTTTAAACATTTTGTTAAAGAATAAAATATTTTCAAATTTAATTTCTTTTAATCGTAAACTTTTGTAATGTTTTATATGATGGTATTACGATATTGCTTATTAGTATGTACTTTTCTATTTTATTTTTCCTTTGTGTAGTATAAATTAGTGTTAAACTTAATAATTATGAACAGGAGGTGAAATTTGAAGACCTGAGTGAAGACGCTCGCGCGGAACGCAAACGCCGTCAGAGACTCGCTCAAGAAGAATTTCGTTTGAAATATTTGCTGAAAAACAATAGCGAACGTGATCTCGGTTAGCGTTTACCCATTTTAATAAAACTTTTGCCATTGAATAGATACTTAGAATAAGATTATTGAGAGTATTACTAATTGTTGTTTTATAGACTGTCAAATGAAGTAAGTATGGTATATTGGAGGTTTTGTTACATAAAATAATTAAATTTACATATAGGTTTTGCTTCTTTTTTTACAATATTAGTTCTTTAATAATTACTTTTTACTTTCACATTTCTTATTTAGTTTATTTTTTAATTCCTTTAATAAATATGTTATTGTAATATATTATTCTTAATTTATTTCCTTGATCCTTTATAAATGCTTATTTAAAAATTAAAATATAAAATTGGTTTAGATGATTTAGTATATGTGCTTTTTTTCCGCTTTAAAATCTAAATAAAAATAGTAAAATTTGACAAAGCATAATGTAACAAAAATATTTTAATTCTTATAATATTCATAATAGTTTAAAAATTTTGGCTTCAGATAAAGAAAGCGATAATAGTCTTGATGTTTTAATGTTGGCAATACCGACTCAAGACATTGAGATAGAAAGTACTGGTGACACTGGAGGGAAACGAAAATCCCCCGTACTGGATGGCAGCGCTAAAAGACGAAGCACTGTGAACAGATTGGACATTTACAAAGCTTGATTTAATTTTAACATTTATTATAAGAAATTTATTGAAACAGTATATTATATTTAGTATTTGATTTTAAATAAATATTTTTTTAAATTATTTGCGTCTTATTTTCAGTATACTGACAAACTATGACGTCTACACTACTGTTAGGTACTTTACAATAATTTAGGCTAAAAAAAGAAAAAAAAAATATTTCAAATCTGTTTGGTAGTACTAATTAATTATATTAAGTTTTATATTATTATATAGATACTAATTAGGATTACATAATATTTAAATTTATAAGGCAAATTAAAAATAAAACACCATTCTGAGAAATCATATTTATTCAAATCACTAACAATTTTACGAAGTTACATGTATGTATGTACAGCACTAAAATAAGCTTAACCTCAGGTTATTGTACTCAAGTTAAATCGACTCAAAGAGAAAAAACTAAAAGACTTCTTAAAAATAACTTAAAAGCTATAAAATTAACAATTATCAAATACATACAAACCAGACCAAATTGATATAGAATTCGCCGTCTCTATGATAAAAAACTATAAATTGACTGTTAAAATAATAAAGGGCTTATCGATTGTCGATAATACTCGACATCAAAAATCGTTATTCGATACATTACAGTACAGCTTACAAAATGTATGAAAATTAAAGTAATATTTGTGTCTGTTTAATAAAAAGGAACCCTAATCATTAGTTAATTTTTTTTTATATTTATTTTTAACGATTATCGATATCAAGTTAGTCGATTACAATCGGAGGCGATTCGGCTTCAGTAATACCTTTACCACAACGCACGAGCGTCATCAAACAATACGAAGGAACACAAAAAATAAAATCTTTTAAATAAACCTTTTGCTGAAATTCTTATGCGATATACTTATACATATTCACTATAACGATGTAAATGTAAAAATATCTTTAAATTACATACATGAAAAATTGCAAGACATTTTACTTTGACGGTTATTATGTTCAAACGAAATAACGTTTTCCGAGTTGATAATTAATATTACTTTATTATTGCGCACTTAAAGCTTTTGTTATATAGCATTAAGGAGAGCCAAAAATTGTTTCCTTACGTAGTTTATTACATATTGTGTAGATAAAAAAAATATTTTATTTTACGTTAATACAAGACTGTGGACACGACGTATTCACATTCTACGAAATCTATCCAAGAGCTAGCTTTCACTGATTCAATTACCCAGTATGCATTAGCTATGGTCGTTGAATGAACGGACTAGTTCAATCAACCGGTCGACGTTGCGTCGACGGTTCGACGGTTCACGTATTTCAAATGAACTAGTTCAATTCATAGAGTCAGACAGTCCGTCTCGCAACGTAAACTAGTAACTATAGACTGTCTAGCGTCTACAACTACATTGAAGCGTACGTGAACCACAGTCCACGATTTGAACTGGTCAATCGACTAGTCGACGAAAGAAAATGAACGGTCTAGTTTCGTTCACGCTAAATACGTCGACGACCCATCGCTACTGTGCATATAAAACTGCACCCTCTCACCGCTCCAAATACCGCGGTAACAGTCCTTGGCTTACCATTTTTATTACTTATCTGTGGCAAAAATATTTTGTGAATTATCGTTCCCTTGTTCCTCATTTACTTCACTAATATGTCCATATTGAACGTTATTTGTATTTCCATTAGTCCAAAAAAAGTGAATTATCAATCTTCTGGCCATTAAAGTTTGAAATTTGAATTATCAATTCTGTTCCCCTTGTTATTTAAAAAAAAATACTTTATTACAAGACTGTGGACGAGACGTATTCTGCCAAAAACATAGCTTTCTAATAGTATATTATGATATTTTTTATATACAATAAATATAATAAATGAGTTTTGTTGTCGTCGAATAATTTCCCTTTCACTCTTAATCTGTATCGTAAATTGATGACGTAAGGAAAACACTTGGCTCCCAGGTTATACTTAATTCAATAAGTTCAGAGTTCAGACTCGTTAAATACATAAATCGAGCAATTAATGTACCGTTATCATTTTTAGAGGTCTCTTTAGAAGATTTCTTATTAAAAATTCTATAGCATTAAACAAACAAAACGATCCAAGTAGGTATTATAAGAAAACATATTATGGCAAAAGAAATAAAAAATATTACCCATATGTTTAGAAAATATTTTATTTTTATCAATGATGTTTTTAATAACTGAATTTGAAATATGAAACCTTCTTACATTACCTATTAAATTATTAATTGTTTGACACAATCACGTTTGTCATAAACGATAAAAAAGTAAATATAATATGTATTTAAAATATAATAATTTTACCGTTATTTTCATAGAAAAAAAAATCAACGTACATTGAAATCAAACATTTTATACGAGTTCTATATTTAAAAAAAACGCTGTAGTCAGTTTATCTCGTTATATTCAAACAGTACGACATGTATAGTATTGTATATACACCATTTTATAATAGTAATAATATATTACAAGGACCGTTTATATATGCAGATATATTTTTTAATAATATAACATCGGATGATATGAACGGGCCTTAAATTAAAGACGATAGATTACGAATGATGGCGATGAAAATATTTAATTACATAAATGTAAAAGATTACTTGTATAATGTATATAACTGTCGATTATTCTCAGTTAGTTAAAATTAATCATAAATATTGAATACTTCACTTAATTCATGCCGGTTTATACCAGTACGGCCGATCATCCGGTCCGAAACAAACTTCGTCATTTGTCGACTTTATGATTAATTATAAATATATTTAATAATATTTTTCCGTCCGTTGAACACGTTGGCTCCAAATCAAAACCAGCCGTGTGGAAGTTTTTATCGATTTTTATAGATTTCTACATTTATTTAAAGTATTATAGGCTATAGATACTTTTTTATACACCATTTAGTAGGTAATGGCAAAACTAAAGCAATATTTTTTTTTAGAACACGCTTTTCATTTAAATACGTGAAACAACGTATGAAAATTCACATATATATATATTAGTGTAGTTGTGTACTTAATATATGTAATGTATACACATTACAAGCTATAGCTTTACCGTTACCCACCAAATGGAGTATAAATTATAAAGATAGTCTATACCCACTTTTAAATATTGTACCCTGTGGTAACAGATTTAGTTGTGTGTGTGACCAACGATTATCACCTTTAAACCAAATCCGATCCATGGCCAAACCAAATCCAATCATGCGTTGCGGCCTTAATCATTCGTAATATATCCACTTAGTTGTTATCAATATACATATATACCCTCTACTTGTGTTGATAATATATAAGTTAATATAGACTGTAATTAAAAACTATATAGTGCTTTTTGCCCATTACTAGTTACTCGTAACCAGGGCTCGGAACCGGTTTATTTCAGTAATTTAATGGTTAATTTTACGCTCGTTCTTAAACCGGTTAATTAAAAGAAACGGTTTCGTAAATCAAAATAATAATGGTTAACAGTTATTCTTAGAGAAACGTTCGTTTCGGTTTTGATACCAAAATAAACCGATTAAGTCATTCCTAAGTAAGAAACGTGCATGTATTCTTCTACTACGCAATTCACCATTAGCCAAGATTTGCCAAGTGTAAACGCACAAAAACTCATTTTAACCGGTTAATTTTAATAATTATCATAACTTAAATTCGTTAAAAACCGTTCTCCGGGATTTAACCAGTTAAAAACATAACCGAAAAGCCTTTTTTTATTTGGGGTCAATGACCAAAACCGGTTTAAAAATTGAACGGGTTTCCGAGCCCTCGTAACAGTGAGTTTAAATGTCACAATAATTGAAGAATAGACATTTTAAAAATTGTATTGAAATGGCATATTAAATCTTTGTCATTGCCATACATTTTTTACAATTTTTCTTCATTGATTCTACAATGACATCTTATCTAAACTCCAGTAAAGTAAGTTTAGTATTAATATTTGAATATTATTATCAAATACAGTCTAAATAACAGTGAATGCTAATTGTGTACGATATATGAATCTACTGATACACTATAAATCATACAGGGCAGTATTCTTAACTAAACTATAATATAAAACAGAAAAACTAACATTACACACTTAAAAAAATACTTTGTGCATATGCTTCTTTGTATTAAGCATTTTTAAATTCTATTAAATTATTTAATAATTATTTTATTAAATAATAAAAATGCTTAAAACAAAAATTAAAAAAATATAAACATTTTTAGTTTATATCCAACAAATAGCAAATTCGTTACAAATGAATAAAAATTTATTCATTTAAAAAAAAATATATTGTATGGTGATTTTTTCTGTTTTATTTTATAATTCTTATCGTTTATACCAAAAACTACTTGATATAATAGAATATATTCTTATATAAGTAGATACTACATGTGACGTCTATAAACTATGGATAGAAATTAAAAACATAAAACTCTTGTTAGAAATAATTTAAATAATACTTTATAGTATTATTATTGAAGAATATAAAACTTTATCCATAGTAAAAAAATACAGTATGCCGGACCTACTCTAGTGGAAGTCGGTTAAATATGTCGTACCAATAAAATTTCCGAGATGAACGCGTCCGATCGCTTTTGTAGCCTTTTTACCTAAAAAATAAAAAAATAAAATTGAAATATATACAAATAAAATTGAAAACGATAAATTCATATTATTTTTTTATTAAAGTAGACGCGGATGAGAGGCACGTCTGACTGTCATGCAGGTTAAACTGTAATTTGCCAAGAGATGACACTACAGTAAATAAATATGTTGGGTTATTAACACACAGCACCATCTAGTTCCAAGGTAAGCTACGAGGGTCGTGTTATGGATACTAGATAGTAGATACACTACACATATAACTTTAAATACATACATACATATTATAAATATAAACACCCATGACTGGAGTACAAACGTTCGTGCTCATCACACAAATGAATGCCCCCAGCGAGACGCGAACCCGCACCGCTGGTACAGCAAGTAGTGTCACTATAAATTGAGCCAGACGTGTCGTTGTACAAACTTTGAAACTTTGCCTTGAAAATTGGTATTTTTTAAAAATCCTTGTATTTGACAGCACTTTCGTTAAAATCATTGGGCAATCTCTACTGTGTGGATTTTTATACTGTGCTTTACAGCTTGTACGTCTACTCGAGCTCTGGTCAGGCACAACTCGAGCACTAAACAGGCACCTCATCCCGCTCCTTTTCATTACCAGACTCAGAAAATATATTAAAATGAACATAAACTTACGGCTTGGCTCGTGTCAAGCTCTAGTGGGGCACGACTCGAGCACTAAACAGGCACCTCCTCCTGCTCCTGCTCGCGCTGGCGCACCGCCACCGCGGTTTCCACCAGCAGGTACAGGCACTTGAACTTGTCGCGCTCGCCCTCGCCTCCGCTCGTCGTCTGCGTATATATAATATTATAAATGTGAAAGTGTGTTTGTTTGTCCTTCTTTGACGTCGAAACGGAGTGAAGGATTGGCGTGATTTTTTGTGTGGAGATAGTTGGAGGGCTGGAGAGTGACATACTTTTAACCGCGGGAAAATATCTCATTTCTGAGAAAAAACACAAAAACTGCATAGTAAGAGTATCTAATATGTGAAACCTAACAATTTGGTTTTTGATCACCCTGTATGTTGACCCGGATAACCAGCAATCACCATACCAAATTTCATCAAAATCTCTCTAGTGGTTTTTCTGAGATGCGGTAATAGACAGACAGACACAAAATATTCAAATAGACATTAACAAGCTCATTTGAATTGCAAATTTTAAGTTTATACATTTATAAAATTTATATAAAATGTCAACATTTAAATCTTAAGAAATTTACCACTGTGACCAGTAAGTAGTACAGTTATGGAGTAAGAAAAAAATATGGATATCGCAATTGAATTAAAACAAATCAATAATTAAATAAGACATATTTATTACAATCATATATTTATAGAATATCATATACGAAAAGTATATAATATTATATATTTATTAGACAATAACAACGGTTACCATGGTAACATGGGAATGTATTCTATCTCATTCTCTCGCCGGCTTAATTTTATATATTTATGTGTTTATATCTTTTCAGGTGTCGCATTTCCATTACATCGAGTTTCAAATCATAACGATTCTAAAGAAGTTTCACTTCAAAAGGCATGTGAATGTCGAGGCAATCCAGCTCCTCAACAACACGGACATTGAGAAGGCTTAAAAGAACTAAACCTTTTGAGTTTTTAGTGTTAAAATGAAGTAACCATTTGAAGTGTTAAATCAAATAGTGTAATGTAGTGAAAGTAAAAATATTATAGTGCCAACAATATACTGTATATACTCGTATATATAGAACACAAGAACAAAGTGTCTTCCCTTTAACAAGACTTTAAAAAAAGTGCCATTCAAACACATTCTTAGATATTTTTTTTTATAAAACTAAGTTAAAGTTAAATTACTTATTAGCCAAAAAATCGTAATAATGTTAGGTTATAATATTTTAGTAGTGTTAACTGAAAAAAAAAATTAAAAGGAAAAAAAACGCAACACAAGCCAGGATTCGAACCCGCGACTCACGTTACAATGTTTTAGTAGTGTTACCTAGAAAAAAAAGCAACACAAGGGTAGTACCTGGAGCTTCTTGCGCAGCGGGTGCGGCAGCTGCGGCAGGTGCGCCAGCTGCGGGTGCCAGCCGCCGCCCTCCGCGCCCGCGCCCTCCTCGCCCTCCGCCGTGCGCACCGCCACCACCGCCGCCGAGCTGCTGGCGGACCGTACGTTACCATATTACTTCTGCACAATATCTTATCATAATAATAATATCTTTCCGAACGATTTCAGTGTCGGCGCAGGACACGTGACAGCCGAGGCACGGGGTGCAGGGCTGACAGATCGTATAATTGGATACGAAAATTGTAAAATATGATTATTTTATGTATGTATTTTTAAGTTACATATTACGTATTTTTATTGAAATTTTTTTATTCATCACAGACTATTTCTCAAAAGTTTTGTTAATTTGCACAATCAAATTTGATTTGGTATAATTTCAAGTGACCCAGCGGTATAAAATAAATTGGCTCTACTGATAGTAGTTGTCTCTACTGGCAGCCCTGACGGGGGGATACACCGTCAATTTCCCAACTCTAGGCTGTTACTAAAAATTTCTTGACCAAAAAAACTCAATAACTAAACTTGGCCCGACCCGGGACTCGAAACCCAGGACCCATAATATACATAATTCATCACTTTAGAAACAGTATAAAAATCCATTAGACTTCTACCATCGGCTTACTTATAAAATTAAAAAAAATATTCCTATATCATTTACTATTCACATAATATAATACATACATACATGCATACATACATACTTACATACATAAGTAACAAATAAAAAACGTCTTACCCTCTAGCAGCGGGGTGCATCTCCCTCTCCGGCCCATATCTTATAACAGACTGCCACACAGAGGGGTCGTACTTTACTTCTTCCTCACTCACAGCTGAGGAGGAATAGCCCTCCTCTCCCTCTAACTCCCCATCACTACGATATACGAGCAACCCGTCGCCATAGTCATGGTCTTGACCTCCTTCACCCTGTGGAAAATAAAAAAAAATGTCTACACTAATATATTAAAGGTGAATATTTGGTTTATAAGTACTACAACTTTAATATGCAGTTCAAATAAAGAAAAACAAGTGCGAGTCGGACTCGCACACGAAGGGTTTCGTACCATAATCGTTTTTTTTTTTAATTTGCATAGCAACCTTTTTGAAATTCACCATCTTAATTTTTTATCAATATATTAGGGTGTTTTAGTAAAATAAACGTAATAATAAACATTATTACTAAATTTCATGTTATTAGGTCAATTAGAAGTTAAAAAATTCTATGGAAGAAAATTTGGAAAAAATAAACTGACTTTGGTGGCTTCTCATCCCTTTGTATTTCAATATTTTTTTAAACAAAAAATACAGTATTTATCTACTCAACAAGCTCTAAAAAAGAATACCCCACTCGATGGGGTAGGTCAACCCTTTTTTTGCGCGCTCCCCTTTAGCTATATAGAGCCAAGGAGGGCTCTAAAACATTTAAAAATATTTGACAATTTGAATGGCTTTGGGTCAACAAGATGCTTGCTTATACTGTGAAAATTTGAAGACTACCTCCAACTGTTTTGCTGTAAAACCTGACAGACGACGGACAGACGGACACGTTCGGGTACGGAATCCTAAAAACAAAAGCTAAGCAATACTCATGCTACTGTATTTCATCCGCCTTTGCCATCCTAGGCGTATTCAAATTAAAAAAAAAAACTTCCATGACGTGTACCTCTTGTTGAAATAAAAAAAAACTAAAGCTAAACAATATTCACGCAACTGTACTTCATCCGCTTTCGTCTTCCTAGGCGTATTCAAATAATAAAAAAAAACCGCTTACCTCCGGCTCTCCCTCGCCGTCCCAGGCGGTGACGACGACGCCGGCGCCGGAGCCGGACGCGCCGCCCAGCTGCTTGCGGCCGCGGCGCGAGATGGTGTAGTGCAGGGGGTCGTGGCCCTCACGCCGGATCATCTCGGGGAGGATGCGGCGGCGAGCGTTGATGAACCAGTTGCATACCTGTTGGTTGTGAATGATAAAAAAATCTGTCAAGTGCGAGTTGGACTCGCAGACGTTCCGTACCATTATAGTTTTATTTATTTGCACGGCATGCTTTATGAAATACGCCATCTTGGTTTTTTATTATTAGTTGTTATAGCGGCAATAGAAATACACACTATGTGAAAATTTCAACTCTCTACCTATTACGGTGCATGAGTACAGCCCTATGACGGACAGACGAACGGACGGACGTGCAGCGGAGTTAGTTATCGGAACCCTACTGGGTTCTGTTAGTACCTTTCAGATACGGAACCTTAAAAAGATTATCTATACATTCGAATAATTTTTTTGAACATTCCTATACTGTGCTAGTGACCATTAATTTCATACATCAAAAAATAATTGACCTATTTTTAATAACTGGACGGATTAAAAAAAAAGATAGTAACGTAGTTTTTAGTTTTTAGTCTCGCGTATCAGTTCGAATATGATTTTAATAAGCATGTAATATGTATGTTTATTTTTATCACACTCCGTAGCTTAGCTTGAAAATTTGATGGATTATAATTTATAATACATACATATTACGATATCATTAGATTCATCTTTACTTTTTAGGTAATATTTTTTACGTAGTCATATTGTTTTTTCTTTTTTAATTTTTCTATTCCACAATTTACTGTTTATATAACCTATAAGTTAACAATACACAAAATATGTTTTGTTCTTGCATTCTTGTATACTATATTAATAAACACCTATCAGGACATATTTTAAAAAGTAAAAATAGTGCCAAAAACACAACAAACACAATATATCACCTGCAATACTGTCAAGTTGGCCTCCTGACTGAGAGTAAGTTTTTCCGCGTCACTCGGGTACGCGTTGTATCGGTGCTCGTACAGCCATCGCTTGAGGATCTTCACTGAATGCTTTGGCAAGTTGCCGCGACGTTTGCGAACTATTATCCCGCCCTTTTGAAACAAAATGTTATATGTATTTATAAAGTTCGTAATAAGTAATGTTGATTAGAATCTTGTTTATTTTCAAATTTAATAATATAAAAAAATACAGAAAAAAAACAATTTGAGAAAAAAAAAAAAGATTTATATCATCATCAATATCTATTTAACATGCTTTCGGCACCGATCAAAAAAGTATACTAGATACACAATTCCATGCAAAAGTTCTCTTAAAACTGTCACCAATTGTGTTTAGGTAATTAATCTAGTTGAAATAAATATACAACAATATAAATTGAACCTTAAATGCAATGCTTAAAGTTGTTTTCATAAAAAAAAAGCGCGCTCAAATGTTCAAGTGAGCGCTCATTCGGCGAGGACATTTTTTGTCGCTGATTGTGTATCTTGCATTTACGTACGTGCAGCAAGTGCACTTTTTTGATCAATGATTTTCGGTTCCTGCTGGATAAAAGCCTCTCCTTTGACTATTTTTAATAGAAAAGTTAGGAAGAAAATAAAAAGCATAATGCTTCCAATATGAAAAGTTTTGCAACTCTCTGTAATGGCTTTTTGATAGAAATTTAGACCTCTGTGCAATTTCAATGCCTCTTTATTAGTAAGTTTGTTGCAACAATTTTTGTAGGAACACGGAAGTTTGTTTCCTTACCGGTGGCGGTCCAGAATGACCGGCGTGCGATATTGAACGTCGGGATCGGTCTGCTTCGCCATCGGTCCCCGATTCATTGTCGTCTGTCGACGATGTCGATGGGAATCTGTCACGAGCTAAAAAGATAACATAATAAATTATCTATACATATAATAAAATTCCGAGTCGAATCTGTACATTAAATATTTTTTGGAAAATCTTATTGAAATAGATATTATTATCGATACAGAGGCCGAATCTATAGTTTTTAGAATTTTTGTCTGTCTATCTGTTTGTCTGTTACCGTATCACGGAAAAACCTCTAGAGAGATTTTTATGAAATTTGGTATGATGAAGCGAGGGTGAGTCGCTAGTTAAAAAATATAATATGTAAAATGTATTTATGCAAAAAACTTTCTAACAAAAACAAAAAACCGACTTCAAAACAAAAGCACTAAAAAAAGTAAAAAAATAACTGATTGGTAGTTTTCATTTACTAATCAAATATTCTTGGTTTTATATCGGCTGGCACCGGATTCGAATCCCGGTCGGATACAAAGGTATAATTTTTTTTGTATTTATTCAAGTTTTTTGTTTTTAAAAAAAAAAGAAAATTGTACTTGTGACCAAAAACTTCGAGCGAAGCTCCGTGGCCCAGGTATTTTTAGAAAATGTCGTTTTATTTTCGTGTTTTCAATAATCAAGTTTATCGATAATCAACTAAAACATAAACTTATTTTTTTTATTGGAAAAAAATAATAAAAAGTTGGCGTTTGGGTAGTCCTAATGTTGCCACTTAAACATAAACTGAAAAAATGACTCTTTCTGACATCTATTGGCGAATAATAATACTATTTTTTTTAAATTGTAATCTGAATCTCGGAAACGGCTCCAACGATTTTAATGTAATTTAGTGTTCGGGTGGTTTCGGGGGCGATAAATCGATCTAGAGTAGTCTTATGTCTGAGAAAACGCGTGTTTTCGAGTTTTCATGCAGTTTTCTTTTGCTATTCCACGCTAAATATGGACGGTAATTTGCACGCTCGGGAATAAGCATCTTGGTCAAGCGGCCAAGGTGCAAGATCAACAATCACAGGTGCCAGGTTCGAATCTCGGTCGCATAAAAAGTTTTTACTTTTATTTATTTTTTAATATTTATTCAAGTTTTATAGTTTGTTTTTTAAAAAAAGACGCAAGATTGACAATTTGGTTTTTTTTTGTATTTATTCAAATTTTTAGTTTTTTTTTTCAAAAGAAAATTGTACTTTCGAGTAAAAACTCCTACTATTACACATTAATAAACATACTAGCGACTCACTCTCGTTTCACTTCGGGTTCTTATCTAGACAAAAGCAAATCTATTCTACGGGAACCGTATATTTTTCGGGGATAGTAAAAATAATAATAGTAACTATGTGCTATTCCAGACTATAATCTATCTCTGTGCCTTTCGTCCAGATCCATTCCGCCGTTCTGGCGTGAAAGAGTAACAAACATCTATCCATCTATCATCACAAACTTTCAAATTTATAATATTATTACCTATTGAAGTATGGATTTAGAATAAAAGTGATGGCAGTAAAGATTTGCTTGATCGATTCACAAACTAATGCGTCAAAAAAAGAGAGGTCGCGCGCATTTACGTCAATGCATAAGAATCGTAACGCCATTTACATTTGCATTGAGATTGATTTGCATTTATACTGTCTGTGTTTGTGTCGTACATACAGTTGGAAATTATCAAGCTTTTTTATTAAATTAATATTATAACCATATTACTATATGAATTTGATGTTTATTTAGTTTATTTAAAAATATATAGCTGTAATCAGATATTAATTAAAAAAATATAATCATTATTATATCTGTTTGTTATGACAAAATAACAGTTTTTTTCAATAAATACATATGAAAGTAGGTATATACGGTACTTACAATGAGGATCAGTACAGTTATAGCAAATTCCATAGAACTAGTATCCACGTTATTTAATAAGACATAAGAATGATATATATTTTTGAATTTTCAAAATCGGACCATAACTTACGAAGATATTAAGTAATAAACATTACGCCGTTCCTGCCGGCAAAATCCATGTACGAGGGTGCGTGTGACGTCACTATGACGGAACGAACGTAGCCGGCCCACCGCCCGGGTCTCTTACTCACAATTCGACGGAGAGCGCGCGACGGGATTAGCTACTATATTTAGTAATTACTTATTTCGTGTTTTTTCAAGTGTGTTTGTGATATTTAAATATATTTAGAAAGTATCTACATCTATACGTATAATAAAATTCTAACTAAGTCGAATCTGTACATTAAATATTTTTTGGAAAATCTTATTGAAATAAACATTATTATCAATACAGAGGCCGAATCTATAGTTTTTAGAATTTTCGTCTGTCTGTCTGTGTGTTACCGCATCACAGAAAAATCACTGGAGGGATTTTGATGAAATTTGGTATGGTAATAGATCCGGGGTCAACATATAGGATACTTTTTACACTGGGAAAATATTTCGTTTCTGAGAAAAAATACAAAAACTGCAATGTAAGAGTATACTAATATGTAAAACCTAAAAATTTGATTTTTGGTCATGTGTCGCGGTCGCGGGCAATGCTAGTCGATAATAAATAAAACAAAGGGAACAAAAACTCAACAGAAAAACATCCGGAAAAAACAGTTACATTTAAAATGTCAAATATTCGCGGTAAATCTAAGAAAGTATTATGAGATGCTATGGTCGTCACAACAGAGGGTAGGGGTGCGGGATGCAATCGATCGGGTTCAACGGCCGAGTGACGCAACTCCAGTCTCCAAGGACATTTCCGCGGAAGCTTGCGTGACCTTATTCTGTCACACTTGACATGTTTTTTTTTTCTAAGAATCTTGTTTATTTATTATTATATATTTTTTTAATATTTGTATAATTCATGTTTTTTATTTTTTGTTAAATATATTAAAAAAAATGTGTTTTTTATTTTTCTATAAGCCATCCAAATAATTATATCGTTCGATAAAAATATCTGTTATTATTATACTATAATCGATTTAAATATATATATATTTAATATAATAATAATAATGTATCCTATCCTATAAATAAAACGTTCGAAACGGCTGGACCGATTTTGAAGGGACTTTCACAAGCAGATAGCTGATTTTGTAAGGAGTAACCTAGGCTACTTTTATTTTAGAAAACGAATTAGGATTCCGCTCAAAAAAATAAAACGCACCAATCCTAAAACCTCGAACCTAAATATAAATATATTCGATGTTTTGTATGTAATCTTTTCAAGGTCAAACACTGTTGCTGAATACTTGACACACAAATGAACAAGGTTACTTTTGACACCGGAAAGGATATGATTGCCAGCGGGTACATGATAGAAGTTTTGCTTACGAAACATTTTTTTAAATAAAAGGTTTTTAATGAATTTTAATGTAAATAGACGTAAGTATTTATTATTTAGTAGTTACCCACCTAGCAACTTTTTTTTAACGTTGGGAAATGGATTTATGCATACCACCTTCATGCATACAGGTGTTTATGTGGAGACTCAACGGCAAAGCTAGTGTTACCCACTAAAACCCAAACGAATCTCCTCCGCCCTCGTCTTAAGGAAGAACCGAGCTTTATTTTAGTAGAACGACAGCAGGCGGAGAGAGAGGATTAAAAAACTGATGAACTTCCTTGAAGTACTTACGCCGCACTAAGGGTTTATTTCGTTTTATAGAGATCACTCTGGATTTTTTTTTTCTATCGAGGAAACTACAAGTAATCGTGTTTCTAAAATGTACGATTTATAGAATAAATCCTTAAATATCGTACATATTAATTGCATAATTTAAGTTTTAGTAATAACAATACAGCAAGTTATCGAACGAACGTAATTATTTCGTAATTTCCTCGGTGCGCCCTTAATGCGGCGTCGCAGGATCACTTACGCACTTAACCAAAACGCCCCGACGCGACAGCAGATCTGCCGAAGTAGACCACGACAACCATGGGGTTACTCCAACGGTCCACTCTGCAATGTATCAGGGAAGTACCAGGAGCAACCCGCATGACACACCACCCACCGACGTGGACCGCCATTGTTAATATCCCATTAGAATTATTCCATATAGCACTATAAAAAGTAACCTGTATCACTTATCTGGCCCATAAACTAAATTTGTGCAAAGAAGTAACAATTAAAATAGATGTTGTTGGTGCATAAAAGAAGCTTAACAATTCATAATTGTTATTTAGGAAAAATTTAAGGCACTGGCGATCGTCATTATTTATTAAGCGTCTTCCCTTGGAAGTTGGACCGCCCGCGTTGATCACTTATTACTAGGTATATAATAATTTTTTTTATAAATTATACCGTATGTGTTATATGCTTTGCTTTTATTATGATTTTATGCATATTCCCTATTGCAGATTCTTATTTTTTTTATGCAGATCCCTAATTCTTTTTCTAACATAAAAGTAGGCTAAGTTATTCCTTATAACATCAGCTATCTGCCAGTGAAAGTCCCGTCAAAATAGGTCAGCTGTTTCGGAGATTAGCCGGAACAAAGAGGAAGACAGACACACAAAAATAATAAAAAAAATCTTATTAGTATTTAATGTATATATTTTTATATGCGTTTACTAAAAACCTGTTATTTTGATATTACAAACAAACACTTCAATTATATTTATGCATATGTAAAGATTAGGGAGCCTACTATGAAGTATATATATCAAAAGTAAAAAATGTATATCTGTAATGAGACTGAATAGTTAATTATACATTTAAATATAGTACATTGTTTTCAGAGACCTTTGACATGACTAGAATTAGAATAATTTACCTTTTCCAATGAAAAACCTATTTTTAGTTTACTCTCATTACATATATTATTCTATATGCAATCCATACTATAAATGTGAAAGTGTGTTTGTTTGTTTGTCCTCCTTTCATATCGAAACGGAGTGAAGGATTGGCGTGATTTTTAGTGTGGAGATAGTTACTTTTTACTGTTGGAGATTATCTCATTCCCACAGGAAAACACGTTATAATATAACCAAAAAAATAATTTTGATCAGAATTACTCGAAACTTGGTATTAATGCTCATCAATACAATTAAATAAATATGTGTTTAAGCATTTCTAAAAATTCATCCCATAAGGGGAAAAATAGGGGATGAAAGTTTGTATGAAACCTATCTTTTTAGAGTTTTTTGTAGTTTTAGCATCAGCAAAGTCGTGGGTTCTGCTAGTTTATTATATTTGTTTGCATAGTTAACAATATATACAGGTTGCAAAAGTTATACTAATCTTTGCTTCAAGTCTATATATAAAAAATATTCTATTATTATGCTTATATGGCTTAATACCCGGCACAGAGCACAGTCAATATTCATGAAATATGGCACAAATATAAAGATAGCTCACATTCTGAAGATACATATTATTCAATAAATGGTAATTACTATTGTATAAAATATGAAAGATGTATGAAAATTATTTTCTTAAGAATATATTTAATAAGCCTTATTGTATATAGTATTTCCTAACTGATTTATTATCTCCAATATAAACTGTTGGTACATCAATTCAGTTCTTTTGTTTCATGGCTTCTACGAGCTGGCATGTCTAATAGGGGATGAAATTTTGACAGTATATTTCTATGAGTCACAAATGAAAAGTTTTTTGAAATGTAAACCAACATGCATGGCAAATGATACATTTTCTTAAAATTCATGCTTTATTTAGTTACATTAATAAAATATGCTTAAGTTTTTAGAAAAAATATACCCTTATAAAAAAGTAATGACTGAAGTCAAAGATTAGCTGCTAACTAATATAAGTAGTATTTAAGTCATATTGAAATAGGAAAATTCACTAAGAATTTATTTTGCAATCCAGAAGCTCTTATCTATGACCCATTTGTTAGTGATAATATTTTATCTCTAAAGTTTCTTAATTTTGATTTATGTTTCAAGTTGAAGATAGCAGATAATTTAAAGGCATTCAATTAATATATGGATTAATATATAGATATATAATGCTATTTAGAAAAAAGGTATTAATGAGAAATCAAAAACAAACATTATAATGTTTAAGACATATTAATTGTATAAGTATTAATTTCCAAACAAAAACAGGAAATAATAATAAAAGTAGATTGAAGGTGATTAATTGAGATTTGAGAGCTATCCTTTTTTGGAATCGGCAAAATAAAAATTAACAATGTTTGTATAAGCTAATTTGAATAATTAAAATTAGAGTACATCGATCCCAATTAACATTTAAAGCTTACTTCTGTTGTATTTATATTACGATACGATACATAATATTATTAAAATCAATATCAAAATTAAAATATCAACAAAGCAACAGCAGCGCCGCCTAGTTTGCCGCGTGATTAAAATTAAGAACGTCCGCCATCTTGTCATCGTTGATCGCTGTCATTTTACTGTCAATACGACAAAGTCAAGTCTCAATAATAAAAATAAACACAACATTTTAATATATTAATATATAAAACCTAAGGCTAACGCAACTCATGAGATGGTGACATGCAGGTAATCATGGCCTTATGATTAAAACGTTGGAACTATGCACACCTTTGGGCCAGCATCTAAAAATAACCCCAGCATGTGCCAAAGCTCAATCAGCATTCGTATTGAATATTCAAGCTTTATACTTTTGAAAATTTAAACTAAAACGCCAATGGAATTTCATTCTAGAATTACTGTTTAGATAATGATAAGCAAATGAGGCGCTCAATGTGGCGCATTGGCGCCATTTTACTTTCGCGCGATCGAGTTCCTAGGTGACGTAACAGACCTAGTTTCTATTCCAAATGAATCCTAGATGGTCTCAGACCATGATAACTAGGTTTTCCTAAATTAATAACGAGAAAAATAGTTGTTTTTATATAAATGTCACCTTGACGTATGTCAATATGACAAGCATGGCGGAAACGTGGCGTCGTTTTGGACCGGCTTGCTTACCTCCAGGCGACATTGATTGTCTGTTAGAAACACGGGCTTCTCTGATAATGTCTCGGGTTATTTCTCTCACGTCACGTCTTTGTTGGTATGCCATTTCGGGCCGGTCACGTTGTTCCTGCGCTATACCGGCCGTAGGAGGTAACATCGTCACTCAATCCATCCGAAAAGTGTAATTTCACCGAGTCACAAACAGTATATGATTAACCACACAGTTTTTGGCCCCACTGTCAATATTGTAAACAACACTTCAAATTAAAAATAAAATAACACAAGCGCAACTACGCACGGCAAACGAACTAAAACGCGACTGTGTCGACCGACGGTCGTTTGGGGGGACGGCGGGAAGATACGCTAGAGCGCCGTCGCGCAGCTATCCTTGTCTCACTTTACCGATTTATATATTGGTTTCTCTTTCTAGCACACAACGCTTCGATGTCAAAATGAGACTACTGTCAAAACAAAGCGTGGGTTTGGCAAGACATATTATTCAAATGTCAAACAATCAACGTTTACAAATATAGAAGTGCCATCTAGTTTATTTTAATGTAATTACACTGAAATTAGGACAAGATACTATTTTAAACTTGTTATGTCAGATTATAAAGGCACTGAATATAAAAATGATTGAGGTTTTTACCCATGTGAACATAAATTGTCCTTCTCTTAGCTGTTAATAGATGGATTGGTATTTTATTTCAAACTAGCATTGCCCGCGGCTCCGCCCGCATTCAGAAGACCAAAAACCAAATTATTAGGTTTTACATATTAGTATACTCTTACAATGCAGATTCTGTATTTTTCTCAGAAATGAGATATTTTGTCGCGGTAAAAGTATCCTATATGTTGACTCAGATAACCAGCTATTATTATACCAAATTTCATCAAATTCTGTCCAGTGGTTATCTCGTGATGCGTTAACAGACAGACAAAAATTCTTAAAAACTATGGATTCGGACTGTATCGATAAGAATGTTTATTTCAATTAGATTTTCCAAAAAATATTTAATGTACAGATTCGACTTAGTTACAATTTTATTATATGTATAGATATTCCGAAGAATAAATATTTAATTGGTACACGTCAGAGATGTAAACCGTAAAAATTTTAACCGGTCTTTTAAGGTTTTAAGAATTGAAACTATTTAAAGTATAAGGATTTAAATCTTTGGTAAAAAATATTAAGTCAGTTAATAAAACTAGCGGCTCACTCTCGCTTCGCTCGGGTTCGCCTCTAGAAAAACAAATCTATCCCACGGCAACCAGGATAATAAGTAGTCTATTTATATATGTATGATATGTACCTACTACTTCAGACTATAATCTATCTGTGTCAAATTTCATCCAGATCCGTTCAGCCGTTCTGGCATGATTCAGTAACAAACATCCATACATCTAAACTTTCACATTTATAAAATTAGTAAGATAGTAATTTGTAACAATGCGAAATATGGTAATGATTTTTTTTAAACAATGATGTACTGTGTACAGAATATAGACCAAAACAATCGTTGTTTTGTCTATTTTCCTGTATATCTGTGTGTATTTAACTCAAAAAGTGCTGAATGGATTTTAACTAAATTTTGTGTACATATAATTTATTACTCGAGTTCAACTTATTAATACAACAACAACATATCTTTTACTAGGTACCTGTATATAAGAAAATCTCTCAATGTGGGAGTGTAAGGAAAGTACACGGAGAGTTTTACTGGGATATTTAAATAAAAAATAAAATAAACCTTAGTGTCCGAATAGTGCGTAGTAGTAAGATTTATTTTTAAAATTAAAACCATCGCATCTTCTACACATTACAACATATGAAAAAGCGTCTGACAAAAAATAAGAGCAATACGTTGGTCTATGTTACGTTGCGTGAAAATAACTTAACGAAATGGTGCTTCAACAGGCTGACCTTCCTTCATACAAAAATTTAAATGATTTATTACATTAAAACCTTTCAAAGGCAGGGTTATAATTATTAATATATGTATTTAACGATTTATTTATTTTTGAAATAAATTGAAACCTAAGTCGCTATATACCAGTCCGTTTCTTTACTTACTTTTTCTCTTATAAGGCGATTAACGAGAAAGGTTTGTATATGTCGCAGGTAGATTGAAAAACCATGAAATTATAATTTTACTAGTGAAATTATTACCCGGAGTTTTGTCAATCGTCTCCTTATCTTACAATATCACGGGAAAATGTTAGGCATATTATAATTTCACTAAGCACATTCAATGTAATTACCCTAGTTAAATTGTCAATAGTAGCTATACTATGATGAATTGGGAAGCCTCGGTCCGTTTTGATTGGTCGTTCACTGATCGGACATTTTTAATATCAAAAACATAAACATTGAAACATGCTCGTGTATACATTTATTTATTTAATTTCATTGTAAATATATTGTAAAGTGTCAAGGCATTAATTATTTTATAGGCTGTACCTAGGTATAAGTTAATAGGGTAGAATCAAATTATCTACAAGACCCCGAACAACAAAGAAAACAGTTTGAAATTTAGGCACTTGAAAATTTCTTCGACACAGCTAAAAAAGCACAACCTGTAAGTAAAACCCGTGTTAAGTTTTTCATATGCATAAAATAAAATCTGAGTACGTAGATTATTTTTAAAATTTGAGAAGATTATTAATCAGTATTTTTTAATTTTCGATTAACTCTTTCTTTCTTAGAAAAAAATTAATATTGATACAACAAACTGCGTCAATTATAAGAAAAGGATTGACAAAACTTCGGGTAATTATAATATCACTAGTGAAATATTAATTCAACGGATTTTACGATTTCCCTGTGACATATATAATTTGAAAATATTCTGAACAAAATAGCTGAACTGAACTGAAAATAACGGTGTTTACAACATCAAGACAATGTGCTAGAAAATTGTACGTAACAAAAAGGTCGATAGTTAAATCTGGATTAGCTTATATGTGTATCTCCTAAGGTACACGCACAATAACTATTTTAATCTATTCAAAACATACCTACTACTTAGGGAAGTACCCGAGCGATTAGAGGGTCTCTAGTTTTAAATACAAAAAAATAACTTAACTAGCGACTCACCCTCGCTTCGCTCGGATTTGTTCCTGGCTTGTTTCCCCATACAAACTTTCATCCCTATTTTCACCCCCTTAAGCGATGATTTCCGGGATAAAGAGAATCCTATGTGGTTCCCAGGGTCTCAAACTATGTTCTTACCAATTTCATCTAAATCGGTTCAGTAGATCTAGAGATTACCACCCACAACTTCACAAACTCACAATCTCACAAACTCTACCGCTTTATAATATTAGTATAGATTATAATATTAGTATAGATTAACTGTCTGTTTTTATTACATTTAATTTATGACGTAAATACATTACTTAATGACGTACTAGCGGCTCACCCTCGCTTCGCTCGGGTTCGTCTCTAGGAAAACAAAAACAAACCTATCCAACGGGAACCGTACATTTTTCCGGGATTAGGGTTATTCCAGACTATAATCTATCTCTGTGCCAAATTTCATCTAGATTCGTTCAGCCGTTCTGGCGTGAAAGAGTAACAAACATCTGGATACATACTCACAAACTCTCACATTTATTTTACAAAGAAATCTTTTTATAGCTTTTTATATTTATACATATTAGTACACACTTATTTTAATCTTACGTATTAGGTACTACTTGATAACATCAACATGGAATCTAAGAATCTATTCCTGTACTGCATGTGAGTACATATATAAGATAGTTAAATCTAAAAAGAAAAAAATATACATTAATATATTAGTACTCAATTTTCTATATACTTGGGTCTGTTTTTTTTATAATTTTCAATTATCGATCAAACTTGTTTGATTTATGTTTTCACTAAATATTCAAATATTATCACGCGATTTTTTAGATCCGCGTAGATATACATATTATATGGTCTTACATTAATAATTTATCATTCTATTTAAAGAAAATTTGCTCAGTAAAAAATTAATAATAAATAATTATTATTATCATAATATATTTTAATATAGCATAAAAAATTAAATATTTTTTATTTAAGCTTTTATATTGAAATAATTTGAAATTTCATTTAGTTTTTATGTCATGAATGAGTTAAAAGTAAAAGAATGAATTATTTTGAAATGTTTTAATATTGGACGGATATTTTATTTAAGTATCATGGAAAAACATTATTATGTAGACAACTTATAAAAGCTTACAATACACATAAACTAGTATTTAAATAGTTTTCGATCTATTAGGGATAAGTTAGTAGTAGTTCTTAATCGATTCGATCAGCCTCTTGTATACTATTTCGGGTGCCTTTTTGGAGAATTGGAAGTCCATAGTACTGAAATGTTGTTCAGGCACTTCATAAACCTCTTTCACATTAGGCAATTCTCTGTGAAGTCGCTCTACGTCCTTGGGGTGCGCTAACCAATCTTCTTCGCTGAAGTAAAGCACAACTGGCACATCTACTTCACTCATGTTGTATTTAGGTGGTACGTTCTGACCGTATATCTTTTTGTTGATGTCGACTCCGTAGTTGAATTTTCTGAACTCTTGAGAAGCTACACCCTGGCCGTAATGGAAGATCTGTCTCGTAGATGCTCCAGCAGGAAGGTGGGAAGCTATTGAAGGAATCAAATCGAAGTCCATACCAGCTGTGTCGACGCCAGCCATTACAAAGTAGATGTTAGAACATATGTGCTTGCAGCCGATTTCCCAATCGCAAATGTTGCCGCCAATCGTATGTACCAGCTCCTTGCTAGGCTGGAATTCTTCGTGACCAATTCCGTCGTAAAGGCGCTCATAAAATTGGCTGCTTGGTGCTATCATGCGGAAAAGAGGGCTGCGGACGTTAGTCATATAAACCATAGGAGACAGCGCGAACATCATCGTAATTTTTTCTCTGTATTCTGGGTGAGTGGCAGCCAAAGCGAAGAAAATAGTAGAGCCCTGTGAGTGACCGATATAAATAAGCTTCTTTTGTTCGGAAACTTTCAGGGCATAGTCTATCATGACGGGCAAATCCATAAGAGCGATTTCATCGATGCTGAACTGCCAGAAATCGGGATTGGAGACGTGCTTAGTGACGTGACGGCGAGAGTACTTGTTACCGCGAACATTGCCTAGCCAGACGTCATATCCAGCGTCAGTAAGTAAGTAAGCAAGTGAATACTCTGGACCCATCAGAAGCCATTCATCAGCGCTTCCTAAGACTCCATGCATTAGGAAGACGACGGGACGCTTTGTGACTTCAAAGGAGTCCTGTTTTGCTTTAATACGAAACAGAGTTAGGAAATAACCATCATCAGTCTTCACAACGTGTTCTTCAACTCCGTAGTGGTATTTCCTAATTAGTTGAGTCGCATTGTAGTGACTGTCTTCTTCGTATTTTCCACCGTTATATTGGAATAAATCGTGGATTTTCTTCTTGTCTTCTTCACTCACGTGTTGAATTGTTTTGTAAGCGTCGCGGAAAATCCTTTCGATCTCTTTTGTTTCGCTTACGGGAGAATTCGGGCCTACTGCTATTTGTACGCCGCGCCATTCAATCACATCGCCATAGGGGACTTGGTCGCTCTGGGTGACGACGGTAGAGAAAACTGGTACATTCCAATTTTTGACGGATCGGAACGATGTGGGGTAGTCGCCGACGTCGTCGTAGCTGAATTGCTCCTTGCTTTCTTGTGAGACAGATTCATGATGATGGGTCATCTTTACTTCTCTTTCACGTTGAACTTGGTCAGCGTAGTCATTGGGGTGTACGACGAGAGTGTCCACACGAGGGTTGTACTGGTGTCGGACGATGTTGCAGACGGCGTTGCGGGCCAGAGCGAGGCAAAGGAGCACGTAGACAGCCCTCATTGTGCTAACTTGTGTTGACTGTGAGGATTGTTAATTTGCTAGCGATTTTATATAGGTAATAATGCACAGTCAGCATAATCATTAAATGTTTTATATGGAATGTTCTAAAACCTGACAATTTTTAAATTATATAAATTGATATTAATTAATGTTTATAGTACTTATATGTAATTTTTTTGATTTATTTCATAAAAAAATTGTTAAAATCTCTACCCAAAAACCCACCGATTTTTTATGAAAGCAGATATTTTGACGCGAGAATTTTGGATTGAAAATTAGGCTGCTTTTTCGATATTAAGTCAAAATAAGGTGAAAAAATAAATATTTTAAATCATAAAAAATTACAGTATGTTTGGGACATAAAAAGGTAAGTTTTCACTAAATTTCGTAAAAAAAAGGTTTTTTTTTTGTAAAAGATAAAAATAAAAAACCAAAAATATGGTTATTTGAATTTTTCAAATAAATTTTGAGGTTATGTGAAAAAAGTGTAAATACAGAAGTTGTAGATCTTTTTGTTACCTACAACTTTGCGATTTAACTTTTTTCCATAGGACTTGTAGTTTTGCCGGAAATCGAGATAAACCGTTTTTTACCCTTAAAAACTCACCTCAGGTCGCCTGTAAATTATTGTTTCTTTCATTTTTTTTATATTCTCTTTCTTTTTCAATGGGTTTCATCCTACTATAATAAAAAAATTTTTCTACTTTTGCAGTAAATCTATAAATGTATACAGATAAATAAAATTGAAATGTCTGTTTGTTATTACACAAAATAACAGCTTTTTACTAAATGCATATAATATTAGATACGTTACTTATAAGAAAAACACAATTTTTAAAATTTTTGTCTATCTGTCTGTCTGTCTGTTTGTTCCGGCTAATCTCCGAAACGGCTGGAGTGATTTTGACGGGACTTTCACTGGCATATAGCTGATATTATAAGGAGTAACATAGACTACTTTTATTTTAGAATAAGAATTAGGCGCCCGTTCAAAAAAAAGCGTACCTAGAGACCCTACTGTAAGATATACTCGTAGGTAATGCAGTATATAGTATTAGTACACAGTAATAGGGCAGTATTTTTCACGGTGCCCCAGGGCGGCACATAAGGTAAATCCAGCCCTGTTGTTAGATTTTATTGTATATTATATATAACATCCTACGATGATGGTAGTGCCCAGCCTTCTTCCCTATTGAAGTTTGAATATTTTTTAATTTCCATAGCTTCTCGAATCATTCTGGGACGATAACGGTTCCCTTTCGCGAGTACCTATTTGTGGACTATCAAACCGAACGTAGTAGTAGTGCCTTGGGCGATCCTAGCTATGTTTACAAACTGCACATGTTGTATTGCGACGGTGCTTCACATCAGCTATGTGTTCTTTGACCCGAGTTCTAATGCATCTCGTTGTTTATGTTATCTATGTATATAGTCAAATATTCGCGTAAATCTAAGAAAGTGTTATGTATTTTTTTCTTCTAATTTTAAATGTCTACGTATTAGTAAAATTTTATATTTTTTTTTTATAAGTAACACGTTTTCGTATTAGATATCAGCCTGTATATTACCATATATTATGCGTGATTCGTATGTTTATTTAGGTTGTTGTATCTAACAACGTTTACTAATTGCAAAATCATTTGTTTACTTACTTTACTACTTACACTTACACTTATTTGCTTATTTAATTTAAGTAAAACATATTCATTTAGTTAAAAAAAATGGTAGATTTTTACTAACTATTTTTTTGGACTTTTATTATAAATTAAAATATTATAATTGAAAATAATATATTTTTTAATTATAGTGTAAAAACAATAAGGCTTATGTACATAATTTATTTCTAACATAGGATTCGTGAAAATCATCGCAGTCTTTAAAATAACTCTATTTCATGCAAATAGCAAGTTTGAATTATCGTTGATTGCTTGATTTCATTAGTAATTTTCATTATTAAAATAAATAAAAATAAATTTATATGGAGATTTTTTAATTAGATAATAGCTCTATAGCCGACTCCGTCTTCGTCAGGCTTTTCTTATTAGTGTTATGCCAGAAAATTCTTTCTCTTAGTTCACTTAATTTTGCCAACTCTTTTCACTTAAGGACCAATTGTTGAAGTTATTGAATAACATACACAATTATCATATAATAGATACATACATAATTTTCGTTAGGGTTCCATAGCTAAAAGGCAAAATCGAAATCCTTATAAATTGTCCGTTCGTCCGTCCATATGTCACAGTAATTATATTATGTACTCAAAGACTATTTATTGGATTTGTAAGGTAGGTAGGTCTAACATGTCAATTGCTAGACAATTATGTCAAAATCGAAGAAAAGGGGTTCTCTTTACGAAAAATTTGAGCCCACATGAGTGTCTGGGATATTTGTAGTTGTAATTCTGGGCCTCTATTTTGTGCCGCCCGAGGCGGCCGCCTCTTTACATCATAGCAAAATATAATTACATTTTTTTTTACAATAATTACATAATTTCTACTTAATTAGAAAAAAGTTAATTTAATTTAAACTTCCAAGACTTAAGTAACTTTTTCCTTCGGTTGCTGATCGCAGTTTTAAATTTTTATTTTATTATTTTTCGTGGATAATTATGTGTACCTTATAAATTAACTGATCTTTAGGCATACAATTTTATTTAAATTGAAATGGGACCAACTCTGAATATAAGCCCCAACCAGTATATAACTAAATAAAAACAAACTTTAAAAAGAAATTTTAACAAGAAATCAGTGGAACATGAAAAACTACTCGTATATTCTAATTCACAATATCTAATTCACAACGCAATCTCCTTATTTTCTTCGGTTAAAAATTAAAATATAAAGTTAAGAATAAACTAGAGATTTAGGTATCTTATGTCCAATGTTGTCCAAAGGAGGGTTATGTGTTTGACATGTAGGTATAGGTACGTATGTCCGATCCTATGTTCCCTCGTAATTACTAAAAGGCTTAACCGATTTTGATAATTGATACCGCGTCGTTAGATATGTCTTCTTAACGCATGTGTCATAGGATACATGGAAACCATAAAAAAATCGCGTATTTTAGATACCAATTCATGTGTCTTGAATTTTTTTATTCCAAACCCATCGAGTATATCAAACATCTATCAAAATGAAGGAAATTTTAAGAGGCGATCACAAAAATATTCATCGTCATATTTCAGCCAATTTATACTAAACCATATATCTAAACTTTTCTCATGAATCACTCCATCCATTGGTGAAAACATTACGAAAATCTGTGCGATAGTTTTTGAGTTTATCGCGTTCAGGCAGACAGACAGACAGGCGCGGTGGGGGACTTTGTTTTATAATATGTAGTGATATGTAGTAGATATTTATTTATATAAATAAGTAAGATAATCGCTTAATTCTATCCCGCTTGACTCAGGAACATCCGATCTGCCATTTAATAATAAGTCTAAAATTGTCACATCCGACTAAGTTCATAAAAACCTAAATTCAAACATGAACCATAACTACAAAAACGTTTACGCAGATAATACTTAGTGATTGAGTAATTATTATTGTCGTTGATAAAAACACTGACTAGGCAAAAGGTTAACATTATGTTTTCATTTTAAACGATTAACCTTTGTACTTCACTTGTTAAGTAATTATTTTTTACCAACTTCAGAGAAAGAGATTTTTTTTATGCTTTATGAAATTTTCGCCAATTGTGACCCATTTTGAATTAATGAATAGGGATGCAAATACGTACCTACGGCCACGGCTATTGCTACGAGTATGTTCATAACTAGGTACCTAAAAGTACTATTCACATAGTTTAAGCTTTAATTTCACAATTGCCATGTAAATGTTAAGATTCAGCCCGAAAGGGTAGAATAATTTAAGTATCTCAAATGATTTTGAAATCGGTTTCCTTTTAATAATGAATTTCCCACTAATGAATAATGAATTTCCCACTAAAGTAAAAATTACTGTGTAGAAATTATATAAGAATATTAGCGAGTGAAATTTTAGGTTTATATATATTTTGTAATGCCGAATCATAAAAAAAATTAAAATAAAAATTTTTGTCCAAAAAATAATTTTTTTTTGGGGTGGACCACCCTTATCGCTTAGAGGTATGAAAAATAGTTTACGTCCTCCCAGATCTATTTAATATACCTACATACAAATTTTAGTAAGAATCGGTCTCGCCATTTCGGAGGAGTTTTGTTACAAACACTGTGACACGAGAATTTTATATATTAGATATTATACCTACTTACACAAAAGCTACTTTTATTTGATATCAATGTACATTGTACAAAAAATCATAATCAATCATAGAGAGAGGGAGAGGCATGGGAGAGGCATGCGAGAAAAGTACCTTAAATATTGAAGTTATCGAGTTTTAATCAAAGGAAACACTAATTTATTTAAAAAAAATAAGAACTGCATTTTTTTTAAAAACTTTCATTAACAGATAAGTAATCGAACCAAATAAAAATACAATAAAATAAAAGTCACTATTTTATTGAGTCTATGGTAAGGATAAAATCTATCGAAAAACATTGCTTCTTATATTTAAAGAAAACCATGAAATCTTACAATTTATACATTTCGACATGAAAGGAAAATGTCTTAAATACTGAAAATATTGTTTCACTCAATTTTTAAAAATAAGTTTTTTTTTAAAGTTATCTGAACCAATAATCGAATCAACTAAAAATGCAAAAAAGTTCTTAAAAATTTAAATGCAGTTATTATTCTATTTTAATTTAAAATAAAGCAACGTTTCCTGTGATAACTTAAATATTTAATTTTTTTCATGTCCCATCCATTTGTTCCACCTGTATATCCTGAGCAGTTGGCTAGACTCAGATTGGTCGCCGTGACAGAAATAGGAGTATATTATATAGAGATGAAAATAGATATATATATATATAATCAATAATATATATGTACAAGTCGGACTGCAATATTAAAATAACTTAATTATGACTTAAACCAAATAAGTATTTTGTTTATTAATTGTTCCAGTCGTTCTCAAATGATAGGTACTAGAAAATAACACTAACAAAAGCCATTATATTATGACCGTTCTTAAAAACACAAATAAGGTTCTATAGAATTTTATGCATTCTATTCATGATAAATGTTAAATACAAGGCTTTCCTGCAGCATTGAGGATAAAATATGTAAAAAAATAATCCTTCATTATGTATGCACCGAAGTCGTGTGAATAACTATGATTATAACCTAATAGGTGTTTTATCCAAGGTAACAATGGATGCACGGATAACAAAAATATATTTATTTTTTATTTATTTATTTATTTAAACAAATAAAAAAATATAGTATCTATAGTTAAAAACAAAACAGTAGGCACAGTTCCTTTTCTCTTGATTTTTTTTGTTTAGTAGATATTGACAAGCTTTAATGTTATCTATATTTTTTTTTTGAAAACTGGTTTGACCATTGAATATGTTTTTTTTGTCGCTTCGATACAGATTCGATTTTCAACGAAAGTACGACATCGCTATGTTGTCTTAGGTTTTAGGAATACGTAGCTGATTGAGATGTCAAAAGACGCGTCTCGACGAAGGCCACAAAATGCATATTTTTTTAAAAAACCTCAAAAACTTTTTTTAAATCGAAAAAATGTAAAAAATGTGGTCGTATTTCGTCCGATTTCGGTCACAAAAAAAACATATCTCGATAACGAAATGAGATTTCGAAAAAATAATAAACCGCTCTAGGGTTATGACTTTGGGCTAAATTTAAAAAAATATTGGAGATACATAATATCACTAATGGGTTATTCATAAGTAGGTACTTAGTACCTTTGTGACGCGGAGTTTACGCGCAGCGAGCGTGTGAACGCGGAAGTTACTGTAAATAGGTAAATGTTTTGGAGCATGATTATGTTTTTGGAAGAAGTGATTCTTTGTGAATAAATGAATATTTAAACTAATAGATTTAAAAATAATAAACAAATGAATATGTATTTAAACTAATGGATAAAGTTTTAAAAAAATTAAAGTTTCGACTAGATTTCATTAGATTATTTGGCGCTTATTGTTCTAAAAATAATGTTTCTTCAGATCAGCGCTGCAATCTTTACATCATATATGATAGAGTCTCTGTCGATTATCGCTTCTTCCTCAGGCTTTTAACCTGATCCTTTTTAAGTTTAATAAAAAAATATATTATTGTTCTTCTGACTGATTTTGGCCATGGCTATTTCAGTGTAATTTGAGACATGTGAGCACGAGATATTATACCTAGTGCTCAAGTATGCGCACAATTTTCAATCTTTAAGGAATGATTCCTAACGATTGGTAATATACATACGAGTATGTACATACATCTCGCGGCAAGGATGAAACGTGTATGTCTCCACTCTCCGACTGCATAATACCACAAATCACATAATACTATACTAGTAATAATACTATAGACGACACGTTTGGCTCAGTTTGTAGTAACCCTACTCGCTGTGTGTGGTTCAAGTCCCCCTGGGGGCATTCATTTGTGTGATGAGCACGAATGCTTGTACTCTAGTCATGGGTGCTTATATTTATAATATGTATGTATTTAAAGTTATTTAAGTGTAGTGTATCAACTATCTGGTATCCATAACACAAGCCTCGTAGCTTACCATGGAACTAGATGGCGCTGTGTGTTAATATATATATATACATATATATATATATATATATATATATATACCCTGGTCTATAATATTTTAACTGTAATTAGAGTTCATACCTACCTTGTCATATTTACCTATTAGATATTATCTTAAAGTATATTCGTCTGGCATCGACTTCAAGAATATCTGATTAAGTATCTATAGTAAAATAAAACACCGTTCAGATATTTTTTAATTTATAGTACCTGGAAGTCGATTTTTTTTTAATTTTTTATATTGAGTAGGTACATTTTATGCATCAGATTATGATTTGCGTTCGCGAATCATTTGCACTATTCATAAAGATGTCCTTGAAGAAGGGAGGATTTGTACAATTAATATTTACATATTTTCCTTACGAATTAATTAACAAAAAATTAAAAAAGAATTAGCCGTTATTATTAGTTATACGTAGATACAATAACATTAATACATAAAAGTGTTTTTAAGTACATAATTAAAGTTTAACAACACAAGAGTCACATTGAACATGTACCTACTTAAATAAAACGGATTTGAATTGAATTTATAATTTTATCCAAAATACAGTAAAAATAAGCTTACGGTTTTTCTATTTAGATACCTATTGTGTTATCAAAAAAATGACAGTAATTTTCTTAATCTTTTATAAATGAGTATTTTGAGGTCTTTGGCTAAAATGAAATCAAGATGATTGAAAGTATGTAATGGAATTTTATATATATCTATAGCATTAGGTAATTTGTTGTATAACAGGTCGACGTCATCGGGATGAGCTAACCAGTCAGAGTCACTGTAAAATAACGAAACTGGCGCAGTAACACGATGTAACGCGTATTTAGGGGGCGTTCTTGACCCATATTGTTTCAGATTCCTCTTCATACCATAGTTGTATTTCCTAAACTCCTTTGATACAACATTTTGGAGGAAGTGTATCATTTGTTTCGACGATCCTCCAGAAGGCAAGTGGCCGAAAATCACTGGCAAATTCGTAACATTAAGCTGTGCCAAATCAAAACCAACGCTTAAAAATAAAATATTGTTGCATAAAATTTCTACTACAGGCCCAGAGCCACATATAAGTCGTGTGAATACGCGTATTAATCTACTGTCAGGCAAAATTTCGTACAGACCAATTGATGAGGTTATACTGTCAATAAAAGACGAAGCTGGCGCGAGGAGCCTAACTAGAGGTGATTTAATTTTTCCCATAAACGCCACTGGCGACAAAGCCACCATAAGAGTGACCTTTTTGTTATATTCTTCCCTCTCCGAAGCCATGACGAAAAAGGCAGTCGACCCTTGAGAGTGTCCTATGTATTTTAATGTACTAGAATTACTGACACCAAGTGCGTAGTCGATCATTGATGGAAGATCATAATATCCAATTTCGTGCCATGAAAAATTCCAAAATTTCGGCTTTGACGGATCTAATCTGATGTGATGGCGCGAATGTTTATTTCCGCGGGCATTCCCTATCCATATATCATATCCTTCCTTTGAGAGAAGGTAGGCAATTCCACTCTCCGATCCAGCTATGACAAAATCATCGGAACTTCCGAATAATCCATGCATTAGGAGGATTACAGGGCCATTGTTCGGTATCCTATGCATTGTAACCAGATATCCGTCTTCAGTCTCGACAGTGTGCGTTTCCATTGTATAACCATATTTAAACGCCAGTTGTACAATATTCAAAGTTGCGTCTTCATTATCCTGATGGGCCTTGAAGTCAGTTATAAATTTGTCGATCAAATCGTTGATATTCCGCTGATTGCCTAGAACAGGAAGGTTTATATACGCCAAGCCCGTGATGTTAGCAAACGCGGTGGGTAATTTTGTGATAGCATCTATTGTGTCGGCTAGTATTTCCCCTGCATTGTAAACTGACGATTGCACTATAGGATCCTGTATCCATGTTTTCGGGGATAAGCGTCCTCCGCATGTCAGACTTAAAAGTGCAAATATAAGAGCACGATCGAACATAATAATCACGATCACATGAACACGAACAACTAACGTATGGTTTAATAACAAACTGAGCTCTTCTCAGTAAGTTGTAACCTTGATGTACATACATACATTAAGTTTTATATAAGCCAGTGATTCTTAAAAACTATATGATGTAAGACATAACTCAAGTGAATTTAAAGCAGGTGGAAGTCCTGTGCTTCTTTATATGTATGTGTCGGCTTTGGGTATTGTTATCGAATACGTAACGTATTTATGTTTATTAAGAATTAGCGTTTTATCGCAGCTCCATTCGCGTCTTTTAATTTAATAGAATTACTCCGCCCTCGTAGGTCATAGTGTGATGTAAGAAAGTCTATACTTTCTTCAATAAATACGCTTCAATAAAAGCGAAAATAATTTCTCAAATCGAACTATCTAGAGATTAGCACGTTTAAACAAACATCTCTTTCGCTGGAATTGATTTTAACTAAATTTTGTGTAGTGATAATTTATTACTTGGGTCAAAATTTAGGATATATTTTACTACTACGGGAAAATCTCTCATTTTCATCGGGAAACATAAAACTTAGTTTATGCGTATGTCGCTTTTCTGTCTGTTTCCCCACTCGTGTAATCAGCCTTTTAACATTGAAAATGTTTTTTTTGTCGCTTCAGTATAGGCCAGATTTTCAGCGAAAGTGTGACATCGCCCTGGTGTCGTTTGTATGTCTGTTTGGGTGTGCGCGTTTCACGAAAAAAGTACTGAACCGATTTTAACTAAATTTAGTGTACTGATTACTCGGGTTAGGATATTTAAGATATCTTTTACTGCAGGAAAATAAAAGAAAGAGGAGAGGAGCGGAGATAACAAGAAGCGAGGAGAGATGGATTGAGATTTGGCCTGTCTTTTGCAGTTCTTTTTCTCTTTTCTCTTTAAAAAAAACAAACAAATATTTATATTATATATTTATATTTATTTATTTCATTGTGTAACTGTTTCTTTAACTGTTTGTTTAACTGTAAATTTGCTTAGATGTCAGTTTGATTAACAGCTAGTTAGTTTAACTGTCAGTTGATTTAACTGTCGGTTAGTTTAACCTCCAGTTAATTTAACTGTCAGTAAGTTCAACTGTCAGTTAGATTAAATTTCAGTTAGCTTAACTGTCAGTTAGATTAACTGTCTGTTCGTTTATCTGTCAGTCAATTTAACTGTCAGTGAGTTTAACTGTCAGTAAGTTTACTATCAGTTAGGTTTACTGTCAGATTGATTAATGGCTAGTAAGTTTAACTGTCAGTTAGTTTAACTGTCTGTTCGTTTAACTGTCAGTTATTTTATCTACCAGTAAGTTTAACTGTCAGTTAGATTAACTTTGAGTTTGATTAACGGCTAGTAAGATTAACTGTCAGTCAATTCAACTAAATTAACTGACAGTTAAACTTACTAGCCGTTAATAAAACTGAAAGTTAGTCTTACTGATAGTTATATTACTGACAGGTAAGCAAACTGACAGTTAAACTTACTGACAGTTAAATTAGTTTAACTGTTAGTTAGTATAACCTCCAGTTATTTTAACTGTCAGTTATGTTAACTGTCAGTAAGTTTAACTGCAAGTAAGTTTAACTGTCAGTTTGTTTACCTGTCAGTAATATAACTATCAATAAGACTAACTTTCAGTTTTATTAACGGCTAGTAAGTTTAACTGTCAGTTAGTTAAACTGTGAGTTAGCTTGACTTTCAGTTAGTTTAACTGTCAGTTTATTTAACTATCAGTAAGTTTAACTGTCAGTTTTATGAACGGCTATTAGTTTAACTGTCAGTAAATTAACTGTCGGTTAGTTTAACGTCCAGTTAGTTTAACTGTCAGTAAGTTCAACTGTCAGTTAGATTAACTTTCAGTTAGCTTAACTGTCAGTTAGATTAACAGTCTGTTCGTTTATCTGTCAGTCAATTTAACTGTCAGTGAGTTTAACTGCCAGTAAGTTTAACTGTCACTTTGATTTACTGTCAGTAACGTTAAATGTCAGTTGGATTAAATGTCAGTTAGTGTAACGGTTATTTTAACTGTCAGGTAATTTAACTGCCAGTTAGATAAACTGTCAGTTAGCTTGTCTTTCAGTTAGTTTAACTCTCAGTTCATTTAATTATCAGTAAGTTTAATTGTCAGTTTGATTTACTGTCAGTAACATTAAATGTTAGTTAGATTAACGGTTAGTTAGTTTAGCTGTCACTTAGTTTAACTGCCGGTTAGCTTAGCTGTCAGTTAGATGAACTCTTAGTTTGATTCTTCTTCGAATTTTTTCTTCTCCTGTCTTCTGTTTCTTTTAATGTCTCTTTTGTTTCATCCATCAATCTATATATATTAGTTACTATCGGCCCACCCTCGCTTCGCTCGGGTTTCTATACATACAAAAGAAATCTATCCCACTGGAACCGTACATTTTTCCAGGATAAAATGTAGCCTATTTGTTATTCTGATGTATGAACTAATACAGTTTCATTAAAATCCAATCAGTACTTTTTGTGTACTAAGCTGTGTAAGTTACTATAGATTTTTAACTATCCCACGGGAACACTTTAATTTTCCGAGATGAAAAGTCAAATTTTTCCAGAATTTTCCGAAGCATACTTCAAACTCTGCAACTATGGGCTTAAAGAAAATAGTCTTTAAAAAAAAAATAAACCTTTCAATTACATGAACGAACGCCACACCTATTTTTTTTTAATTCGACTACAGAGTTGTCTAGCGATTTACATGAGATACCTACCTTTTACCTTATTAACAGCTATACCTATAGCTCTAGTAGTCTTGAGTAAAATGACCTACTGAGAGACGGACAAACGGACATAGCGAAATTATAACGGTTTCCGTATAGGTATTTGGCTACGTAATCCTAAAAATATTCGCGTTGAGCATAGTACCTTCTTCTTTTGTGAATCCCGTTAAATGAAAAAAAAAACAATGTTTTCAGCAATATAATTTTATAGTAAACATAAAAAATAAATAGGTACAAAAATGTAAATGATAAGTTAATGTTAGTGGATAGGTTAAGAATAAGCTTCCTCATTTTTTTATGTGTTTTCGTATTTTGAACGTGATATGTTACTAATGATATCATTATAGTAAGATTTTTTTATTAGTTTATAATTTAAATATTATGTAAACAGCGGATATAAAAAAACGTATATTTTAAAAATGTACATTTTAAGTAATAACATATGTATTATGTTATTTAAATATGTTGGGACATTAGCACACAGCACCATCTAGTTTCATGGTAAACTACGAGGCTTGTGTTATTGATACCAGATAGTTGATACACTACATATATACATATAACTTTAAATACATACATACATATTATAAATATAAGCACCCATGACTGGAGTACAAACATTCGTACTCATCACACTATGAATGCCCCCAGTGGGACTCGAACCCGCGACCGCTGGCACAGCAAGTAGTATCACTACACACTGAGCCAAACGTGTCGTCAAGTCAATATTTACTTTTAAAAATGTCTGATCAGTGAATTGACCTATCAGAACGGAACGAGGCTTCCTACCACATCATAGTACCTATAGCTACTTTTGACAATTTAACAAGGGTAATTACATTATCAGTGAATGTGCTTACTGAAATTATAATATACCTAACATTGTCCCGTAATATTGTAAGAAAAGGAGATGATTGACAAAACTCCCGACAATTATAATTTCACTAGTGAAATTATAATTTAACGGTTATTACAGTTTTCCTGCGACATATGATATATATATATATATATATATATATATATATATATATATATATATATATATATATATATATATATATATATATATATATATATATATATATAAACATGAATGTCCTAAACCGTTGATCCGATTGTGATGAGATTCTGGTAGGTTCTGTATACACTTGCGAAGGTTCCTAGCGTAAAAAAAGTTTTTTTTTGGGATGTTTGTCTTTTATGCGTTCCTAAGCCTTTCAAGCTTAGGAAAGCACCCGAGTGAATCGAGGGTAAGTCGATAGTGTAGTATAATATCCAAATATACACTGAGCTCGTTGCTATAGAAATCGACCATTAAGTCGATTTAAGTATCTGGAAAAATAATTATAAGAAGACAAGTAGGTACGTGACTCAGCATTTAGATTTTCCATTATAGTAAAAGTAACGGATATCCATGTGACGCATGTTTGTATTGTTTGTTTTATAATCAGCATTATAGCATTTTGTTTATTGAAATGTCGACTTACAAATATTTTATATTAACTTGTTCCCCGACCAGGCTTCGCTTTAGTTGTAAGTGCGTCTTGTAAGTTGTCTTTTAAGTAAATAAAAACATTTAGATTTTTTAGATTAATTTAAAACTATGCCATAGTCAGAGTCACACATTGACAACGGCCTACTTTTTTACTTTCTTACTAATTACTCGATTGCGGCGAAACCCCAAGGTGGATTATATGTATTGTGTATGTTACATGTATGTACATATATGTCCGATTTCATGTTCCCTCAGATTTACTAAACGGCTTACTTGATTTTAATGATTCATACGTCGTTAAATTCGTCTTGATAACGCGAGTGTTAAAATATTAATAAAAGTCCAAAATGGAGGATTTCAGGCGCTAAATTGTGTGATTTGAAAAATGATTTTTTTTCCAAATCTATCGAGAGGTTATTAAACTGAAGGTGTTAAAGAGGCGAAAAATATATGCAACCTGTTTGTTTAATAATAATTTAAGATCACACACTGTTAAATAAAATTCCAAATGTAAAACTGGCCAAAACTAAAAAGGTGTACATAAAAAAAATATCAAAATTTAGAAACCCGACCGCGTAAAAACCGAGCTATAGAAGGGAAAGGGTAAGTAGGGTCACTACAAAGTACAAACTGAGCCAAACGTGTCGTCATCAATTTGTCTATGAATATTTAATTGCTTGATTTTTGTATGATAATGTAAGTGAAAATTTTCTAAATGAATTTGTACGAGCGGAGAAAAATATGTTAATGATTAATATGACATTTAGTTCTGTTATTATATAGTTTTTTAATTTAGTTTGTTTTTCTTTTTTTATAAGGTACTAGAGGCGTACCTACAATGCACCTACAACATAAAGGACGTCTTATTAGATAGACTATTTGACTTTGCGCAAAATTTTATGTTACTAACTAGGGACAAACCCGAGTGGAGCGAGGTGTACGTTTTAACGTTTAGTAGATTTCTCAGAGATGACATGTTTTCCCGCACTAAAGAGCCCTATCCTATACGTTGCCTATATGTTTATAACCAGCTATTATAAAACCATATTTCATCAAAATCTGTCCAGTGGTTTTCGCGTAATGCGTTCCCACATAGACAGACAGACAAAAATTCTACAAATTACAGATTCGGCCTCTGTATCGATAATAATGACTATTTCAATAAGATTTTCCAGTAAAATATTGAATGTCCACATTCGACTGAGAATTTTATTATATGTATAGATGAAATATACCATGTTACTGACCATAATAAAATTATAACGAATTTTTTTACGAGCACCAGATCTTGGCTCAATATAAGTTAGTTAGTCTTGGGTAAATATAAATTCATTAGTGAAATTGTAATTTCACGGTTTTCACAATTTCCTTGCGACATAATAATATAAACTTTAACCTCATTGGACCGGCCTACCGATACCTCTTTTGGCACCATTATAGTGCCATGAGCCAAGTGCGTTCCTACAGTTATGTTTAACTTCAAAAAAAAGTTAAAATGTGACTCAAAACCGTTTTTCTCGCTATTCTTTCTTATTTCTTACCGGTTTTTAACTTGCCTAATACGCACTGTCGTTCATTTAGACAAAAGTATTTTTTTATTTTGAAATTTAAACCTTACTATCTATTATTAACTTACAACATTTCAATAATTTGTCCTCAAGTTTCAATAATATTATACAATTTTCTTTTACATCATGATTTAAAGTTATAAATACACAATCTCTTGTCATAAACGATTTTAAAATTTGTTATCACTTAACATTGTTGCTATCCCCTCTACAGTAGGCGGTCGCGGTGGGTACAAGTTCATATAATCAAACATGTCAAACTTCAAACTTGTTAAATTGATAAGGCAGAAGGCTTATCTCTTGATATTTAATTAAAAAAAATCGTTCATTTTCATCGTTATAGTTTTTCTTCGTATCCTTTGAGATATATATTTATAAGTTATTGTGTTTCATGTTTAAATTCATAAAAATCTTTATGGTGTTTTAGTTATTAAAATAAAAATCGCTAAAGAACAATTATTATTATTAATGTAAGCACACTGTAAATATACAATATTAAACCTTAACAATACAACTCAATAGTTAAACTTAATGGAGTATTATGTTGACAAATTTACTAATAAAAGAGCTTATTAACTCATAAATAACCTAATTTCATTTACAGATATGTGTTTTGTTCTAAGAGAAATTTCAACAGTATGACATTTTTTGAAGCAAAATTTGATAATACAATGGACACTAAATTGGCAGAGGTAAGTAAACAACTATGCTACAAACAATTACTTATAATTAGTATTATAATAATTATAATCACAAAATATGTTTATATTTTGTTTCATTCATATAACATATAGGTGCATTTTAAATATTACTATACTAATGGTTGAATAAGTTTACAAACAAACTACCAATGTATTTACATAATTTTTTTTTAATAGTGCTATATAATAAGTATGGACTATGGCCTGATCGCCTCTCGCATTGAAAGGAGGCCTATGCCGAGTATTGGGATGTTAAAAAAACAAATGAGCTGAATACAATTAGTTTAATAAGTTTTTAATATTCTTACATTCTATTTCAATAACATAAAAAGTACTTTTAAACTATAAATGAATAAGTTCTCTTTGTAAAATAATATTTTTACATCATTTCAGAATTATTTGCAACAAAAGAAAGAAATCCACTCTATAGGGTATGAAGATAATGGGCAGTTTGAATCAAATACTTTTAATAATAAAATATTTTTTTCCGAATACAATGAGAATTTGGTAACTAAATGTGACACTGAAGATTTTCAAGATTTTTTAAGTTTGGCAGAGGAAATAGTCAATAAAAAGGACTTATTTTGTCAATTAGAATATTTAATAAGGGATATTCCAATGGAATATGTTAAACATTTTGACATCGAATTAATTAAGCAGAATCTTATCTATCATGGAATGTATGGAAAAGGGGACAAAGTTTATGGTAATTATTCATTTCTTATTTATAACTTTTTTTATAAAAATTTTGCTCAAGTGTGTATTTTCGAAATTTCTAAGCTGTGTCTTTTGATTAACCAAGTTTATTGATTAATCTATAGTAATATTGTAAAGAGGTAAAGTTTGTGAGATTATGAGTTTGTGACGTTGTAGGGGGTAATCTCTGGATCTACTGAACTGATTTAGATGAAATTCCGTAAGAAGATAGTTTGAGATCGTGGGAAGGACATAGGATCACCTTCTCCCGGAAATCATCCCTTAATGGTTGAAAATGGGGATAAAAGTTTGAATGGGGAATCAAGCTACGGACAAACCCGAGCGAAGCGAGGGTGAGTCTCTAGTCTGTAATATACTAGCTAATGAAGAACAAAAACAAATATATCCCATGGGTATATGTGATATTCCAGACTTTAATCTACTTCTGTGCCATTTCCATTCAGCCGTTCCGGTGTGATTAAGTAACAAACATCCATCTAAACTTTTGCATTTATAATATGGGAATAATGGGGATATCTATTAATTTTTCTATTTCATATCACCACTACAGTTACTTTATTTAACTTGAAACATTTTTTTTAATTAAAAACAAATGATTTTCAGATTCAGTAATACTGATGACAGATGACAGTCACCTTGCAGATCTCGGCTGCATTGTGTCCTGTGAATATCCCGTGACAATAATATCTGGGGTGAAGACGGCAATTATTTGTTCTCTTTTTGTAGATATTTGTATCAGCGTTGGGTAAGAATAATTATTACTACTCAAGAATATATACTAGTTTTTGTCCCTGGCTCTTTTTATTTGGTACATTAATAAACAGTACTTAAACGGCAGTGGTACCCATTGGTAACTCTCTCTTGGGAAACCGAGGGAAGTGGGTTCAAACCTGGGGTCTTACACCTCTGATATTTCCATGTGTGAATCATTTCCAACATGATTACCACGATTTCACCAACAACCCATAAGCTACCACCTACGTATGGGATTCCTAGCTTAAAAGTCCCCTAAACTAGCCCCTAAATTAAATTTTGTTTTACGATCGTCTTTAAGCCCATATTTCGAGCACCTAAATTTAGGGGGCCTTTTAATATTTCGGTGACCCCTAACTGTCGATGAAACAGAAACTGTCCCCTAACAGCCCCCTAACCATGCTTAGGGGATCCCTTAAACTTAGGTGAGGTTGGTTAAATCGGGCATAAGTGTTTTTTTGTCAGCCGTTAGCTTGAAATGGCGGAAAGGTGCGGCAGAGACAAAAAGAATGTGCGGCCAGTATTAATTGAAATTTACAATTTCGTTATACAATTTCATTATAATACCTATTATAATTTTCAATAATATTGTAATATTTTTACATTCTATTTGTAAATTCAAATTGGAATAAAATACAGGAATTGGTCGCATGTTCGCTTTCTCTCTTTCTAGAGAGTAGTCAATTTCATGAGGGTATTGCTTAGTCCATACTCTAGTCTATGATTATTCCTAAGTCCGAGTGTGCTTGTTTAAATTTCTTTTTTAATTTACAGATTAACAAAAGTGAAGTTATGTATTGTTTCCAACATTTATAAGATATTTAAGGGGCCAGTGCCTAATAGATTTGTGGGTCGAAGTAATATTACAGGTACTTATGTATTTTCTATATTGATTATAATTAATATGTAGGCTATTGAGTTTTTTTTATAAAATCTTGCTTTATATAAAACTAGTGTCTCACCGTCGCTTTGTTCTGGCGCATCCCTAGGTATGTGCGTGTTATGAACAATTAACTTAGGTTAAAAAATGTAAACTCAGGTTTTAAAATTCGATAAAAAATATAAATAATTTTAAATTAAACTATCTATTCGGATTTTGTCGCGGATTTATTTTATATAGATATTACTCTAGATAGACATGTAACACCTCAGTCTCTCCCGTGACCATGAATGCTGTAAAGCATTCGAAACGTCGGGAAACAAAAATGCAAATAAATCCGCGACAAAATCCGAAAAGATAGTTTTATTTAAAATGTCAAATATTCGCGTAAATCTAAGAAAGTATTAAATATAAATAAATTATTTTTCTCAAAAAATAACACATGATTGTTTTTGTTTCATTATGTAGAAAAAGAAAAAAAAATATAGAAATAATTTAATTGTTTATAGCAAAGTGAAAAATACATTTTTTAATTTTGCCAACGGGAATCTTTTCTGAAGCCTTTGAAAAATAGCTCCAAGAAAGGAAAAATATCTCAAATTTATAGTTTAACAATTATCACACTTGCAATGTTCACGCAGAGAAATATTATTAATTATTATTACTATTGCATAAGTAATTGAAAAATTGTGATAAAAGTTTTCAGCGGATTATTGTTCATTTATCTATCCAGTAAGCCTGAATTTTTTCATTTCTTAAATTTTATATTTAATTTTTATTCATAAATTGTCCGAAGTAGGCGTGGATTGCGCAAGCCAGAGCATGCTTTTTAGGCCGTATTTTCATCCCTCTGGAAAATTATCAATATTGGTCCTACAGTTCCAGGAGTCGAGACATTTTTTTAGCATATTTCTTACTCTTTTTAAATCCTTTTTTAGATTTGAAAAACCTCAATTAGTTTTTGAGATATTTGCAAAAAACTAAAACCTTTTTTTTTATTTTTAGTTAATTGTTTATAAGTTTTGCAATTTTTGCAAGCGGAACTAGATTTTTTTCAAAACTCATCTATAAGCCATTCCGAATCGAATGACACCTCGATCATATTTTTCCAAGACTGCTGACTTTTGAAGTTTATTTTTGGTTCTTGACGTTTCGAATGCTTTAGAATACTTATATATATGCTTTATTTTAGAAGTTTACAGCAATTACAGACTTTCCAAAAAAATCCGAAATGATAGTTTTTTTAAAATGTCAATTGTCGCGTAAATCTAAGAAAGTAGAAAGTCTCATTCTGCCGCAATGAGATTTTTATTTTTATATTATTTTCAGGAGAAACATTTGCTGTTTATAACGAGGGTTGCACCGGCGTGGTGACTGAGAATGCTGACATGGACTCTGCGGTAGATGCTTTCTTATTTGCTCCCATTCAGGTAAATTTTTACTTTTTATTTATTTAATATTTTATTTAAAACACTAGCCTTTCTAGTTTCTGACTACAGGCCTAGTCCTATTCGCACTTGACCATTTGCTTGTTGTATGTTTTGTCGAAGTAATATTATGTTAAAATTATTCGGAGGGTTTCGAATGGTAAAGAGATAGATTTTTTGTGTCAAATTGAATTTTTGTATGTAAATGTAGATAAACTTAAGCAAAAACTTATCTAAACACAAAATTTTATCCAAATCGTTACAGCTGTTTCCGAGATAAACGAAATAATTTTATATACATATATACAAGAATTTCTCATTTAATATTATAAGATAAGATAAACGGTGCAATAATTTTTATTACTTTCTATAAAACTATTTTTTTTTCAGCGCCCGTGGCGTGTTAGAAGAATTTTTGTACAAGAAAACGTTATAAAGCGCTTCGAAAACGCCCTCGCGTGGAAAAGCGACAAAGTGGACTCTACAGAAAACTCCAATTATCAGAAATCTTCATCTGTCTACAGTTATGAAAATAAGACATTTCTATTCGAATTTGTAGGTTCTATTGATATTGGTAACGCAACTATAATAGAAGCGTATAGAACGGTTAAAGAACTTTTTTCTTTGTTAAATAAAATTAATCCATTTTGTGTGTCGATTTGGTCGAACAATGTTGCTGAATCTAACGAAATAGCACATGAATCTAAAGCAACAATAATTTGGATTAACGGTTTTGGTCATGTAGATAGCCCACATTTAGCGAACGCTTACTATTCGTTCTTACACCAAAATATAGATCAAAGTATCACTAATTCTATACACAATTCTGACAATACTAAACAAGTTTTAAATTTAAAACGCGAATGGCTCAAATTAGACAAAGATGTCCGGTTCAAAATTATTCACAAGTTATTCAGAAGTGGGATAGATAGACTAATACTGGATTCAAACGATTCTTTTAATGTAGGGAAAAATATTTGCATAGCAATACGTAAACCTGTTGATTTTATTTACTTAAAACTAAAAAGTGACTTTCCATTAAGCGAAGAGCATTTACGTTATGTTATGGATGGCGGCGTTATTATATTCTTGCACACTCCTTCAGAGGGAAATGTAAATGATTATATTTTAAAAAAAATCACACAGTTTGAAACTATGAAATTACCGATTTTGTTAAAAGACATGAATGTTGATGTCGGTCGTATTTGTGACAGTCGTCAACTTATGTATAAGAGTAAAATAATTTGGAGCAGTATTGGAACGGTTTTTGCGAATTGAGAGCTAAGAATTCCAATAATAACATTAATGCCCGATTTCACCAACGTCCCTAAGTTTAAGGGATCCCCTAGGCATGGTTAGGGGGCTGTTAGGGGACAGTTTCTGTTTCACCGACAGTTTGGGGTCACCTACATATTAAAAGGCCCCCTAAATTTCGTGGGATCCCATACGTAGGTGATAGCTTATGGGTTGTTGGTGAAATCGGGCATAAGAGGCCTATCACAAAATGTACTGCGTTCTATGGCATTGAGTTCGAGCGGCCGACACAACGCTGTTTCTAGCATTTTCTGCAGTTGTTATTACTTCCATGTAAAGTTTTTATGATAAATTATTAAAAAAATATTTAATTACATTTCTTTTGAACTTACGTATATTCTGGTATAAATTTTATTTAATAATATTAATGTTGTAAGGATATATTTACAGCTAATTCTGAACGTTTTTAGTAGTTTTTAAGATTTTGAAAACGATTTTTTTTGTAGAAACCCAATACATATTTTCAAATTCCGAGGCCACTATACACTCAACCACTATATACGAGATATTATTATATATTTTTCATTTCGTTTTGCTTAGTTTAGTATTTCAATCCATGAGCTTGAAAAAGCGCCGTCGCGCATTTTAATATAAACTTGCTTCTGAATTTTGCCTATATTTCAATTAACAATGAAAATTTGCAAAAAGTGAGGCCGCTATGTATTATATGTTAAGAACAATTCTCCACCATACAATAAGTCAAAATTTCTCTCAATAAGAACGTCAAAGATGGGCATTAAATTGAAAAATCAGGGTCATAATGTAATATAATAATAGGCTTCTTAATAATATTTTAAATAAAACTACCTTTTCGGGTTGTTTCGCGGATTAATTTTGGATTTTTGGTTCCCCAAATTTTGGTTTTTTGGAAAACAAATATAAAAAAAGTCTGCGAAGTAATCCGAAAAAAAAGTTTATTAATGTTTATTTCAATAAGACTTTCCAAAAAAATATTAAATGTACAGATTCGTCTTAGTTACAAATTTGTTTTAAGTATAGATTAATAATGTTATATACATATGTTATATAGTTATCAATTAGTTTTATATATTTTTAAGAAGTTATACGTAAATAATTATTACAAAATTTATATTGCCATATTTTGTTATACAATTAAAATTAAATGTCTATTTTATACTTAAATACTTTTTATTTCTCTCATTTCCTTACCTCCATCTTATCATTGATAACATATACATAAATACTCTATACTCAGAATAAGGAATAATACAAACAATATACAAAATAATGTCTTCAAATAATATATTATTATATTTTAAAACAGTGGGTATACAAATATTAATAGAATATTCATGTCTGTGATAAATAAATAAAAGTTAATAAATAAAAATACCTGATGGATTTTGTTATAAAATATATTAAAAGACTAGCGAGTCGCCCTCGCTTCGCTCGGGTTCGTCCCTGCTTACGTTTTAACATATTGTATAGATTTCTCACTGATGAGATATTTTCATGTAGTAAAAAGTTGACCCAGATAACCAGCTACCATCATACCAAATTTCATCAAAAGTCCTCGAGTTTGTTATTCCGTGATGCGGTCACAGAAAAACAGACAAAAATTCTAAAAACTATAGATTCGGCCTCTGTAACGATAATAATGACTATTTCAATAAGATTTTCCAATAAATATACGTACATTTGCAATTGTAAACGGTTAAACGGCTGGACGGATTTCGATGAAATTTTATACACGGATAGCCTATAATCTGGAACAAGCTACCTTGTAAGATAGCTAGAGGCGCGCTAGACTGCACCTGAGAAACGAGAGTAAATATAACAATAATAATATTTTAAATTAAAATTAAAGGCTGTATCCCGTTACACCTTTTTCTCTTTTAATTTGCAAAAGCAGAAATGTGAAGAAACACCACATAAATACAACATAGTGCCTTTATAATACAATCAGTGGCGCCAAAAAGTTAACCGTCGGTTAATTGTTTAACGATAAAAATAGTTTCAGTCAAATGTCGCATCCCGCATTCCAAACAACCGTTCCAATTTTGAAGAGCAAACAAACGATAGTTTTGGCAGTTGACGTTTGTGATGTCTTTTATATAGTGAGTGAGTTAGATCTTGAGTGAAAAATGCTTTAAATTAGGTGTTATAATGTCGAGTGTTACTCGTAAGAACCAAGTGTACAGCGTTGGGAATTATCTGATGACTGGCAAAGTGTTGGGGAAAGGTCATTTTGCGAGAGTGGAGGAAGCGACTCACAGAGTTATAGGCAAAAAGGTCCAGAAAGTCTTGAGTGTTTTTATTACTTTTGTCTATTGTTTCATCTTATATGTTATGTATATTGGCTGGTTATGTTCTTATATATATCAGAAACAGCTATTGTTTATGTCGCGATATATCTTGTATGTTAATGAAATCAAACATTTGATTTAGAAAGGGCAGTTGCTTAAAGAATAAGATAGGTACTTGAATTGTATGTATTTATACTAATTATATATTTTTTTATGTATGTATGTTTGAACGGATTTAACTAAAAATCTATCCAACAGATTTCAATGAAACTTTTTTTAAATATCCCTCACGATTCCAGAAATGCTATAGGCAATGTTATATTTGAATTTTTAAATAAAATTTGGAAGTGGGAGCAGTATAGCTGTCTGTAATGCTGCCGTGTGGGCAAACAAGTGCGAACGGGCGTTATTTTACATTATTTTTAACTAACCGTAGCTGTATAGTACATAATAATGTCTACATTGATGTGTGTGTGTGTGCCCATTGAACTCCAAAACGGCTGGAGCGATTTTGAGGCAATCTTCAGATTAGACCATTGGGTGATCCTGTTAAGTTTGGTTACTACCAAACTTCACAGGATCAGCTTCAGCCTATTTCCAACTTCCGATTACTATCGGAAGTTGAAAATAGGCTGAAGCTGCGGGTACTGGTAGTCATAATATAACAAGATACAGAATGAACTGTTATAAAATTACCATTTCTAAAAGTAGGGTAATTTTGCAACTTCAATAATTATCAAATATATTCAAGAAATTCTAGTTAAATGAAGCATTTTTGTTTATTTACCCAATAATATTTTAGGTGGCAATAAAAATTATAGACCTTACATGTATCAAAGAAGAGTACGCCCGTCGCAATCTGCACAGAGAGCCGCGTGTTATGTCCAAACTGCGACATCCTTGTATCGCTGCCATATATGAAACTATGATGGTTTGTGTAATGCTGTACTGTATATTATAATAGAACTAACGACTTACCCACGCTTCGCTCAGGTCCGTCCCTAGGTACGTTTTAAATAGATATATGTAGTTATTACGAGTGTACCTTAGGAGAAAGACTTATGCTATTGCAGAATTTTCTGCATTTTTAAGACCTACAATTTTCTAGAACATTGTTACATATAGGTATAGTATATAATACATTGTATACTTATATCTTTATTAATTATAGTATATGGGTTATGTACTTTGGTTTGGTAAAGTTTCATCTAAATCCATTCAGTAGTTTTTGCGTAAAATAGTAACAAACATCCATACATCCTCATAAACTTTCGCGTTTATAATATTAGTAGGATTCAAATAGAGTTTACACGCATTTTTGAATCGTCAATTTAACATTTTAATATTTAATGTTAATATGAAAGTTTGTGGGGAATTTTGGTAGAGGCTTAAATTTATATTACAGCACGGACCTCGACTGTACATTGTGATGGAGGCAGCCGGTGGCGGTAACCTCTGCTCGCACGTGCTGGCGGCGCGCTCGCGGGGACTCCCCGAGGCGCAGGCGCGCGCTCTCGCCGCGCAGCTAGTGTCTGCTGTTAGACATATGCACGCACGCGGTGTTGTTCATCGGTAATATAGTTTAGTAGATCTCTTTCATTACCCGACTGTGGAAAACCCAAAGGAGGGTTATATGTTTGACCTGTATGTATGTATATATGTATGTGTGTGTTTGATCCTGTTTCCTCATCATTATTAAACGGCTTAAGCGATTCTTGATTAGATCTTGGTAACGCTAGTTTCATAAGGTATATTAATAATACAAATAACGTTAAAATGTAGGATTTTAGGCGCCAATTTAGGCACCTTGAAAGATTTTTTTTATTCTATCGACTGCGGTATCAATATACAGGTTTTAGAGGTGAACTTATGTTTAAAAATTTATTCTCTAGCTGCCAAAACTAACAATTCATCAAAAAAAATATGCTACATATTTTTGTTAGTTTTAATTTTTTTTAATTTTTTAACCTATTAATAGCTTCAGAATCCAGAATTCAGAAGTTTTACTATGGTCTATAATGACAAAGTTAGATTCTTTCCACCGAAAAAAAAGCGTTTTTAAACCTAAGAATTATATTGAAGCAATATATTAAAGATGCTGAATCTTTTATCTGTTTAACCTTTTTTGTCATTAACTAAAATGGACATTTTTATTTGCAGCGATCTGAAGATGGAAAACATCATGCTGGATAGCACAAAGCAGTGTATCAAGATTGTAGGTAATATTATTTGTAAAGGAAAAAAACGCGAAATACAACTTTTTTGTTTTGTTTTTATTTGTCTGTCTTTAAATATGTTTTGATAAGTTTGGTTTATTTTACGTTAATTTCTACTTCCCTCGTGTATGTTGTATTTGTAGAACGATTTTCATCCTTAAGTTTTTTGTGAGCACCAAAATATAGGGCTCTATTATTTATATACCAAAATATAGGGCGCTATAGTTTAAGAGTCGTGTCTTCCGGTCTTATGTTGCAGATGTCTATGAACGACGATGGCCACTTATCAGGTGGATTGTTCGCTCGTTTATTCATTTTTACCCGACTGCGGTGAAGAAGTTTGATTAATTGATTTAATTTAACTGATAACAAAGTGATTAACTGATTTTAATACAGTCGTTAGATAATGCGAGTCGCTTGGATAACGCGAGTGTGATATATAGGTTTTATGGATATTATTAAAAACCACAAAAGCGCTTTTGCGTCAGCAAGGAAATTCTTTCTTCCAAACCTATCTATCGAGTGGGGTATCAAAATCGCAGTCACCAACTAAAGTTTTACAAAAATTATAGAATGTATTCGTCTTTAAACGTTTCTTAGGGTTCTGTACCTCAAAAGGTAAAAAAGGAACCCATATAAGTTCACTCTGTTGTCCGTCTGTCTGTTCGTGTGCCACCACCGATTTTGTCATGAATGGGTGGACCTAGCAAGTTGAAATTTATATTAGATACTTAGGTATATAGTCCCCATGAGATTTATCAAAATCAAGGTCCTGAGTCAACACGATAAAAAGATATGGGCAAATTTAGATTTTCGCGAAAACTTGTAAGTACCAAAATTTTAATTTTCTAATTTTTTTATTTTTCGGAATATTCCCTTTAATTGTGCTGCAAGACCTTGCTTTTAACTAAAATTGACAATTCTATGTCAACCGGAAGTACCCTATAGGTTTTGGGTCGAAAACCTATATGGTAGTTCCCGTTGACCTAGAATCACGAAATTTGTCAAATAGAAAGGTCTTACAGCACAAATAAAGGAAAAATTCCAAAAAAAAAAATGAATATTAAAGTTAAACAGATTTCCTGTACGGAACCCTCGATGGGCGAGTCCGATTCGCACTTGTATGGAATTTTTGTAATATTCGGCCAGATTTCGGTCTATCTAACGTGTGGAGCGCGGGCGGGGCGCTGCGCACGCCGTGCGGCTCGCTGGAGTACGCGGCGCCGGAGCTGTTTGTGGACGGGCGGCGCTACGGGCCAGAAGTCGATCTGTGGAGCATGTATGATATATGTATTTTTTTACAAGCTTTTATTTAACTTGCAATGTTTGTTTGTTTGGATCAAATCGTGTAACTGAATTTTGGAGCAGTTTTCCTCAACCGATTGTAAAATGTATACACGGTTAGGTTGGAAGACAATGCATGGTTAGCTAATTGACGTCATTCTAAATCCAATATGGCGGACTATCGGATGTTTTTTTATGCATCCACGATATGGATATCAAAATTCAAATGAAAGGGTGTGTACTAGAATATGAATACAATAAAAATTGAAAATAATTTAATTAAATTAATTAATTAAAAATATTTTTGAAAACGAATTTCTAAAATGAATGTGAAGTTTTTATGTGTGTGTTCTATGAGATATAGATATAATTTTTATTTTAGGACACAGATAGACTATTATAACCTGGAGTAAGACAGCTTATTGCTACTATTCATACTAAAATTAAAAAAATATATATGCTAAGTATATATAAAATCTTCTTCTCGTGAATATATAGTGTACAGAATTATTTAATATTAAAAATGATTTAAAACAATAGAAGTTTTTAAATTTTACTGTATTTGTTGTGTTTGCGATATCTTGTGAAATCTTAACTTTAAAACATGAGGCGATTTTTTTACTTGTATAATAATCTATGTATTAATTATACCAAATCTCCTTTGAACAGAGGGGTGATAGTCTATGGGATGGTGACGGGAGCTCTGCCATTCGCAGGGGGTTCGAGGGGTGGGGAGAGTACGGGGGGCACGGGGTGTCCCGGGGGCACAGAGGGTGCGGGGGGTGGCGGGGGGAACGAGGGGTCGGCGCAGTTGCGGGCGGCCATCTCTCGCGGTTTCACGAGGAAGCAACACGCCGCTCTCGTATGTGTGTCTGCGGGTGAGATATGTATAAAAAATATGTAGATATTTGAATACTATGACGTTATTGTTGTGAATATGAGGGTTTATATGTGTGTGCGTTTGTAACTCGTTTATGGTGAAACGGATTTGGATGAAATTTATTACAGATAGATTATGACTTGGAGTAACACATAGGCTACTGTTAGTAATAAAATTTGCCAAAAAGTGGCGTTTTTTATGTGTATATTATAAAAGGTGGCGTTATTTATGTAAATATTAAAGACATCGAGAGGCTCATCCGAACAGAGCGGAGGTTTGTATGTTCCGTGAAAATAGCTTGACCGATTTTGGTTAAACTTTGCATAAAATCTGCACAAAGCTAGTAGCTTTAGTAGATTTCATACTCTGATTTACGGCATATTTTAATTTTAATGGATTGAATAGGTGCATTTGTAAAAAGTCTTAATAGTAGATGCGAAAGAACGACGAGAAACAGAAAAGTTGTAAGTACAATGTACAATACCATTTTTGTGAGAATAAATCGACTTACTAAACTTTATTTTATTGTTGTAACGTATTGTCTTATCAAGCGTGATAATGAAATAAAAATTAATGTATTTATAAAAAAATTGGAATATATTTTTGAAATGGCAACCTTAAACTATACTCACACACAGAGACACATATTTTCGTCTTAAATGAAGTCTTTCACCATTTAAGTAAAAACGAAATAATTATTTTCATTTGTTGTTTTATTTTTTTATATTATTATCTTATTCACTAAAACAATACAAAAATAAACATAACTTAAATGTACACTTGATGTTAGCTATTTTGTGTCGGTTAAAGAAAAAAAAAAGAAAAAACCTTTATAATTTATGTATACAAATAACTAAGCCAAGTCTCGTTTCAAAGAAAAGTATTTTTTTACATAATTGTACTTAAAAATGTAGTGAAGTATGAAAACTCTGAAACTAATTAAAGTATTTAAAAAAAATACAATTTTAGATGTAAGGGAAATTATTATTTGAGTTTGTAATTGTTTTTATCACTTTTCTATTGAACGAATAAACATTACGATACATAGTTTGGTTTTTAAATATTTTAATTTGAAAATTATAACAACGGCTAAGCAAAAAGATAATTATTTATTTTACAGATACAAAAAAAGCGCCAAAATTATTTATTATTGTTCAGTGTTGCCACATTACAATGCATAGATAATAATAATGGATCTTAGCTTAACATCAATAGTTTATACAATAATAGCTAAAATACACAATAAACCTAATAGTCCAGTTTAGACATGGATTAAACAAGTGCTAGGATACACAATCAGCGACAAAAAATGTCCTCACCGAATGAGCGCGCTTTTAACTATTTTTTGTGAAAACAACTTCAAGCATTGTATTTAAGGTTCAATTTACATTGTTGTATATATATTTCAACTAGGATAATTACCTAAACACAATTGGTGACAGTTTTAAGAGAACTTTTGCATGAGATTGTGTATCCAGTACTTTTCTTGATGGATGACTTTAGTCTATGCTTATGAACATTCTCACGTTCTCCTTACGTGACGACGGTTCTTCACCGCCGTACCTGGAAAAAAAATATAAAAGATAATAAAAAGAAATATATTTTGTTTATTAACTTTTTTTTGTTGAATAATAATAAATGCTTTTTGAATTTCGAGTTTGTAAATGCAAATGTAAAAAAAAGAATCATTTCGAACTCAGGACCTTCGTACCTATGGCCGTACATGCTAGCCACTAGGCCACTAGCCTGTAATTTTTGGGAATGTGTGCTACATTAAACACCTTGTATTTCAGGTATAAATAATTATAATTGAGATATAACTTTTGCTTTACACAAAATGTAAACTGTAACATATTTTATATACAGTATTTTATCTATATTTTTTATTAAATTGGTCATTTTAGCGTGCAAAACTTTCATTCAACACCTGTTAGAGCCTAAAGTGGAGTTTAGAATGAAAATAGAGGAAGCAGCGAGACATCGCTGGATCAAGAAACCTGGAATGAGGATGAAAACACACCCTCTAGCCGCCGTCGATTCTAAAACGAACAGGGAGGTAAAGACAAACGATTTATATAGGTATTTTCGGTAGAATTATATTTGTATTGCAGATAAATAACCATGGAGTTCTGCATTCGAGTCCCGAGTCGGATCAAAAGCGATTGACAATAAATTCTTAGTAATGACAGATGGTGTTGTAACATCCTTATACACTATGTCTTGGTTACTTGTGACTAAAAAGCCGACATGGACGTTGGTCACAATACCAATTTTGGGCTCTTTATCCCAGACCAGATGGTTGTGAGTGGGTGAAGCTCTCTAGTGCTTGATCTCTCCCCGTGCGTATCAGAACCTTTTTGCCACACTTCGACATTTAGAAAATACTAGCGACTCACCCTCGCTTCGCTTCGGGTTCGTCCCTAGACGAAAACAAATCTATCCCACGGGACATTTTTCCGGGATGATATATATATATATATTGATTAAGGTATACCTTAATCAATAAACGGGCTATCTAATGTAAAAAGAATTTTTCAAATCGGATTAGTAGTTCTTGAGATTAGCGCGTTCAAACAAACTCTGCCTTTTTATAATATTAGTATAAATAAATAAATAAATAATAAATTCTTTATTGACATAATTTTTTTACATACACAGGTGATAAAGAATTCCCTAGCCCCTGCGCTTGTTAAAAACTGTATAGATTAAGGGTGGCTTGTATTTACACACACTGTTGCACTAACACCTTCCGCGCTGTTTTAGTGAGATTAGGCACTTTGTTGAAAAAAATTCAGGAGACCATTATGTTAGTTTAGGTCTGAATAAGCTGTCTCTTAGCACCAATTTGTTGAATAAAATCAGTCAAACAACATACAAACCTTTCGATTTACAACAATATATAAAAATTTGATAGTATCTTCTCTATTACAGATTCACAGGCAAATCTCAGAGCTGTGCAGTAAACCTTTAATAGATGTGATGGCAGGCATCAAGGCAGACCCATTCGGACCCCTTGCAGGAATGTACAATATAAAGACTCATTTACACCAGCTGCAAGTGAACTCTGGTTCAGATCTTCTTTGGTCATTAAACATGCAAGAGCCCAGACCGCAAAGTCCCCCCGAATACCATACAAAGTATGAAGAAACAAGTCGGACCCCATTATCTACACCCATACGAAAACCTATATCGAAAATTGGAATCTCGTCGGTCCAACCAAATTCATCTGTTAAGAGTTTACCTCACGATTTTAAAACTATCCAGAATTTCTCCAAAAAAGCAGTTTTTAAGGTTTTGGATAATGGCGATGGTTTAGACCCAAGGTTGCCGAGTATCGACGAACATTCCAACACGGAAATGGATCCCAAAAGAATATTGATAAATAAAAATATCAATGACTCAGTGAGACTTAACACGTGTCCGAAGGTCGATGTGAAAAGGACGAAGTTTTATAGGAAAGCTGGTGACGCGATGCCAAGGTGAGTTTGTTAGAAGTTTTAGACCGATTTCAAAACATATGTGTAAATAGGACTGATAAACGTTTAAATCTAGCTAGCTAAGATATCTATTAAATAGCTATACAATACAGGATGGATTTTTGAGACGGGACAGTAAGGGCAGGTACCTTAACTGCTATAGTTATAGGAAAACGGTCCTAGGACCATCCATAACTTTTTGATATATTCTGAACTGCATTCACAGATTTCGGAAAAAAATTACAGCTAGCGAAAAAAATGCTAAAATACAAAAAAAATTATCTCAATCGATCTTATTTCATGTAGGGATCAAAAGACTCTATGGGACCATTCATGGTATGAGTACTAGAAATGACAGAGATCGCCAAAAACTTTTCCCATACATTTTGTACGGATTAATCAACTCGAAAAATTCTTTGTTGCCAAACGGTCCTAACTGTCCCGTCTCAAAAATCCACCCTGTATATTACGTAATTTTTCACAAAAAGTGCTATTCCATAAAAAAAAATAATGTGACTCGACAGCTGAATCAGCCGTACATACTTTATATTAGTATTAGTATGAAGTCCAATCACGGATTCAGCTTTAGTGTTACATATACGTTCTTATTGAATAGCTGCTGATGATAAAGCCAGGAAGGAGGTGGATATAGAAACTCTTCAATGGTCACAATTTTGGATTTCATTCGTTTTTACGATTTTCGTAGATAACAGTGAACTATCTCCACGCAACTATCTCCACACAAAAAATCACGCCAATCCGTCACTCTGCTTCGACGTGAAAGAAGGACAAACAAACACCCTTTCACATTTATAACATTATAATATTAAGTATGGATATTAGTCTAATCATGAATATGTATAGCAGTTGGTGCAACAGTGTCGCCTCAAATTCAACGGCTCGCGTGCTTTTACAATCTCCTGCCACTACGATCAAGAGAGCTTCTTTAGGGTAACAATATTATATTTAATAACCTACATGATATGTGTGTTCCTGTGTGATAGTCAGAATAAGTGACCAAAAAAGAATAATTGATGAAGAATATATGAATATTGAAGAAAAACTTCTTTGGAAAATATCGCAGTTAAATTAAAAGACATTAATAAAATTAAATAGAACATGTTAAGCATATTACAATAATATATTTGTAGAATATCATATATGGAAAGAATATAATAAACCGTTTGTCAAACAATAACAACGGTTACCATGGCAACAGTTAGTCATAATAGCTTTTATTTAATTTATGCACATTCATTACGCAGTGATAAATATATATTTTTAGACATAATAATTATTATAAAAATAGAAATATAATATTTAAAAAAAATTTAATAAATTTGACTCTCACTTCCGCGACACTCATTTTTCCATTGTATTGATTTTAACCCTCAGTCACGCCTAAAGAAGTTTCACTTCAAAAAATATATTTGAATGTGAAATTGTTATATCATTAAGTCATAATATGTTATTCTCATTTTAAATAAAAATATATTTTCGTTTTTTTTCGGATTTATTTGGATTTTTGGTTCCCGACGTTTCGAATGCTTTAAAAGTTTACATCAATCATGGTCACGGGAGAGAGAAATAAATCCGTAAAAAATTCGAAAATATAGTTATATTTAATATGTCAAGTATTTGCGTAAACCTAAGAAAGTATTATATCATTGCCATATTTATTATTCATTGGTTTTCGGACGACAAAATTAAAACTCATGTTGTTTCGTTTAAAAAAGTACTTTATGTGGTGTGAATAAGTTCGAATTTGTGTTTAGACAATTAGAACTTCGATTTTTGAATTTCATTCTTTGGTTTGAATCAACGTCATGTCGAAGTCAGTTTTTGAAGAGATATTTATTAGGAAATGTGTATCTATGTTTTTTATATAACAATGGACATAATAGTAAAATATATTTATGATTTCTAGAAACATCGTGAGCCCACATTCGTCTTCGAATAGTCACTGCAAGAGTGAAAGGGCCATGCCGGTTAGTGACACTACTTATTAGGGTTGAGCTTATTAAAAAAAAATAAAAAAAAATTTACTCAACATTTTGAGGGGGCCTACTAGTTTTTAAAATAAATAAGTTTTATTTAAAATGTCTAAGATAGTGTTACACTTTAGTTCTGAAAATATAGCAATAGATGGCGCTTCTCAAGAGTGTTGAAAAATAAATGCTTCGCTCAAAAGAAAAGTTGTTTAACGAAATTAAAGTACTAAGGATTGTTAGGATCGTTTGGGTTTGGGTTCATCCTTAGACAAAAATAAATTATGCCACGAGAAGCGTACAATAGCGTTTACATTTTTCCGGGATAAAAAGTAACCTTTGTGCTATTCCAGACTATAATCTATCTCTGTGCCAAATTTCATCCAGATTCGTTCAGCCGTTCTGGCGTGATTAACAAACATCCATCTCACAAACTTTCACATCATACTAATATTATAAATGCCAAAAGTTTGTGAGGATGTATGGATGTATTAAAAATCTACTGAATGGATTTTAATGAAACTTTACAATAATATAGCTCATACATCAAAATAACACATAGGCTACTTTTTATCCCGGAAAAATGTACGGTTCCCGTGGGATTGATTTGCTTTCGTTTTTTAAATTATAATATTAGTAATATTATTTATCTAAAGTGTATATTTCCAGGTGGGATGGTATTCAACAAAATCACTCACGAAAGAAACTCACTTGCAACGCTTGAGACGGACTGCTCTTATGAAATGATGCAACAAACAAGTCTTATTGACATTATATAATATTTTCGAAGCTCTCCTTCATGTTTAATTTTAAGTGAATAAAAAAAATATTTTGTTTTTGTTTGAGTTAGAAACGTTTTTAATATTTTGATTTGTTTTACACGGATATGTACAAAATAATAGAGTGATATTTTATTATTGTACAGAGTATTTTATTGAATAAAATAATATTTATTATTTATTATTTTGTATAAAAAATAATGTATTTGCATGGTAGTCAAAAGTGTTCGAACATCATTCTATGGTAACTGTTGGCAAATTATTAATAAGACTAAGATATTTTTGTTTTGATTTTCTCCTAAAGTAAAAAAATAAAATAAAGTAAAAATGGCGGTAGATCACATAGACTCCTTTGCTAAAAAAATGAATGTAATACAAAATTAAAAACTGCTACAAAAATCAGCATCCATGGGACTTATAGGGTTTTAGTTAGGTATATAGACATACAAGTAGGGCAAGTGGAACTGTGAGTAACATAAGGGTATCTCTAGTAAGTCTTATGTACATGTAGGGTAGGGAAAATGAGGGATTTAGTAAGTCATATATGCATACATTCTGGGCTACTCACGTATGTAAGTGTAGGGCACAGTATGTATGTATGTATGTGTGGCCATAGGTCAGGTTAGGGCAACTCTAGTAAGTTTCACGTGGTTAGGGCATCTTTAGTGAGTCTTATGTGGTTAAATGGCATTTACAGCGAGCCTTGGAACCTTCGTTCCGTGTAAGGCAAGGGTGCTGCGCGGTTAGGGCACCTATAGCGAGCCTAAAGGCGCGTGTAGGGCAGGAGCGGGGGCAGTAGGGCACTCACCGGCGGGGTCAGTGGTAGGGCATGTGCGCGGGGTTGGCGCTGGGCGCGAGGCGCGTGTAGGGCGTGCGCGCGCGTGGCGCCGCCTCCGCGCCCGCCTCGCCGCGCAGCACCGCGCAACACTTCCACTGGTTCATGTATTGCACTGGAAACAAATATGTTGACACTTTAAATGGTCTACATTGTACTTGTATGGAAATAATGAGTGATTATAAATGCAAAAGTTTGTGATGTTTATGTTAATTTGGATATTTAATATACAGATATACTGTTAGACAGATGCAGATTTCCTCATGATATTCACCTTCACTGTAATACAAGTGTACAAGCATTTGTGAGAGTGTAAGAGTTACAACTTTGCAAGTGTGTATGAGTTTTTACAAATGAGTTTGTTTGTATGAAGGTGTATGAGTTCATATACATATGTGTATGAACTAATGTGTTTATAAGTTAAAAATATGTATGAGTGTGTACAAATATGTAAGAGTGCATATGAGTGTGTATGTATTCAGCTCATTTTAACGTTCCACTGCTGAGCACGGGCCCAATATGAAGGGAATCGGGCCATAGTCTACCGCGCTGTCCAAGAGCGAGTTGGCGGACTTCATATGTATTGAAAACTTGCTAGGTTCTCTCAAACATACAGGTTTTCTCACGATGTTTTTGTTCACCATAAGACAAGCGGTAATTTTATTGGAAATGATTCGCATATGAAAATATCAGAGGTGCGAGACCCGGCATTTGAACCCATTTAACTAGCTTTCTAAGCTAGCACGTTACTACTGGACAACCATTATCCCTGAGTATGTATGAGTGCATGTGAGTGTATGAGTGTATATGAAGTGCACTTCAACTCACTCTTCCACAGCCGCACGCAGCAGTCGTCGCCGGAGGAGGCGAGCAGCGTGCCGGTCACGTTCCACGACACGCGCCACACGTTCGACATGTGGTCGTCGAAGGCGGCCACCACCTCACTCTTAAACCGAACCGACCCATTCGATGCACCCGATGTTTCTCTGTATTTTTGTTGGGAATATTGTTAAATTAGGATTTATTTATTACTAGATTATACTAAACATATGAAACAATTTTCTTTTCATTATATGTAAATCTATAAGTATTTTTTTTTTAAATTACGTTGTTATAGTCTAAATGTAAATGTGGTAGTAATAGCTGTTTGTTAAAATTTGAACCAAATTTATTTTAAATAGTCAAATATAAAATACTTACGGTATTGGTTCAAGTTTTATAATCCTAACATCTTTAGTGGCGACTGCTAAGAGATGGAAGGAGCGACCCAAGTTGGGTGCAAAAGCTATATCATTCACAGGTTCTACCACTGAAGACAAACATTCAGTTCTAGTCCAACGACGAGATGACTCACTGTACCTGTTAAGAAATCATAATTATAATCTACTAGCAAGTCACTCTCGCTTCGCTCGGGTTAATCCCCAGGTAAAAGGTAGGTCCGCAGTTAAAAAGTACCTTATGTCATTCTCCAGCCCTCCAACTATCCCCACACAACAAATCACGCCAATCCGTTTCTACATTTGGACTTGAAAGAAGGATAAACAAACAAACACACTTTCACAATTATAATATTAGTATGGATGTATACATATGTATTTGTAGTGTACCTAATTAATTAAATTTAATAATTAATTAACCGAAGTTGTAATATTATAAATAAATATCAACGCCCAGACAAACGCGCGCTTCGCCGTTTAATATTAGAGAAATACGTCTTAAGACGCCCCCTCGCCGCGGCGCCGGCGCGGGCGCATGTTCGTCGCGGCGAGGCAAACCTGTTCAGAAACAGATTACAACACGGAGAGCATGCTTGTCCATTCAAAATACATCGTTGTTTTTGTTAACCACTACTAGCTACATATTTATCCTATTTTAATGTCCACCTGTCAAAGCGACAGGGATCAGGCCATAGTCTACCACACTGATTATATGCTACGACTTCATAAGTCTTTAGAAAACTTGCTGGGTTCTCCACAGATATGCAGGTTTCCTCTTGACGTTTCCTTCACTGTAAAACTAGTGGTAATCATGTTAAAAATGATTCACACATGTATAAATATCAGAGGTGTTAGATTTGAACCTGCATCACTTGGTTTCTCAAACAAGCGTGTTCCCACTACACTACCAATGCCTGCTTTTCTTTTTGCATTCATAATCTATAATTATTAATAAAATGTAAGTTTTTTTAATGACTCACTATAGCTACCAAAAAATGAGTTCATATGGATATATATGTATGTATGTTTTATAATAAAGCCTTATAAAAATAGCACTTACTCATAAATGAACACTTTTTCATTATTGGAAACTTTGTCACTTTGTGTGCTGGTGGCATTCACATTGTTAGGCTCATCACTACCTACAGCGAGCATGGGCGGGTTTGTGTTACTTCTGAAAAACATTAATAAGTGAGTCAGATTTTCCATCAGCAAATAATAAGCTCCTATAAAAATTTTCATTTTCAATTCACACCTGATTAAACTATGGGAAACTACTGAACCACTCCCAAAAACTTTCATCCCTTATTTGAATCCCTCCCCCAAAATTTCCAAAACTTCTTTCTTAGTACTTGTTAAATAAGGAAAATAAAACTTTGTTAAATAGGAACTAGTGAAAAATTTAAACCTTCAGAACCTAAACAGCTGTGCATTATCTATCTGTAAGAATGATTTTAAATGTTTTTTTGGCCATAAGACCCTATTATCTACCCGATCCACCCACTTTGTATTGTAGCCCATTGAAAAATTAGTTCATGTTATATGTATAGACTAGCGGACCCGACAGACATTGTCCTGTCTACACGTCTTTAATTTGAAAATTTCAAACTTTTTTTAATAATTTTTTGATGAAAATTATTATTCAAATTTTGAATCTAAGCCATTCCCAGATCCCCTTGAACACACACAAAAAATTTCATCAAAATCCGTCCAGTCATTTGAGAGAAGTTCAGTGACATACACACTCACAGAAGAATTATATATATAAAGATATTCAGCCAATGGAAATAAAATGTTAGTGTTTGTTTTTTTTATGAGAGCAGGGAAAAATTCAAAAGATATTTTAGATAAAGCTCATTCGTTCCTGTATATAACCAAATACATCCCAAATTCATATAAATAAAAATGTTACTTGCCTAGATAGTGACGGGTTCCATGATAAACAACTGATTGAAAGTTTTGTTGGTATCTCATGTTGTAAAGTCCATTGCGCTAAGTTCATGACATCTGGTGCCTCATATATTCTAAAATAAAATCTTTTATCAGTCTAAATAACTTTAAAAATAAAAATTATTTAAATTACATTAAAAATAAATTCTTCTTTCTTATGATTTAAGAAAGTTATTTTATTCTTCAAAACATTATATTATTTTATGACAAGATTGGAAATGAATACCTTATAATCCCATCAGCTGAACAAGTGACAAGGAGTAATCCTAAATGTTTTGGACCAAATTTAACATCTGTAACGGAAGTTCTAGAGTCTACCAGGTTAGATCTCTTTACCCATGTCCGCAGACCTTTTTCTGAACCAGATGCAGTTGTGTCACCTGTAGATTTTTTAATAGATGTTTTATTTTAATACTAAAATATATGGTGTTCTCAATTTTCTGGCAACTTATGATATTATAAAATTCATGGTCATAAATTGAGATGACGACATATTGCCAAACATCAAGTGAGAAGAATTATTATTTTAAATTCTATTTACCAACTTCTTCCCATATTGCAGCAGTTCTATCAAAGGAACATGTTGCCAAAACCTGCCCAAACTCTGGATGTGCCCAGGTCACTTTCCAAACGGAGCCATGATGTGCTTTCCAACTGGCTGTAAGACGCCAACTACCTTGACCGTCAGCATCCCACACCTGAATATTCAAGAAGAGTAAATAAAATATTCATTATTCAATTGTCAGTAATCATATCCAATAAGTCAATAATATGTTTCAAGCCTATACATTTTTAATGTCACTAAAATAAATAATTTATCAAATTTCAATATTTATGTAAATATATGAATATTTAACTGCGTAGAATAAATAACTGAGATAGCTGGGGTACGATTGATAACAAAAACATAACCTTACTTTTACATACTGATCACTTGAGCAAGTTGCCATTCTTTCTCCATAGAAGTCGTAAGCGACATCATGGATTAGATCTTTGTGATCTGCACTAATTATGTGAGATTCGAATACATTAGATGTGGCTGCTTCACTCATTTTAGCCTTTTATTATGATGAATTTTGAATTTACAAGTAGCCGATCATGAATTGTGACGGATTAACGGATTGAAAGTTTGACACTGACATTGATAGATATGGGGTAATATCAAACAGAGTATAAATTTATGAAGAGACCGACATTTACTGATTGTAAATCGTTATCAAAGCTCATGGTGTTTATAAGGAAGTGGCTCATTTTTAAATATAAATAAGCATTGTTCTTTTTTAAATATTAATAACTATAGTTTTTAACTTCAAAATAATTTAACTTTTCTATGGGACGATGCCGCCTGCCGCCTGCCGGATCTGTTTACTGTCAAAAAATTTTGCGTGACGTGTAATTGTTGATAATAATTATAGAAGCTTTTCGGCGTAAAATTTATACGGTAAGTTTAAATGTCCATCCTATTTAATATACATCCTATTTATTATTAAAAAATCACATTCCTTCTTACTTTAATCTTCAGAAAAGTTAAAAACTTCAATGTAGGATTACCAGTTCAACCGGCAAATAAATCTACTTTAATTCTATTTTTCAGGTTACTTCTTTTACGGGTTACAAGAGTACGTGAACATCTCACAATGATTACAGATATTCAATTGGCAGTATTCTCCAATATACTTGGAGTTTCAATATTTTTACTGGTCATCTTATATCATTACATCAGTGCTAACAGCTCTAAGTAGACACGGTATGGTATTATAAATTTTAAATGTTTACTTATTGTTTTACAAACAACCATCACATATATCAGGGGGATGCCAAACCAGAACCTGAAGTATTAGAGCCTGAGTTTTACTATGGTCCCTCTTGCATTATTCAATTATGTATTACTATCCTCGTACATTATAGGCTACATATTATACTATGATTTATAAACTATTTTGCTGTAAATTTTCATCAAAATCTGTTCAATACTTTTTACATGAAAGAGCAACAAACAAGCATCCATAGGTACATCTTCAGAAATTTTTGCACAAAGGACAGTAATTGATTTACGAACCACAATTCCTGGTATTCTATTGAGCTATAGTAACTAACTTTGATTCCCAATGCCGTTTGCCCTTAAATTAATAAGTTTTTATCAAATTTTGCAAGAAAATTGAGGTTCTGTTATTTAATTTAAGGTAATTGTTTGGTTTTTGATCCTCACAATATTTAAATTTTAGTGGTTACTTAATACTAATTGGTTTTTAGAATAATATTTAGGATATATTCATTCTGACTTTATTTTTTATGAAATTTAATATAATTCTTTTTTTTCAGGCTAGGATACACAAACTATACACTAAGATAAAACTGTAATATTTATATATAAGATGTTAATAAACTAAGGTTTATAAAATTTGGCTTTTTATTTTCAATTTATAATAATTCATATTTTTAAGATTGCTGTAAAGACTACTTTGTTTGGACTACAATATTATGTAGTATATTTATTTTTGTATTTCTGAAATAGTTTGTTTACATATGAGACTTCATATCTAGGTGTTGTATATATAGATAGCTTTTTAATCTTCCTAAAATGTAGACTATACTATTTGAAAGGGATATTTTAAATAGAATTAGTGTTCAAATATATAAATTGAGTGAGTTTGAGTGTGATCAAACAAACACACAAACAAACTATAAGTATAGCAAGTATAGGAAACACAAACAAACTTATAAGTATAGCAAGTATTGCAAATGCAAACAAACTTATAAGTATAGCTTTATTAGTATAGATTTTTTCAATTAATACATTCTTTACTCTATGAAAATAGTTTTCCCAACATCAACAAATAGGTCTTAAATTGGAAAACTAAAATTTGACAGTTTATATAAAAAAGGGCTTTTCTTAATTTAATTTGGATCTTAACAAAATATGTAGAATGTATTTTTATTTTTTACTGAACTTTAGTGACTATTTTTTTATAATGGTAATTGAAATAATTATTTATTGATATTGTGGTGTAAAGGCTAATTTTGCTCTGCAGTGGGCAGATTTCTTTATTATCTATCTATTTATTATCTACATATTAGGCATTTATTTTGTTATAAAAAATAAACCTATTACTATTTTTGAAAATGTCGGATAAAGAAATAGATTGACAGATACAATATTAAAACTATCCTCATTGAAAAATTTGTTTAGATTTTTTTTATAACACTTAGTTGTGCATTTATAAAGTGTAAGCCCTTTTTTATTTTTCATAATGAGAGCCACCGCGCTTCAATTGGCCGCGAGGGGCGCTAGTGTAGAGTGAGGTCTATAGAACTGTCAAATGACACTGAATATTAACTGTTTGCGAGCTTTTCATCGCGGATCTTGATTATAATTTATTCATTATCTTCATTAAATTCATGATTATTGTAGGCATTGTGCCATTTCTGATTAATTATGGCAGACACGGTATGGCTTAACAAATGTTATTGCTTTAAAAGAAGAGCTAATAAAAAGTCAATATTTAATCTATTTGGTTATTATAATATGTTAATTATGTAAAACAAAATCCTGGTGAACTGGTGCCGCGCTGAAAATTTTGATTATTGTTATCATATTAAATTTATGGCCCTGCCACACTAACAAATGTTTTTTAATGACAGCGATAGGATCTTACTCGCCAGTGGCTCCCAATGGTGCCACCAGAAACGATAACCCTCATAGACTACGAAATAAAAGATTTCACGCTCTCAAGACACCTAAGTTTTATTGTTCTGCTCCAGCACTATATAGTCGGCCCTAGCCTTTGATCAGGGTAGAGCAAGATTGTCTTTCAGCGCCATTTAGTCGGCGCTTTCACTTTACATTGTACTTTCGTTTTATGTTAAATAAATAATAATTAGAAAAATATAATAATTACCAATTCTTTCAAATCGACTTGCATTACATGCAATATACAATGAACAGATATCTACAGATTTTTCATCGTCACCCTATGGTTTTTCAGAAAACGGATCTAGTAAGACTGTCCCGCGTCTTTTAAAAGGCGTTATCAAAATTTTATTTTTTGCTGAAAATTGTTTTTCGCATTTGATTTTTTGGTGCCCCTTACTACCTACCTATCTTACTGGCACCTACTGGTACCGCACCTCTCGCTCTACCCCAGGACCGGCGTTGGCTCTATAGTACCAATGGACGACAACGACATTTCGGGGTTCCATTTTAGTCTTTGTACTCTTAAGACATTTCAATCGGCTAAAAAGACGATAAGCCGCGCTTTAGCTTCAGCGCAAGCAGATTGTGGGCCTAAATAAGATATTAGATACATATGTAGGTATACCTATACGATACATTCGTGTACCAATAGAAATAAAAAAAATATAATAGGTTTTGTCCCGTAAACAGTAAACTGAAAGTTATAGGTATTAATGAAATACCTACGATATTTTCCTGTAACAAAGAAAAACAGTTTCATATTTATGCAATTAAATTTTATTATTAATTGTGTTTTGTAATAAAATTGGCTTGGCAAAGCCTGTAGTTGAGTTTCATATTTACCTATAATAATATTAAGTAATATGGATGCCATTATAATTTGAAAAAATGATTAAAATTATGTTATTTCAATATAATTTTTAGATTTCATTTCGCTTAAACGATTGTACATACGTATCTCGTCTTGTCTAAGCCCGCAGGTAATATGAATTATGAACTGACAGTTACGAATTACGAAATAAATTGATACTCGTATCTAAGTTCTTAATGTTACATTAGATTTGGTAAAAATATATAGGTAATTCTTAGAGTTATATGTATGTACTCAGCCCTTTTTAACGTCCCACTGCTGGGCACGGGCCTCTCTTTAATACGAGGGAGATTGGGATATAAATCACCACGCTGGACTCTGTTAAGACAAGTGGTAATCATGTTGGAAATGATTCCCACATGAAAATATCAGATGCGAGACCCGGGATTTTAACCCACTTAACTCGGTTTCCCAAGCGAGCGCGTTACCACTGTGCTACCACTGTCTCCTTTTCACTATGTTCTTATTATTTATTTTGCAATGACATTTTTCCTTATATCCATAACACCAAATCTTTTATAAAGACAGTACATAATGAGAAATCGCCCCTATAGACGCATCTGTTATTAATCAAACAAAACATATTTATATGAACAATAGAACTATCCTTATATATCGAACTCAGGACTTCCGGCGCGGTAGGCATTGCCCCACGGATATAATTATAAGTCACTTCGTCATCATACGTACAAATCCACAGGGAGGCTAGGAAATATCCGCTTTTAATCACGCTAGTTTTATGAATGCGGCAATTTATGTGTTTGTGTATGTATGTTTGTTATTCACGCTTAACCAGCTGGAATGTTTTGGATAAAATTCAGTTCCCAGATAGATGATATTAACAGCCGACGCAAAAACGACAGTGTGTTATAAGTTTGACGTGTCGGTGTGTGGCATCGTAGCTTCCGAACGGATGAAACGATTTTGATTTTATTTTTTTTGTTTGAAAGGTGAATTAGTCGGGGGTGTTCTTAGCTATGTTTGATGAAAATCGGTCGAAGGTGGCCGCCGCCACGAAATGGCGGAATACATATTTTTTCACAACTCCCTCAATATAGGTAGGTATCAAATGAAAGGGATTCACTAGTAGAAGTATGATAAATTTCAAATCCAAGATGGCCGCCATCACAAAATGATGAATTACATATCGTAATTTTTTTTTATTTTTAATTTAATTTATGACCTGGAGTAAAACATAGTCAAAGCGAGGGGAAGATGCTAGAATACTAATAATACCTAATAGCTTCGACTTCTCAGTGCTTATTTGTCCCAACGACCATCTTCGTAAGAGTTTATAATACAGAATTATTGGCTTTTTAACGGTAATTCTATTGGTATAAAATATTTTACGTTACAAACACCGAAAAAAATGTATTTTATCTATGATATGATATAAATCTTAGAAATAAAGCTCTGTTTTTCAAAAAAAGAAAAAAACTTTTATCTCTACTGTAAAGTAAAAGAAGTATTCATAGTTTAAATAATTAGTGTTTATTTATATTTATGTCTATTAAATGGTATCTATGAGGTAGGTAAGGTTCTATGGTATCTATGAGGTAGGTAAGTTTTTCAATCAAAAAAAATCTTAGTACTAGCTCTTAATTTGGAAGTTCTAATTTAGATGGGATTACAATACCTAGGTAGGTACCTACTCCCGTATCTCCGTTACTTCGTTATAGTTATCAGTTCAAACAAACTGCCGTTAAAACAGTACCAATAAGTGTATTTTATTTATTTCCCTTAGCATTCTAACTAATCTATAACAAAATTTACCTATTTAATACGCATTATTGAAAAAGCGCAGTGCGAGCAATTTACAAATTAAGAGCTCGAATTTCATGTGATGTGTTTTCATTAGAATTGCTATATTTACCTTTCGCAATGTACTGTAACAATTGTTTATTTGTAAAAATATAAATTATAGCGATTAAACGGTTTAATGGTTAGTATATATATCCCACGGGAGCCGTACATATTTTCGGGATAAAAATAATCTATGTGCTATTCCAGCCTATAATTTATCTCTATGTCAAATTTCATCCAGATCGGTTTAGCCGTTCTGGCGTGATGAGTATCAAACATCCATCCATCCAAACTTTCGCGTTTATGTTATTTATTATATGGAAGATTTAAACAGAATAATAGATATCGTTTTTTTAATTATTTTAATATTTTTTAAAAGTGGGCTCGTATTAACTTATATCCACAATTTATTCTTATGCTTAATCAACTACTTACCTAAATTTTATAATTCCATAACGCGAGATGAGATATTTTCCCCGCAGTAAAAGGTATCCTATATGTTAACCCGGATATCATCATACGAAATTTCATCAAAATCTGTCCAGTGGTTTTCTTGTGATACGTTTTCAGACACATAAACAGACAGACAAAAATTCTAAAAACTATAGATTCCTTTGTATCGATATTTTCTATTTTTACTCTTAAGAAAAATCTAGATTTTTTTTCATATACTTATTATCTTCTTAACTTTTGACCTGATTTCTCGAGCAAATAATTAAATGAAACTAACAATTAATTAGCTCGTTTTTTCGTATCCGATACAAAAATATCTCGTAGATATCGAGTACTATATACCTAAATATTTTATCAAAGCCAATCTTTTGTAGAAGATATCGAGTACAATATACCTAACTATTTTTTCTTAGCCAATAACAACGTAAGCCAAATCTCCAAAACAAGGGCAGTGGGCGATGTTTAATTAACGACATTATTTCGACGAGGAATGCCTATTACAATGAACATGTTACGGACGCGGGATATAAATTTCTTTCCCGAAATTCCTGGTCCTTAAAGAGATTTTTCACATAGAGTAAATGTTTCCGAAATGGCATTCCCGTCTCAATGAACGATACATTGTATCAACCTAAACTTGACATGCTATAAAATATAAAATATTAGACACTTTTCAATTTTATACGCCACTTTCTTTTACACGTGTCCTTAAATTTGTGTTTTATCTTTTATATTAAGAAAATGATATTTAAACAAAGTGGCATCTAATTAATTTAAGATCCAGATTAAAAATGAACTTTAACAAGATTTAATCTATGTATTTGTTATACAATTAGATTTTAAATAAGGTTAACTTTGAATCAAAATCAAGATTCAAAGTTAACCAGAATTTAAAATGAAACAAATTTCAAGAAATGGTCCATAACAAACCCAATCATGGCATTATAAACGGACCGTAGCTTGTCGACACGGCCAGCCAAATTGCCACGGAGCTTGATTAGCTACCGTGTATACAATTATATGACACGTCCCAGTTAATTTATGTGAAAACTTTGCCTCGACATGCTCCCTACATGCACTGTGCACTGGCGGTGGAACAAGCGCTAAATTAACTGTACTGTAATATGTCAGTATTTCACAAGATATAAGATATAAGAATAATTCTTATCATTGCTAACTCATATCTAAATATATCTATTATAATAAAATTAAATTATTCGATATTTGAGTTTATTTTTACGTCTCATTTAGCGAATCGAATTCAAGACCTTCTACGGCAAGTGCTTCGACTACTACGCCAGGTCGTCAAAAAAGATTTAGAACACTAGCATCAAGATCAAAAAAGATGAAACAGGTTTTTTTTTTCAATTCATTTTTATTCATGTATCAAAATTTATCATATTATGGCAGAATGTTATCTATGTTTGTATGTAGGCAATTTAATGTATAGTTATATAAAAACATGCCAAAACTAATGCTGCTATTGCACCTTTACAGGTTGCGCACACTATGATGCATATATACATAACGTTTAGTATAGACTTCTCAGAGATTAGAATTTTATTATAATATACTTATATAGATCTATATTAAGATTAGCGACATACCCTCTTTTTACCCTGGTCATGAGTTAAAGTTACCAAGGATCAATAGGGTGCAATGTACTAGTACTACCTGTACTATGAACACATCCCATCCCATGGATCCTTAGTAAATTTTTAATATGATCGGTAAAATGTAGCCTTTCATTCAGCGATAATGTAGCTTGTTATAATTAAAGAACTTTTAATATGGGATTAGAGGTGCTGGAGTTAATATCGTGCATTTAAACTAACAAAGTTTATCTGTTTATAATATTAGTCCAGATTTAAACGAATTAACGTAGGAAAAGTAAACGGTGCACTTTAAATATTCCATTTTATATGCAAAACATTTTCCTCTAAAAAGAACATCGAAAAATATATGTTTTATGTATGCAAAACTGATTTATTTTTTCGTTTTACTTAAACCGTTGCAGACATGAATTATAAATGTTTTTAAAAAGTGGAAAACTAAATACTGTAAATAAATATTTTACATGTGATATGTTGGGAGTTAAACCTGAGCTTTATACTTTTTTTTAATTTTATGACAAATTTTTTAAATGGCATTTCAATAAAATATATTTGCCTGTCATTAAATAAAAAAAAATTACATAAGTCGTTTCCCGCCATGCGGATTACAGATAATCTAGTGCTTCGAAAATCGCCCCCCGAGGCCGAATGAGACTGACCGTGTAATAAATTATACAGAAAGGCAATAATGGCTGTAATAAAAAGCAATCTTAGCGCGTTTCACCGCTAATTCACTATTTTTCATAGCTCGTGAAAACAGTTTGATTTTCAATATGTCGCAATAAAGATTATTGCTGTATGGTGGTGTGATTTGTTGCCTTTTACAAATTAAATGATTGTAACACTAGATTGAAGGTAGATATCTATAATATAAAATTAAAAACATAATATAATATGTAAGTATATAATATATACAGATATAGAGTATTTTTTTAAGGTATAGAACATAGTATCACATTCGCTATATTACCTATGTCAAAATACGTATGCATTTGCACAGATCATATAATACTAGTATTATTTAAGTTTAAATAAAAATACGTATATTTTAAAATCATTTGACCTCTGTTTATAAGGTCTTTTAGAGAACGAAAGAGTGTAATCATATTTATGGCTATAACAAATGAAAACAAACCCGTGAACAGCTGTTAGTTTCATTAAAAATACGTAGTTTAGAAGAGCAGATTCTTTGGTATTATATTTATGCTGCATTTTGTGTACTTTCCTGGCTTTCTAGTATTCATAATTACTCGTCTCGGTCTCGCGACTTTTAATTAAGAAAGACTTGTTTATTATCTTTTTGCTTACGCCATGATGGTTTAGAGCCACGGCTTTTAAGCGACTGAATTAAAGAAATTTAAATATTTTAATAAGAAACAGGGACTTGTTATATTTAAGTATTTCAATATAATTATAATGAGTATTATTCATGGTGTGGCAACACTGATTTAGTTATACGACTTACCTTATATGGATAAGACGTTTAGTCGAAGTATTTTAATCGATTTGAAACAATAAATACATATATACATACATAGACAGATAGATAGCCTCCTTTTAGGCTTCCACGCAGTCGGGTAAACCTATAGTAACTGTTTACATTACTGTTTTCGGAACGGCTCATCTAATTTTAATTTAACTTTTACTGGGTTATTCGCTCGAAAATAACATATATTATCTTTAGTTTAATTTAAGAAATCAACATCAAAATATTATTGAAAAACTTAATTTATTTAACATAAATATAATTTAAGCTTTACAATAAAATTCTTCTTTAGGCGCCGCCATCTTCATAGTGAAGATGTTTCCAGCTTCCAGTTTTTTCATGCCGTATTCACTGGCAAAATGTGATACACGAAACCTTGACCGTTTTACTGCCAGGCTGAAAACAAATGTCAAATAAAAATACCTATTATAATCCTTAGCGCGTTATTTTTAAATAAAACTATCTTTTTGGATTTAACCTTTGGATAGACCTCAGTCTCTCCCGTGACCATGATTGCTGTAAAGCATTCGCAACGTCGGGAACCAAAAATCAAAATAAATCCGCGAAAAAATCCGAAAAGATAGTTTTTTTTAAATGTTAAATATTCGCGTAAATCTAAGAAAGTATTATAATACTTTCTACAAAAAGGTACACTGACTCTTCCACTAGAAAATAATTTTAAAAATAATGATTGTTCCATGATTTTTTTATATCTATATTAGATCATCATCATCACCTATTTGGCTACGTATTAAAAAAAATCATTAAAGTCGGTTCATAATTGGCAAGGATATCGTGTAACATACACAAAATACATTATATATGTGAAACTTTTTGTCTGTTTGTCTGTTCGTTTGTGCGCGCTAATCTCAGAAATGGCTTAACGAATTTGGGTGCGGTATTCCTTAAAATACTTACTGTAATAAGGTTCATTTAACTTATTTCAATCAGTAAATAAATAAAAAAGTTATGTTAATTGCCAGTCTTGTTAAATGTATAAGATTTTCATCTTAATCGAGATAATAAATAATACTTCTTATTATTTTTATATCGTACATAAATAGAATGGATAAACACATTGTTCTGAACGGCACTCGAAAATGACTCGAATATGACTGAATGCAGTGCTCAAATGACTCGCTCTTAGCCGGTTTTATATATTCTTATTTACATTTCTATGGCTATTTATATTAAAAACAACGTATTGTACTTCATTACTGAATTGAAAACATAACATTTTTAATGTAAGCAACATAGTTGTGAAGACGCTATTGAATACTGCTGCTACAGTGGTTTCCCGTCATGACGTAAGTGTTAAATGAAAATAGCTTTATAAAGTCATTCAACAGCACCGTTGTGTAAAAACTTCTGTTAATTAAGATGTAAGTAGAAGTTTATTCTTACTAATGATATAAATGGGAGAGTGTTTTTTTGTGTGTTTGTTTATCCTTATTTTAAGCAGTTATTAAATTGACGTGGTATTTTTATAAATATGATGATTCCGGCCACGGCGGTCAATCTCATTGAGACTAGCCAACTGCGCAGGAGATATTATAGTGCACAAGTGTACGCGCAGACACAACGTGCACTCTCTATTTCTGTCACTCTCATACTCTGGTGGGACGACTGCTTCGACACGACCGGTGAGAGTTAAGGCGCAGGACTGACGGCTTTACGTGCTCTCCGAAGCACGGGGGTGAAACACCGCCAACTTCCCAACTCCGAGCTGTTACTAAGGCTTACTATACAGAAAGACTCAATAACTAAATTTGGCCCGACCCGGGACTCGAAACCAGGACCTCCGGGTGTGCAGCCGTACATGCTAGCCACTACACCACCGAGGCAGTTATGTATATAAATATGATATATGTATAGCCTATAGCCATCCTTAATAAACGGGCTATCTAAAGCAAAAAGGTTTTTAAATCGGATTAGTAGTTCCTGAGATTAGCGCGTTCAAACAAACAAACTCTGCCTCTTTATAATATTAGTATAGATAAGGTAAGTACTTCAATATTTAGTTTAGACGGCTGGTAAATTAAAGGATCCTTTTAACAATATATAAATACAACTATTTTTTTCGAGGATTTATTTTGATTTTTGGTTCCCGACGGTTCGTCGTTTTGAAATCATTTTGTAATTTTGTGAATTGTCAGTAACAACTACTTACATAATGACTTTTTAGACCTCTTAAATATCAGTCTCTCCCGTGACTATGATAGCAGTAAAATATTCGAAACGTCGGGAACCAAAAATCAAAATAAATCGCGTAAATCTAAGAAAATACTAGTATAAATATAAGTACATACCTAGGCTATAAGTTTGATGTCGATGTCTGTCTGTCTGTGTGTGTGTGTGTGTGTGTGTGTGTGTCTGTATGTGGCATCGTAGCTCTCAAATGGATGGACCGATTTAAATACGGGTTGTTTTCATTTGAAAACCAGTTTCCTTGCGGTAGTTCTTAGCTATGTTTGGTTAATATCGGTCCAGCAGTGTAAGAGTATCAGCTCTTTTCCAAAATGATGTAAGGCATTTTGTCGTATGATTACTCGTTTAAGTGCTTCACGTGTGCCAGTGTTTAACGATTATAAATGACAATTAATTTGTGTAGGGGGTTTTTAAAAATTTTATTTATATTTTTTGTCCCAGAAAATTGTAGGGTTCCCGTGAGATAGATTTGTTTTTGTTTCTCTATTATATATGCCAAATATTCAACAAACAAATATGAAAATCGAACTTGCCAGTTTTGGTATAAACCTGAACAATACCATAGCAACCATCCCACCACCCTCCTTTCTTCTATCTTTAACTTTGTACATAGAAATGCAAAACAATAATGTTCCGTCAAGAAACTCTTAAATGTGAAATTAACAAGATAAGTAATTTAAAGTTATAATATTGTTGAAGCGTAGGTCACGTTGACAAAGGACACTCAGTTCGGGAGTAGACTAAAATAGCTATATTTCGTTTTTGACGATACACAAGGGAATCGTCACAGCAAACTCATTTTATAGAAATTTCACAGTTACGTCAAGTTCCTTAGATCTTAATTACAAAACAAATAATGATTATAGATATAAATAATTACTGTATAATTATATAAGATAGGTCGTTTTCTTTTGTTTAATATAAAATTTATTTCTGACACTCCAAAAATATGTACAGTAACTTTAATTTTCATAATGAGTTTAAATGGTTATATTTTCTCCATTTGTCTATCTGTTCGTCAACTTACTTTAACAAAGCAGAGTCTGACTCATCAATATATTTCCTCTGCTCATATAAGAGAAAGACGAATCTATGATATCCGGAGCCCGGGTATACCACGGGCGGTACGTACGGCGTGACTGTGAAACCGGCTTTAATGTTGTTTCCAGGGATATTGATAATTAGCCAGTATAGGACGGAGCGTAAAGCCGGAGTTTGCTGTGAGGGCACATCTGCATCTGTAATATTAGAGTATAATTGTTAAAGCGCTTTCATTATCTATTTATAGTAAAATCGTATGTATGTAGGTTCCCTATGGATTCTAAAACGGCTGGAGCGATTTTGATGAAATTTTCAGGCAATGTGATCCTGTGAAGTTTGGTAGCGATTGAAAGTTTGAACGTGGACGAAGCTGCGTACTGCTAGTACTGCTAGTTAGGAATATAAATTATGTTTATTTTTTTGTTTTGAGATAATTGATGGTGAAGGTGAAGTATTGAATTAAATGATGCTTTCATTTGGTACAATTAGATTTTATAGATAGAGAATTATTGTCATATTTATTAATCCAAAATTAAAGTGTTGTGGAAATCTTTAGTTTTATTGAGTCCCTAGTGTTAGTAGTGATGTGCGAGGATTGGGTGTGTTCAATATTAATACCGCTTTTTAGATGCATTTGCAATTAAATAATTAAATTTTGGAAATCAATTATTATAATCTGTTAATAATAAAATTATATAAAATTAATATTTTATTATTAATAGTGTAAATTATTAAAATCTATACCGATAAATAAAATTGAATTGTCTGTTTGTAATGTCAAAATAACAGTGTTTTACTAAATGCATATGAAATTATATGCGGTACTTACTAGAAAAACACAATGTTTCAAATTTTTGTCTCTGTTTGTTTCGGATAATCTCTGAAACGGCTGGACTGATTTTGACGAGACTTTTACTGGAAGATAGCTGATGTTATAGGGAGTAACGTAGGTTACTTTTATTTTAGAAAAAGAATTAGGGTTCTTCTCAAAAAAATTAAAACGTACCTAGTGATGAACCCGAGCGAAGCGAGGGTGAGACGCTAGTTTAATACTAATTTTACATACTCTCCACCGATTGTAAAGTTTAAAGTTTGCATAATAAAGAAAAGAACGTTGATAGAGTTCTAAGTTTGTCTTATCTTTTTGAAAATATTCACCCTACAATCTATCTTTTATCTTCCATTTTATTGTGGGATAGATATGTACATATATCGTAACAAATGCAGACATATTTTGTTCAAATCTTTTAAAAGTTTGAACTTTGAAGTTAAACCTCCTGAGGTAAGCAGTCACTACTGCTTTTATAAAGGCACAAATGTGCCTTTGATGCTGTCTTTTGTGTTGCAAGTTTGCTTCAAAATTTTTATGTGACATTATAGAGCTTACTTTGTGGCATTATTCACTTTACTGGACAAAAACATTGTATTCGTTATAGAAAAAACTTAAAGCCAGTATGCGAATTGGAAAATGTTATAACGGAATTATCTCAGAATATTTTTGTTACTGAAATTTTATTTCTAAGTACGGGAAAAGAGAATGTGGAAAACAAAATATCTAATATATTTAAACGAGCAATTTTTGTATATATATATATATACATATATATAATCTGTATAAGTTTTTACTTTTGTTTTTTTTTGTATTTATTCAATTTTTTTGTTTGTTTTTTAGGCAGAGAATCATATAATTAGTAATATTCACGCCCAAGAGCTTTTAAATCATCAACAGCAAAATTACATGTGTCCTAAATAATAAAAGGGACGTATAAGGTCAGTAGAAGTCAGTAGAAGGACTTATCAAACAATCAGGAAAGATAAGTAGTCTCAGAACAAATAAGCTTTGAAGAGCTTTATAGTTAAACTTGTCGATAAGCTGTCACCTGTCGATAAGTGTTACACATACTCTGTGGATAACGACTTAGAATATGAATTGCCTAACTAGCATGGCTAACTCTCGGAGCTCCGGGTTTTAACAATTGTCATTCGTGAAAGAAAAAAATAGCCTTCTACTTTGGAAAACATCTAAATGTACAATATAAATAAAATAAACAAAGATTTTAACGACTTTTTTACAGCGGGTCCCCCAAATAAAACACCTCTAAATGTCCTCGTATCTTCCGCCTGGCTGAACCCATTTTTATGAATTATAATGAATTAATACTAGCGACTCACCCTCGCTTCGCTCGGGTGCGTGTCGAGGTAAGATTTTTTTGAGCGGCCTAATTATTTTTTAAACGACTTCTTAAAAGGAGAAGGGAGGTTCTCATTCGTCGGATTTTTTTAATGTATGTTCACCGATTACTCTAAGACGCCTGGACCGATTTAAAAAACTTTTGTTTCAAAGAATGTACTTTTCAGGTGGTCCCATATAAACTTTATCGAAATCGGTCGAGCGGTTAAAAAAAAATCAACAATAAATATATTTTTTAAATAAATTGTTTAATCGAATATGTTATTAAATAACTTTCTTCTTACAAATTACCTGCTTATTACGTCTACACTAAAAATGGAAAAATAAAAACTAAAAGAAAGACTTCTAGGCACTAAAATGTAAAAATAACTAAACGGAGGTTTTCATTTAGAATAGATACGTAATCAGATATTTTCGAAGTCGAAGAAGATAGGTATCTATTCTATATATATATATATATATATATATATATATATATATATATATATATATATATATATATCTAAATGAAAACCTCAGTTTAGTTATTTTTTATATTTTAGTGTCTGGAAGTCGGTTTTTTTTTATTTAACCTCCTGCCTACCAGAGACACTTTTTCTGGAGTACGTTTTTGAGATTTTAGTATAATATCGGTAATAGGGTATGATATACTGAAAAAATAGTAAAAAAATCCTACATCTGGAAAAACGGTTTTTCACTATGTCTTATATGTAGGACAAAGTGACTATATTACTATGTGATTTGTATAGGACATAAAATAGTTTATAGATATAAATTGCGATTAGAAAAGAAATAAAACACAAATACAACATATAGTTCTTTTATATTATATTTAGGCATCATAAAGTTTCTGAAAAAAATAATAAAAAGAAAACTTCTTCTAAATAAACCTTTCAAAATTTAACATGGTGTGTACTAACAAAACTGGTTCCTTTCTTGTTCCAAATAAAACAATTATTATTATATATAAAGTTCTGGCGGCATAAACTCTGGATCTTCACCTGAACCATCTCCTGAAAATTCAAACTCAGAATCATTTAAAGCCTCCGCTGTCCCATCGTTCGTTAAACCTAGAACAAACATAAATATGATAAAATATCTTTCAATGTACTTTATACAGTAAATCGGACGTCTAAGTACTAAAACTTTTATTGCCCACATTTGTCTTGCATGTTTTATACAATTACGCGAAAATAAAGCTGCATATCATCATATTATACTTCTAATTACTTTACTAGCGCAAGAAATTCAATAATAAATTAGATTTAAATCGATTAACTTACCTGCGCACACGCATCGACGCACGTCTGTCTTTCATTGCCATTTTGAAAAAAGAGGACCACGTCATGGGAATTGACATTTATCTCTATTTTGAAACCCAGATAGTCGATAGATGTCACCACTCAAATATTTTGGGGTTACCATTTGGAAACCGGTGGTATGTTTTTTTAAATTTTTATATCCAGGCTGTAGTACAGATGTAGGCAAGAGGTTAAATAAAAGGTTACTCCTTATAACATCAGCTATATGCCAGTGAATGTCCCGTCAAAATCAGTCCAGCCGTTTCTTCTAAGCCGATTTCGAGAAATATTTCATTACGTATCTATTCTAAATGAAAACCCCCATCTAGTTATTTTTTTACACTTTAGTGCCTGGAAGTAGTTTTTTTAGTCTTTGTATCTGTATAGATTTCTTATACTTTGCTAGATTTGTCTTGAAATCGCAAGTGTGGGATATATTACATTTTAAAAAAATCTAAAAGGCGGATTTTAGGCGTCAATTTGGGCGTTTTGAAAGTTGTTCTCTTCTAAATCTATCGAGTGAGGTAAAAAAATGAAGGATTTTAAAAAGGGATTACCAAAATACTTAATACTTTCATTTAAATAATTTGGAACAACAAATTATTTCAAATTTATAGATGTATATAAAACTTGTATTTAATTCCTCCACGACCGCGGACACGCCGGCGTGTCAGTTAACAATAGATTTTTTAGAATTTTAATTAATTTCTTAGAAATTTACCTAGAGGTGTTATAAAACATTTAAATATACATGTTTCCGGCTGTATATTTTGTTACTTTTTTAATTTACTTTTTAATTTTTATACTCGTACAGTCGGATCTCTGATAAGGTATTTTATTTTGCATATCGCAATTACTTAACTCACGCAATTACGTACATTAAATATTTTTTGAAAAAAATATATTGAATAGTCATTATTATCGATAGCCGCATCTATAGTTTTTAGAATTTTTGTCTGTCTGTCTGTCTGGGAACGCATCATGAGAAAGCCACTCGACAGATTTTGATGAAATTTGGTGTGTTGATAGCTGGTTATCTGGGTCAAAATATAGAATACTTTTTACTGCGAGAAAATATCTCACCTCTGAGAAATCTATACTAACCGTTAAAACGTACCTAAGGACGAACCCGAGCGGAACGAGGGTGACTCGCTAGTCTTCATATAAACATAACATTGTAAATATATACATTACAAGATATCAGCAAAATAAAAACATCAGACTGACGATTAAAAATAATATTGCATTATGTATACAATAAAGCGTTGCATTTTTATTTTTTACCAGCAGAATTTCAATTATACGTGTTTCAGTAAACGGAAATTCATTTTGTTCATAACGTAGTTATATTCGTAGAAAGGAAATTACTAAAACAACATTAATAGGATAACTAGAGGGTTAACTATTCTGGTTAAGATATTTTACGCTACATCTTTGTGATTATATAATTTTATTTTAAAGACTTATTTTAGACGCTTTGTTCGGGTGTTTTGTTCACAATTTCATAGGTTTTAATATTTTTGCGCGGAACTCTGATTCTTTTTCTAAAATAAAAGCAGCCTAAGTTACTTCTTATAAAATAAGCTATGCGCTAGTGGAAGCCCCGTTAAAATTGGTTCAACCGTTTCGGAGATTGACCAGGACATACTGACAGACAAACAGATAAAAGAACAAAAATAAAAAAAATGTTTTTTTCTTTTAAGTACCGTCAATACTTTCACATGCATTTAATAAAAAGCTGTTATTTTTACTATACAAACAGACAATTCAAATTTGTTTATTTGTAATAGATTCCGTCCTAATACGCTGTTTAATATTAGTCGTTACTTAAAAAAAAACCTATTTTGAATCGGTTAACTAAAGTAATACAAGTCGCATCATTCATTTTTCTTTGTCATTTTATTTTCTCTGATGACAATTTTCTAAAAGTAGTAACATTTTTAGGGTTAAAGAGAAAAACGCAAATAACATCTTACAATAGCAACAGTGGTCCATAGACATAGTGCTCTATCTATTTATATATTTAGTTTGTTACTCAATAACACCAGAACGGCTAAAAGGATCTGCATGAGACACAGATATAGATTTTAGTCTGGAAAGGCACATAAGCTACTTTTTATTCCGAAAAAATGTACGGTTCCCGTGGGATAGATTTGTTTTCGTTTTTGTGAGTCACTAGTGATATTATAAGTACACAAAGCACCTAGGGCGAAGTGAGGTTAAGTAGCTTGTAAAAAAATTCTGAACTTACCGATCATAATTAAAGTGTAGTTTTCTTTAGATTGGCTTTCGAACGTCAGGCTTGGCATCATTATAGATTGTGTCTGAACGATCTCATCTCCGGGGCATATTTCTGCAGAACTATAGAAAACCTGTAACGGATAAATTAGGTTTATATTTCATATATTGTCTGCACAGATTACAAATAAAAACGAGTAAATAACATAATAGGTATGTACATTCATACATATGTATATAAGTCCGATGCTGTGTTCCCTCATAATTAATAAAGGGATTAATCGATTTTGATGAGTCATACATCCAGCGCTGGGCTTACTTTAGGGGCACTCGGGGTTAGTGCCCAGAGCGGCAAATTTTCAGGGGCGGTAAAATTCGAAGGATAGATCAAAAAATTAAAAATATTGAACTTTATCGAGACTTTATCAATTTTACGCAAAATTTCGATAATGGGTGGCATTTCTTATATTGTCCAGGGGCGGCGCTAAGGTTGAATCCGGCATTGCATACATCGTTAAATACGTCGTTTGCCCTTAGGTACTAATATTAAAACAGCTACTATATAGTGCGTCGCGTATATAATGCGTCGCTTATATTGATAAAGAAACAGCAAATATTTTGAAGGATCGATAATTAAATATATAAGAGTATATTATAAGCTGGTTTTTTTTCCATGATAGGAAAGTAAAGCTATACGAAAATTTATTTATTTATTTATTTATTTAAATTAATAAATAAATATACGAAAATTATGTTAGTATGCTCATATACTTGAAGATTTTGGCTTTTAATCTCAGACTAAGAAATAATATAGAGAGAGTGTCATAGAACTAAGCTTGAAGTCCAACAATAATGTTTTAAAGTAATATATTTTGTTCTACAACAGTATACAAATATTTAATACTCGGTATTGTAACAAGCTAATAAATGTTATTAAATAAAAATAATTAACAGATTTTATTCTTATAAAGAAAAAAAAATGAAGCTAATATTATGCTAATTTTTTAAAATTTAATGTTCAAAAAATACAAAAGAATATTAAAAAAAATTATTAATTATTCATATTTTCTTCTCAAAAATTATAAATAATCGACTAATACTTATATAAAGTTTTCCTTATTCATAGAAAATAAAACGATCCGTATGAAAAAATCGAGGATAGCATAAACTGCTGTTTGTGCTACCATTTCGCTAAATCGTGCTAATATTTTACTTTGACATTTGTTTTGGCGGACTTCATCTTAGTCTGAGGCTTGTATAATTAAAAAAATATATGTTGGCACACAGCTCCATCTAGTTCCATGGTAAGCTACGAGACTTGTGTCATGGTACCAGATAGTTGATACATTACACATATATAACTTTAAATACATACATATTATAAATGTAAACCCCCATGACTGAAGTAAAAACATTCATGCACATCACACAAATAAATGCCCCGAGCGGGACTCGAACCCGCGACCGCTGGCACTTAAGTAAGGTCACTACAAACTGAGCCAATCGTTACGTGGAAATTGTTTATAGTTATTGGCCTTTTAGGTATTTATTAGATATTTGAGGCTGTATAAAATTGTACTACATAATTTTACCGTAAAAAAAATTAATAGGTACTTGAATGATAATGAGTTTTTTTGCAGAGGTATAGTTCAGACTTATAGTAAGCAAATATGAAGTTATTATACTTTTGTAATTCTTTTTTAAACTTTTAAATTAAGATACATAGAAGTTTTACTTGATACAATTAAAAAATATTACATATACTATATACTTACATTTAGTACATTTTCTGGGGCAACCGAAACAATATCGGGAACGATGTTGTAGTCTTTAAAAATAGATTCCACATTCACGTCTCTGCTGGCGAGTGCATCAGGTATTATAAATATAACTCCAAGAATTAAAGTTATTTGTAACTGAAAGAATGGTATAGAAAGTAAATGAGACAGACTCATACACCATTTTCGATGCTTACGTATTTTCATTTTGTTCATATAAAGTATAAGTTTTAGAAGTAAGAAGTATGCTGCAGCAGTTTTGAATTTGATTTATCCATAAAAAATTTAAGAATATGAACATTAGTTATTTTAAAGTAATTTTAAAAAAGTTTTATCCAAAATTGTCTAGCTATACAATATATATTATATTTTTTATAAATTATTTATTTACAACTAGCGACTCTCCCTCACTCCGCTCGGGTTCGTCAATAGTTACGTTTTAACGTTTAGTATAGATTTCTCAGAGATGAGATATTTTCCTCTTTAGTAAAAAGTATCCGATATGTTGACCCGGATATTATCCGGGTTAAACCCGGGTTAAATCCTGGTTAAACACACTATCATCACCAAATTTCTTTAAAATCTGTCCAGTGGTTTTCTCGTGAGGCGTTCCCGGACGGATAGACAGAGAGATAGAGAGTTAGACAGAAAATCTAAAAACTATGGATTCGGCCTCTGTATACATAATAATGACTATTTCAATAAGATTTACAAAAAATATTTAATATACAGATTCGACTTAGTTACAATTTTATTATATGTATAGATATAGGAGGTATAGTTAATAGTATAAGTATATATATATATGAGATAATTTTCTTTATTTTAAAAGAGTAAATACTGTAGCTTCACTACGGCTTAAGGCGTAACGTTTCCGTGGTGTAGCGGTTATCACATCTGCCTAACACGCAGAAGGCCCCCGGTTCGATCCCGGGCGGAAACATTTTTATGTTTTTTTTTAAATAATGTCAAAGCATATAAGTATTTAGAACCTATTATTCTAGAGAATATTTAAATATAATATAATAATATTTATTTTTTATTTTCCCTTAAAAAAATAATTTGGTCATAATTTTAACAACAGACTTTTATTAGGAAGAGACAAACTTTATTTAAATGCAATATTTTATTGATAAACAGTTAGTTATCTATACATATAATAAAATTGTAACTAAGACGAATCTGTACATGAAATATTTTTTGGAAAATCTAATTGAAATAGACATTATTATCGATACAGATTCCGAATCTATAGTTTTTAGAATATTTGTCTGTCTATCTGTCTGTCTGTTACCGCATCACGAGAAAACCACTGGACAGATTTTGATAAAATTTGGTATGATGATAGCTGGTTATCCGGGTCAACATATAGGATACTTTTTACCGCGAGAAAATATCTCATTTCTGAGAAAAAATACTATAGTAATAATTTTGTATTTTTTCTCAGAAATGAGTTATTTTTCCGCGGTAAAAAGTATCCTATATGTTGACCCGGATAACTAGCTATCACCATATCAAATTTTATCAAAATCCCTCCAGTGGTTTTCTGTGATGCGGTAACAGACAAAAATTCTAAAAACTATAGTTTCGGCCTCTGTATCGATAATAATGTCTATTTCAATAAGATTTTCCAAAAAATATTTAATGTACAGATTCGACTTAGTTACAATTTTATTATATGTATAGATTGTAATTTTTAATTTAATTAGCGTTCATACTAACAGAAACTAGTTTTTGTTACTATGCATGCTAAGCCAACAAAGTATAAGGAAAGCAGAGTGTACTTACTATGTCCATTTTTGTGTAAAATAATGGGGATCTTGTAATTCAACGTAATTAATACTGTGCAACAGGTAGGTAGGGCTTTTATATTTATTTTGGATTTTGCATATCTGTGATAAGTGCTTGCATACAGCGTTGTTAATTGGATAGAGATTACGAAGAATAATGTTTGGACGACACTAATTTTTTTTATTATATATATTTTTTTTATTATTTAAAAGATTTGTAATAATTTAAATAGTCTAAAGATAGTCTGTATTTTTATTGCTTTTAATTTAACACCAGTTCGCCGAAAACCCGAGTGTATATTTGTAATGTCAAGACAGTTCTTTACTAAATGCATAATATAAAATTATATACGGTACTTAAAAGAAAAACTTATATTAAATAATAATAATAATTTATTTATTTATTATTATTTATATTAGCTATTATTATAATTATATAGAGATAATTTATGGCTCGAACAGTATCAAAAGTCACTTTTGATACTAATATTTCAATTGATTTTCTGAACTCTCATTAATGATCCTCCGATCCATAAAATACTTGATGATTGATATCCAAAAAAACTTGACATTGAAGAAATAGATCACCTTATTATTACACGCAAAGATGTCACCGAGAAACTAAAAGGACTTAACATTAATAAAGGTCGCGGACCCGATGATATTCCACCAATATTTTTGAAAAAATGTGCGGACCCTCTATCTTTACCGCTTACACTAATTTATAATTCTTCTATACGTTGTGGAACGTTCCCAAGAGTGTGGAAAGTGGCTAGAATAGTACCAATCTTTAAAAGCGGAAAAAGGGATTCTATTGCAAACTACAGACCAATCTCTATTCTGTCTAATATGTCAAAAGTATTTGAATCGATCGTCTATACACACATTTATAGGCATGTTAAGCAACACCTTAACTGCAACCAACATGGTTTTATGACTAAAAGATCCACATGCACTAACTTATTATCTTTTGTCGCCAATGTATCTGAAAGAGTAGATAAAAATCTACAAATAGACGCAATATATACAGACTTCTCAAAAGCTTTCGACAAAGTTAATCATACCATCTTGACAGCCAAATTAAATGCTTATGGAATAACAGGATATCTTTTAGATTGGTGCAAAAGTTACCTAATGAATCGTCAGTCTACTGTCGTCTTGAATGGAAGGACATCTAAACAATTTACATCTAGTTCTGGAGTACCTCAAGGATCTAATTTAGGACCTCTATTTTTCAATATATTTATAAACGATATTTGTGATAAAATTGAATATTCTGACTTTCATATATTTGCTGATGATTTGAAACTTTATAGAACGATATATAAATATGATGATAGTGTACTCCTTCAAAAAGATATAAATAATGTTATGGAATGGTGTAAAGAAAATAAAATGACATTAAATATAAATAAATGTACTCATATAAAATTTACTCGAAAGAGAAATATAGCTCCCACAGCGTATAAGATTTGTGAACAAAAATTAAATGAGGTTGACCATATTCGTGACTTGGGTATAATTATCGATAGTCAGTTAAGATTTATCCACCATGTGAACAAAATGATAGATTTTGCTTATCAATCTCTCGGATTTGTCTTAAGATGTTCCCGAGAATTTAAAAAAGTAGAAACTATATTACAACTGTACTATTGTTATGTTCGCAGTAAGCTCGAATATTGCTGCCCCGTGTGGTCATCTGTTTACAATGTTCATAGTAATAGAATCGAAAAAATTCAAAAGATAATATTACGACATCTCGAATTTCGAATTGGTGGTCCTCGATCCAGAACGTACAAAGAGAAACTGCAGCGATTCAAACTCCACTCATTACAAGAACGAAGAGCATTGCTACAGATGTCATTTCTGCATAAGCTCTTCAATAATGAGATTGATAGCAGCGCTCTCATTGAAGAATTAAATATTAACGTACCGTCAGTGATACCACGATATCAAAAACCATTGTTTAGCACCAAAGCTTACAAAACCAACTTAGGCAAGAACTCTCCAATAGCGAAGCTTCAAAGCATTTACAACCAACTGACGAATGTAATCTGTGACCTAGACATTGCCCATGACCCATTTAATAAATTTAAAAATAAAATAAGTAAATTCATGACTCAGTGTGACGATGGAAATTTTTGTTATTAATTATATTTCATCAAATTTTATTTTATTGATTAATTATTATGTGACATTTAAAATAATTTAATTTACAACAATTATCATTATTTTGTTAACTAATAACTAAATTTAATCATAATTTTATTTTAACTCTTCTTTTTATTATTGCGCACGTTGTGATTGTCTGTAATTGGAAAAACATTTAATCATTATAATTATAGCATTTGTATATTATATTGGCATGTAATAATGTATTTTCTGTTGACGATCCTAAATAAATAAATAAATAAATGATCCTATGGAACACATTACTTCATAACTCTAAAGAGATTAAGAAATAGGTTTAAAGGCTTTACGTAATCGACACATGTAAAGGCTAGACTAAAATTGAGTAGCTCAGGATTCTAAATAGAAAATCTCAATAAGAAAAATCTATGTCCTTTTGGCTCTACCCGGAACTCGAATCCATAACATAATAAATTGTATAAGCTAGTTAGTAAGAAAAGACATAAATATATAAATATATTTTTTAACATTTTCAACACCAACCAAGTATTTCATGTTTTATTAAATAATTAGATAACAATGACGCAAAGAAAATGCAGAACTGGATTATTATCTACTACACACTTTGTATAAAAGGTAGGATATTTAAAATATTATCATTTGCTTAAAAGTTTCTCTAAAGCTAAAATACTTTATAAAAGTTAATAGATATCTAGAATCTTCTAAAATTCTGGTAAGATTTATATAGAATATTTTTTATTTACTGAGGGTTGGTACCTTGTTTCGGGTTAGAAATAATTAGGAAACCACCATGAACCCTCAGACCACTATAAATACCTGTAAAACTAATAGAGACATTTGCTATGTACCAAATCGAATCTGCAACCGTTGAGATGTCAGTTTTATCACCACTGTGCTATTGAAGTATAGTATGGTATTGTTTTTAACTAAAAATTGGGAGATTATGTTAGTCATTTTAACCGACTTCCAAAAAGGAGGAGGTTTTCAATTCGTCGGAATCTTTTTTTTATGTATGTTCACCGATTACTCGAAGACCATTTAAATTTTATCGAAATCGGTCGAGTTTTTAAAAAATCAACAATAAATATATTTTTTAAATAAATTGCTTAGTCGAATATGTTATTAAAAAACGTTTTTCTTAAAAATTACCTGCTTATTACGTCTACACTAAAAATGGATTTTTTTTAAATAAAATAAAAACCGACTTCCAGGCACTAAAATGTAAAAAATAACTAAACGGGGGTTTTCATTTAGAGTAGATAGCTAATCAGGTATTTTCGAAGTCGGTGCCAGCTGACAGTATTTTAAGTAAGACAGTAAATATGATTAGGTGAACCCTAATTATAATTAAAATATAATAATTACACATCAATTTTCGATGTATTGTCTTATCGGAATATATTAGATTTGGCTATAGTTATTCGGATAGCCAACTCTTTAGAGTTCCAATATCTACTACTAGCGTCTCACCCTAGCTCACTTCGGGTTCGTTTCGAGAAAAAAAACAAATCTATCCCACGGGAACCGTACATTTTTCCGGGTAAAAAGTTACCTATGTGTTATTCCAGACTATAATCTATCTTTGTCCCAAATTTCATCCAGATCCGTTCAGCCGTTCTAGCGTGACAGAGTAACAAACATCCATTCATTCTCACAAACCTTTAAATCCTACTAATATTATAAATGCAAAAGTTTGTGAGGACGTTTGGATGTCTGGATGTACATATAGATGATTGGATATTTCATGCAAAAACTACTGAATGGATTTTAATGAAGCTTTAGAATAATATACTCATACATCAGAATAACACACAGGTTACATTTAATCCCGTAAAAATGTACGGTTCCCGTGGGATAGATTTGTTTATGTTTTTCTAGAGGCAAACCCGAATGAAGCGAGAGTGAGCCGCTATTTTATAACAATAGTAGGATATCTCTTGGTTCCATTATCAAATTATTTCTGGTGTACTTCCTTAGATTTACGTGAATATTTTACGTCAGAAAAAAAACTACCTTTTAGGATTTTTTCCCGAATTTATCTTGTTTTATGTTTTCCGGGTCATCAATCATGGAATCTTTCCCATGACAATGATTTCTGCTTAAATAAGTTCGATGATATATTATTTTAGAATTATCCAGATTACTAATTAGCCATTACTCTAATAGTTAGCATGTACGGCTGCACCACTGAAGGTCCTGGTTTCGAGTCCTAAGTCACGCCTAGTTTAGATATAGAGATTTTCTGTTAAGAAATTCTCAGTAATAGCCCTGTTGCAAGTTGGCTGTTTCAACTCATTTCATCGGAGATTACGTAAAGCTGTTGATCTTGCACTGATCTCCCACAGATTCCTAAGGTAGTTATGTTAAAAGAAGCTGACGAGAAACTGAATAATATTAATGCGTATCGTATTGCAGGTGAAAATGCGATACATTATCAATATCTTGCTTCTGTTAGTTGCTAGAGGAAGAGCTCTTTCCACTTCTGATCACTTTGAAGAAGCATTTAAATCATTTGCAATCGTTCCTGATGTACTGTCGAATGTGCCTCTTACGGAACTTTCTGTAAGTAGTTCTTTGATTTATATTATACAACAGTCAAGTGCGAGTCGATATCACATAAAAGTGATGACATCGGACATTGTAGTTTAAAAATTTATGGGTATTCTATATATTTCCGATATAAGAAGACTGTATAAAAAATGTTAACCATTATAATCGTAGGAATGCATCATAGTTAGCTAAATGAAAATTATATTGCCACTAGCGATTTACCCTTGTTGCGATCAGGTGCGGGTAAGCTTGAATGACAAACATCCAAAGAAAATTCTTTCTTTTTTACACCAAGAATATTCGCAGACGTATACAGCATCACCCACCAGAGTTTCATCACAATCGGATCAATGGCTTAGAAACACATAGAGAACAAACATACGTACGTTCATTCTTATTTATATAGATAGAAGATTATATTTATATGATTTAAAATCTCTTTTATCCCTCAAAAGGTAGTATTTTTTTCCTAGCGAAAAACGTCACGTACAGAATGTTCGTAATTAAATTCAGTTAACATTATGCATTATATTTTTTCATATGTGATTTAGATTAAATTATAAATTTCGTTTTTATAGTCCTGATGTACACCAAATTTGTTTAGTTAGTTAAGGATACTCAACGTAGTTTCCGTGGTGTAGCGGTTATCACATCTGCCTAACACGCAGAAGGTCCCCGGTTCGATCCCGGGCGGAAACATAACTTTTTTCCTCCATTTTTTTTGTTAAAGTCACATAAAACCTTGCTTTTTGAAATAGCTTCTTTAACAAATTCTACTTTTTTATATTAATTTGTGTTTTTTAAATTAAAATATTTATGATTAAAATTACTTGAAACTTGGTATTAATTTTCTTCAATAGAATTAAATAAATATATGTTTCAGCATTTATGGAAATACATCCTCTATGAGAGTAAAATAGGGTATGGAAATTTTGTATGAAACCTACCTTTTTAGAGTTTTTTTGTAGTTTTAGTGCGAGCGAAGCCGCGGGTTCTGCTAGTAAAACTATCTTTTCAAATTTTTGTGGATTTATTTTAATTTTAGGTTCCCGACGTTTTGAATGCTTAAGTTCAGCAATCATGTTCACGGGACAGACTGACTCTCTCACCAAAACAAATTCACGAAAAGTATCGGAAATATAGTTTTATTTTATTTTCATTATTACAAAAAATATAATATTACTAGAGACTCACCTTCACTTTGCTCGGGTTCGTCTCTAGGTTCATCCCCATATAAACCTTCATTCCCAATTTTACCCCCTTAAGCGATGTTTACCGGGATAATAACTATCCTATATCCCTCCCAGGGTCCCAAACTATCTTCTTACCTATCTAAATCGGCCTAGTAGTTTCGGAACTTATTCGGTATAAACAAAAAAACAAAAATCTTTCCTCTTTATAATATTAGTATAGATTACTTATTCTACACAAAAATAAATATTTATTTGCAGGTTAACTATCAGGAGAAAGTAAATTTGGGTAATATAATATCTCCATACGATGCTATAATGCCACCTTACGTTACGTATGAAGCTAGTCCAAATGGCCTGTACACTTTGGCCATAGTAGGTAAGTATTGTGACGTTTAAAAGTGAAAGAAAATATTTACCGGTAAAAATATTTACCGAATAAAACCGAACTTAATAAATTTTTCTAACATTTGACACGTAAAATCAAATCAAATCAAAATATACTTCATTCAAATTTAATTTTACATTCATTTTTTAAACGTCACTTTTTAATTTTTTTAAATTTATATTAAAAGTCAGTATGCAAGTCCATGAGGACTCTACCACCGGCTCGGCTGCAATTCCGCTGAGAAGAGCCGGCGAGAAACTCAACAGTTGCACTTTTAAATTAATATTTGTTCAACAATATTGCAATACAATAATTATCTATTAAAATTGTACGTAATACTTTACAAATAACTGTAGGTAAATTACATGATATCTCCATAACACCTTTATTTTAAGTTTGACACCATTGTGGGTACATTTAAATTTAATAAAAGATATAAGTCTAATAGTTACAAGAGTGAAAGCCTAACCTGGAAGTCGAATCTGCGATCTATACAGCAATAATAAAGTATTTTTAGATTTCAAGTTGACTAAATTTTAATGAACAATGAACGAAAAAGTAACAAACATGCATACCCAGATATCCATATATCATCACAAACTTTCGCATTTATAATATTAGTAGGATGTCGCCCTAATTTGTGCTAAATGCTATACCTATAGCTGATTTATTTCTATGTTGTGCCTGTGCACATATACTGCATATGCTGCACAATGCACATATATATGTAGCGCGTACCGCACAGTTGGCGACTCTCAATGAGATTGGTCGTAACTAAAATCATTTAGGAGTTTATTTTTATTGTATACTTACAGATCCAGATACGCCATCCAAGAGGTCTAACTATGATAAAGAACGTATTCACACACTAATATTGAACATTTCCGGTACAAATATAACCGGTGGAAATGATATCGTGAACTACATAGCTCCCACTCCTTACCCGGGTTCTGGCTACCATAGATACGTCTTCCTCGTGTTTAGACAAGCATATCACATTAATGTTAAAACTAAATATTTTAACAAGTAAGTTTCAATTTTTCCTTGATCTTATGAAATTTAGTAAGATAATACTTTTTTTTAAAGTGGAGATAAAAATGATATTGGCAATTATAGACCTATTTCTATATTTTCATCTATGAGTAAAATAAAAAAAAAAAACTTATTCTAAACTAATTGTTAATTCATTTTAATATTAATAGTATCTTCCATAGTGAGCACTATGGTTTTACCAAAGGTAGGTACGGCCGATGCGTGAGTTGTTCTTCTTAAACACATTTAAAATTCACAATATGCAATTGGTGTTTTTTGTTTTGTGATTTATCTAAGGCCTTTGATTTCGTAGAACATGAAACCCCCTGCTTAAACTAAGTCATTATGGTATTCGTGGCGTTGCTCTTGAACTCATTGCTTCATATCTTAGTGGTAAGGTTCAGAAAGTCGCTGTAAATCGTATATTTAGATATGAGAATGCATATTTACCTATTGGATATTCATATCTTAAAATTTGTCGGCTGGAACCGACTTCGAAAATATCTGATTAGGTATCTATTCTAAAAAAATTTTTAAGTTTTTATTTGTCCATTTTTAGTGTAGACGTAGTTTTTTAATAACATGTTCGATTAAGCAATTTATTATATTATATATATATATTTGTTGCTTTAAAAAAACCGTTTGACCGATTTCGATAAAATTTATATGGGACCACCTGGAAAGTATACCCTTTGAAAAAAAAAATCCAAATCGGTTCAGACGTCTTCGAGTAATCGGTGAACATACATAAAAAAAAGATTCCGACGAATTGAGAACCTCCTCCTTTTTGGAAGTTGGTTAATTATTATTTTAAAAGAGCAACTGTTGAGTTTCTCGCCAGTTCTTCTCAACAGAACTGCATTCCGAGTCGGTGGTAGATTCCTCACGGACTGACCACACTGACATTTAATTTAAATTTAAAATGTAAAATTGACGATTCAAAAGAGCTTATGAAAGTCTATTTGAATAAAGTATATTTTTATTTGATTTTCATTATGTTGTAAGAACAAATGTAACACAGATTTTTTAATATTTTTCTATTTTTAATTAAGACCTTTTTAATAGCCTTTTATATTACGTTTTTGACAGATTTTGAAAAAATGTACGATTTTTATTTCTATTTTAAATCAAATAGATTTAAATAATCTTATTGCTGCAACGACCATAATATCTTCATATTAAAAATATATAGAGTATTAAATTTTTACTGAATATCAAGAGCCCAGAGAACACATTAATTCTCCAACTTTAAAATAGCCTGAAGGTGATTGGCGGTTTTATGCTATAAAATCATTTTCCTACAAGGAAAAACAAAATTGTAATTTTGGCAAATTGAATCTGGATTATATGAAGTATAAAACTTTATTTTTTAATTATCTTTGTACTGAATTACAATTTGTTTCTAGCCCTTTGTATTTGATCCTTAGTAAGAAAGTTGAGAGGTATAAGCAGAGCTCAATATGAGATAACTATTTTAAAGTACTCATAGACACATAATTTTTTACAATTAGTTTTTGTTAACTATCATATTAACAATTACTCTAACACTTTAAAGCTAAATTGCACTTATCAAAATTTACAAAAAAAAACTGTTTGTTACATATTATTTATTAAATAAAACTTAATAACTTTTGATCAAAAAAGTACTAGATACACAATCGCATGCAAAAGTTCTCTTAAAACTGTCACCAATTGTGTTTAGGTACTTATTTTAGTTGAAATAAATATACAAATATGTAAATGTAATATTTAAAGTTGTTTTCAGAAAAAAATATATTAAAAGCGCGCTCAAATGATTAAATGAGCGCTCATTCGGTGAGGACATTAGTTGTCGCTGATTGTGTATCTAGTACTTTTTTGATCGATGTTAATTATATTTGCAAAATATTAAAGCATGAATTGATTTAATGTACCATGAAATAATTAACTGTATGAATGTTTTTCAGACTAGCGACCACTTTGTCTGGGTTCTCTATATCTGATTTTGCAAAAAAATACGACTTGGGTGTCCCGATCGCTGGTAACTTCTTCCGTGCGCATCTCGTCATCTGTGAAAGCGGCAGCTATCAGCCGAAAAAAAAGTGCTCCAAATAATATATGATACTGCTTTATATATAAACAAATAATATTGTTGGTTTAATTTAATTGAATTACAAAAATGAGAAAATATTTTATTGATTTATTTACACGTTTTAACTGTTAGTATAACTAGATTTCTTAGAGATGATATATTTTATTATACTAAAAATTATCCTCAATGATGACCCGGATAACCAACTATCACCATATCAAATTTCATCAAAATCCGTCCAATGGTTTTCTGGTGATACGTTCCCAGATAGACAGACAAAGAGGAAAATAATCTAAAAACCATAGATTCGGCCTCTGTATTCGTAATAATGACTATATCGATAAGATTTTCCAAAAAATATTTAATGTACCGATTCGACTCAGAATTTTATTATATGTTTAGATTTAACTGAACATATTATGCTGAAGTACATCTATTTAAATCACAAAAATAAGCATAATGTAATCGAAATTCTCATTTCCTTGCTAGTATTTTAAATGTAAAAGAGTGTATATAGGGCTGTCCTCCTTAAAAGGTAAACATAAAGGTTTTGACGAATCGACGTAAGATTGTGCATAATTGAAGATATTATGATAGTTTATTGGTCGATTAAGACGAACACTTCCGTCTGTGTGCTCAATTCGATTTTTTGTTATGATTTAATATACGTATACATCAAAGTATTTCAGAGGACAAAGTAATTAGTTACATCTTTGATATCCTTTTGAAAATAGCCTTCAGGCAAACCCAGTCACGTTAAGAATAGCTGGACTGACTTGATTATTTTATTATTTATTCGAAATAGTCCTATTAAGATTTTTAGGGGGTAAGAATGGAAAATATGTCAGGAAAGTTAGGAAATTCGGAAAACGCTACAACATTTTTCTCTAGGTGTTTTTTATGAACTCAAATACCACAAACAAAATTTATTCACGAATACATCTCAAAATAAAATAAAATAAAAATAACAACAAAATATAAAAATGCTCAAAAAAAGCCATGGACGTATGTCTGTGGGTGTTAGACTTACTCAAATAAAAAAAAAACAAAAATTATTTATGTCAATGTCAACTCAAAGTAATTCGTACACGTATCCCTTTTCTAAAGTAAAATTCTGATAACTAAAATCTGAATTAAGTAGTACAGCACTCCAACTACATCTCGAACATGCGCAGTTTCGCGGATATTTTAATTAAGGCTGAAAAAATAAGACCATTAATTACAGTTTCAGCGCGAGGTCCGCGGCTGTGGGAATTAAATTCAGTTCAGTAGCAAATAATTATTGTTTTTCTCTCTTAATTTCGCTTTGGCTGTCCTTGTAAATGAACAATTCTGATTACGTTATGTCATTAACCACTTCACAAAACAAATTACTTTCGGCGGTAGTAATATAAAATGGGGTTACGAAAAATCTACCATGATTAAGAAAAAACTTGAATTGAAATCGATTTATGCATTACTTTTTAATTCCTTTTTTTAAGAGGGTTTGGTTATAGAATCCATAAGAAATAACATACTCTAATCAATAAATCTTTCTTTAAGTAGCATGTATGTATATGTATTCATCCCTTTTTTTAACGTCCCACTGCTGGGCACAGGCTTCCCATAAATACAGGGGGATCAGGCCATAGTCCACCACGCTGGTCAAGTGCGGGTTGGCGGACTTCACATGTCTTTCGAAAGCTTGCTAAGTTCTCTCAGACACGCAGGTCCTCACGATGTTTTCCTTCACCGTTAAGGCAAGTGGTAATCATGTAGGAAATGATTCGCACATGAAAATATCAGAGGTGCGAGACCTGGGATTTGAACCCGCTTCACTCGGTTTCCCAAGCGAGCGTTACCACTGCCTATATTTATATTTATATAAACATATCTATATGTTTAAATCATCAACCAATCAGATTTTACAATTCGATGTTTGTTACACATGCTTAGGAGATTTAAATCAAATTACAGTTGATGCAAGTGTGGCTACCCATAATGAAGATTTATTGGGAAATTATTCTCTCAAAACTTACAATTATGTAGGCGACATGTTGAATTAATTTCTTACCATAGTTGAACACCAAAGACGATGGACTATAATTACAGTTTCTGGTGCCACCTGTTCTTATGACTGCGCACTTTAGCTGGCACTGTTTGTCAAGTGGTACTTTGATCTCAGAAAGTGTGAAGAATGTAATAGTGGCGAAGTAAAGAAGTGTGAAGAAAGTAAGGGCGAGAAATTTTAAATAATTGACTTCCATATATATTAAACGGGTTGATTCGTTACAGCGTATATGTGACAAAAGTACACTCTGAGCGAGTCTCGCACAAATGTTAGTGTAATTTTTCAAGGAATTTGTTTTCACCATATATCGTCTTTAAAATGATTTAAAAGTATTAGATTCGGAGAAGTGGATTTATTTTTTTAATCTGTCTAGAAACACTTTTAAGGTATAATCTATTAACTTATTAATAAAAAAGTTCACCAATCTCCTTCGTGTCTTCTCCGTTCTACGTGACATTGGCGAAGTAATCTGTGCTCAACTGGTACGCTTTGAAACCAATAAGAAGAGAATTGAATTGAATTGAAGAATTTTGATTCATAATTGGGCGTAGTTATGCAAAATAGATCCAACCACAAAAACTTACTTTTGAGAAAATAGGAGTTTTAGTAAGAAATCGTAGTTTTTTTTTAATTCCTCTTAAATATTGGATATTTTATCTACTTTCTGTATATAAGTTGATATGTAGGCGCCATTTATGACATTAACTCAAAAAATGGTTTTCGTGGGCTGAATCCATTTTGCATAACTACGTCCAATTTGTGAAGATATCACGTGCTATACACACTATAAAAAATACAGACGAATTTAGTTTACTTCCAGGAAATGATACCTAAAATTTATTTATTGATCATATTCACCTAATACCTCAGCTCGTTCGAGAAACCATAAAGAAAAATAAACGTTTTCTCATTCAAAGTGCTTGTTCGATCCGAATATAAAGTAGCCTGCGACCGTCGCGGTGTCACAATCTATTTGTGTACAGAATACGTCGTTTGAGGTTTCGAAGCGTATAAACAACAAGTAGAAATACTCATTGACATATTACGAGAGTAGAAACTCAGTGGATGGTATTCGATTAGCACTACCGACTATGAAGGAGGTTCTTGGTTCAATTATTCTCCACACTTTGCTCTGCTGTGCATCATAGAGATATTTAACTATCCCTTGCCACCAGCAGCTTAATCTATTTCTTCAGCCCTCTAAGTAAGCAAAATTAAAACAAAAATGCAGAAAACACCCTTTTTTTGTCCGTTTTCTACCATTCTGCACAAGCACACCCAGCAAGAAGAAGAAACACATGGAAGTAGTAACTAAGTTTAATTCAATATTTTATAATGTAAACAAAATTACAAAGTTAAGTAATAGGGAATATGCGTGATTTTTTATACAATAGCTTAAATCGTTATATAATTGTAAACAAAAATATCCAACATTAAAATTTAATTACTATCTTTAAATTAATTAACGTTTCCAAAGTGCTTGTATAATTATTTAATTAAGACTAACATACTTACATATAAAATACTAGCAGTACCCGCGGCTTTGCCCGCGTTTAAACTGCTAAAAAAACAAACTTTTTGACACACCGATTGCAGCGTTATCTACTGGGTCCAATTGTATTTTCAAACCATACACATACATATATACACACAAAATTTCATCGAAATCCAAATCGGTCCAGCCCTTTAGGAAGAGTAAGGTGACAAACACACGTACAGAAGAATTATATATGTATGTATATTAAGATAATATAATTATATATAATTAAGTTTTTTTTATTATCATTTAATTTATGTCACCGTTCGTAATTTTAATGGTATTGCGTCAATGTTTTATCGCACGTTTTTGTTTGTTCTATACTGATTAAAATGAAACCTAATTACAAAAAAATATATATGTTGATTGCAATAAATGTCAAAGTGAAGAAGGACATCTAAATAAAACTATCTTTTTGGAATATTTCGCGGATTTACTTTGAATTAGCGCATCACCCTCGCTTCGCTCGGGTTCGCCTCTAGGAAAACAAAAACAAACCTATCCCACGGGAACCGTACATTTTTTCGGGATAAAAAGTAGCCTATGTTAGCCTATTACTCCATACTATAATTATCTATCTCTGTGCCAAATTTCATTTAGTTCAGTCGTTCAGTTATTCTGGCATGAAAGAGTAACAAACATACATCCATACTACCAAACTTTCACTTTTGTAATATTAGTATAGAATTTGGTTCCCGACGTTTCGAATGCTTTACAGCAATCATGGTCACGGGAGAGACTAAAGTTTATACGTGTCAAAAGTCAGTATATACTTGTTATAGACAGTGCCTACCCACAATTTTACAAAATAATTTCAAAAATTGCACCAAAGTACCTTACAATCAATATTTGTTGATTTTAGTTCTAAACATTTAAAAAAAATATGAGTATTATAATTAAATATAGAAATACTAGCGGACCCGACAGACGTTGTCCTGTCTACACGTCTTTAATTTGAAAATTTCAAACTTTTTTTAATAATTTTTTTGATGAAAATTATTATTCAAATTGTGAATCTAAACCATTCCCAGATCCCCTTGAACACACACAAAAAATTTCATCAAAATCGGTCCAGTCGTTTGAGAGAAGTTCAGTGACATACACACTCACAGAAGAATTATATATATAAAGATTATTTAGTTAATTTTAGCTGTTATTATTATAAATAAAATAAAAAATAAAGTAAATAAATAAATATTACAATTTTTGTAAAACTTTATTAATTACTAATATTGTTTAGTGTTGCTATTATTATATTAATTATGTATTACCATAAGAATATTAAAATTGAAAAATATTAATAATTTACTTAAGCAATATTATTGTTTTATATGTAATTTAAAACCTTTAGTTAATTGCTTAAACCTATAAAGTATATATTGAAAGATAGTGTGTCAAGTAAAAATTACATCACACATTTATTCAAATTATGA